AAAGTCGTGTCAGGTAGCGCATCATGTGACCATCGCCTAATTTGGACTAGTTACCTGACACGAAAATGCCCCACCTACATGCGACCTGTGCACTCCCACTGAACCTATGACAAACCTATGATGCTATGGGCAATATATATCTCCACCCTCGCAACTTCGATCTCCTCGCGGACTACAAGACAGGAACACAGATGTATACAGTATCTTCATTACTATATATACCTTGCTAACTATGTATACCTTGCTAATGGACTGTCCATAACAGGGCCTCAAATATCAACGCAAAGACGCCAACCCAATGAGGATTCCAAAATGAAGCAACAAATCGGATATCAAAATCAATCAAAATGCAGTGCTTTCAAACAAATCATCAACCTTAGTCAAAAGCTCCGCGCAAATTACTCAGAAGCCTTGAGCACAAGCCGATCCTCAGCCTTGCTAGCAAACGGAACACCAAGCTCCAACAGCTTCACAAATGCATCCGAGAACTCCTTAAAGAATACATCGTTGTCTTTGGCATACCGCTCAACATGCTTCTTGAACTCCTTGTCCTGGATAAGCGCAATGTCACTAGGAAGCATCATGAGCGTCTGCGTGGACTTGTCCGTGAACTGCTCGGGGCCGTTCCACTTCTTCTTATTCCAGCTCTCCTCGACAAGCAGACGGAAGAACTCATTAGTGAAGACAGTAGGGCTGAAGTCCCAAGGACCGTCAAACCCAGACCGGTCAGCGTGCGCGCGGCCCAAAGCATGAGCGCCAATCAAAGCGACAATCTCCTGGTCGTTGAAGCCCATGCGGTAGAAGACATCGCGGACGTGGCCGTAGCTCTTGGCGCCGTCCGGGAGACGCCCGTCAGGTGTGCAGCCGGCGACATCCTTGTCCTGGCGGCCGGGTCTCCAGGGGATGGCGGGGCCGCCGAGTTCCTGGATTGCGGCGACGCCGGAGAGGGTCCAGAGGTCGGAGTGGGTGATCCAAGGAAACTTGGCCTTGATGGGCTCGAGGAAGTCGCGGGCGATTTTGAGGCCGGCGTTGGCGCCGTGGTCGGATTCCGGGGCGAATCTCATGGTGGCGCCGTTGCTGCCGCCGGTGCCGGTTTCTTTGTCGTAGGTGCCGCTTGCGTGCCAGGCGAGACGGAGGACGACCTTTACCATATCTTGTTAGCCTTGTGTTCTGTTCTATTGCTGATTTAGGTCGAAGGTGACTTACCGGTCCATAGCTGCCATCATCATAGTCCGTCTCATCGGCGAGCTTGCGAGCGACTTCATCATACACAGCCTGGAAGTCCTTCTGCTGAGGGACAAAGTTCTTCGCCGAAACATCACCACCCTTCAGGTAGAAGTAGGCGCCCGCACCACCAGCGACAGCGAGACCAGCCCAGAGAAGGCCGTTGGAGGATTTGCCCTGCTCAGGAGCCTCGGTAGAGTAGCCCCGACGAGAGGAGCGGAAGGCTTGCGAGGGGAGGGAGAAGCGAGCGCTACGAGCGGCGGGCCTGAAGGACGAAGTGGCCGGGGTCGAACGGAGGAAGGCCCGGGAGGCAGTTCTCGCGGCGGAAGCCATGGTGTATTCAGCTATTGATGCTGTTGAATGAAATAGACAGAGAAGATATGAAAAGAGGGACAAAAGACACAGAGAAAGAGTATCTGATCAATCAAGGAAGACAAGATGTAACACAAAAGAGGAGAAGAACAAGGGGGCCAGCAGAAGAGGAGAAGCAAACACTTTAAATAAATGCATCCATCACCAAGCAGAAGCCCATCGAACATCTCCTCCTCACTTCCCCCCCCAGGACCAATCACAACGTCCCACTCATGCCCAGAAGCCCATCCTTAGGAATCATCTCCTACTAACTAATCTGCCGGCTCTGGGCCCTTGGTTCGGGTCGACCTCCGCATTTGCTTAGGCTAGCTGGTCTTGCTTATGGTTTGTCTCTGGACGTCTGCATCAGTCAGCGTCCCATAACTAGGAGTCTTTCAATTGCTGAACGTGGCAATGGCACTCCGATCCATGGCTCTTGGTTTGCAGTAGATTGGTCTTTGATATGGCCACCACTGTTATTATTCTGGCTGCTCGGTCGACCCAGATAGCTTCTCTGGATGACGAGAATAGCCGAGCTAGGGATCCACCAGTCGACGATTATTATTAAAGCGAGCGTTCTGTGTGGCGGGCGCTGAATGCAAATCGCCGAGGAACTTCCTGGTGGGCGGTATTACTCAGCGCCGGGTTCTAGAAAGGCAAACATTGGTCAATTACTGTTCTGCATGTGGCGTTCCGTAGGAGTACATGGGGGGGGGACTTCGCATATGTGTTCTGGATAGTTACATCCATCAAATATCACCTGCTATAGGGGTAAAGACCCTTAGCAGACAACACCACGCTTACGGACGTACAAGTATAACCATAAAAGTCATAAACAATGGGATTTCCGCATGATAACACCCCTCCCCCTCCGTACAATCGCTCTTGAGCGTCTCATTCCTCATACGGGGATCCGAGGAAATCTCGGCCTCAAGCAGGAAGGTTACACTGCGCGACGCAAACGTTCCGTGTTGTGAGCGTACCATAGGAATGACAGCAGGTTATCCCTTGCGTGGTGCGGTGGTTTGGTGGAAAGATGTTTGCTTATGGTGGTATACGGGGAGTTGATATATAGGGTCGAGGGGATGTTGCCATGATGTCGAGTCGCAGTCTGCAGAATAACTGAAGACTGGACTGGCAGCAGGACACCAAAGCATACGATACGATACGATACCATACCATACCATACCACGATGTCCGGCTTACAATCAGGTTGAACTACGATCCTAGGGTTGATGTCCCCATCTAAGACTGACTATCTTAGACAATGACACCAAAAATGGCCAACAGAAAGAAGTGGCCGTCGAGCTGGAGCAACAGAGCTCATCGTCGACTGACCCATCTGACGAATTGCCTCCGTTGATTTATACCACAGAGGCTAAACTGCTTCGCAAGATCGATCTCAGATTGCTCCCGTGTGTGTCGGGGCTGGTGTTGCTGTGCTATCTGGACAGGTGAGTGCATCTTCTACGTTGGATAGAAAGAAACTGACGGCGTAGGTCCAACGTTGCCAATGCACTCGTATACGGATTGCGAGAGGATTTGAACATGTCCGGGGTGCAGGTGTCGACGGCGTTGACCATGTTTTTCATCACGTATATCTTATTCGAGATTCCGTGGAATATCACATTGAAGAGGTTGACGCCGCGGGTTTGGCGTACGTCCTTGTTCTATTCTTCTGGATGACCTTGGAAATTGATGAACTAGTGTCTCTTTGTATGCTCGGTTTCGGCTTGACGACAATGTGTACCGGATTCGTTCAGAATTATGGTGGTTTCGTGGCCACGCGCCTTGTCCTTGGATTGGCGGAAGCAGGTAGGTTCATTCGTTGTCGTCGATGAGAGTCGAAATTGACTCGACTAGGAATCTTCCCCGGCTGTGCCTATCTCATGGGATCGTGGTATAGACGAAGAGAGGCCCAACGACGCTTCTCATTATATCTGAGCGCAACCTGTTTGGCTACCGCTTTCGGTGGTTTGATAGCAGCCGCCATCGGCAACATGGACGGAATGGGCTCTTTGTCCGGCTGGCGATGGATTTTCATCATCGAGGGTATATTGACGGTTCTATTAGCGCTGGTCTGCTTCGCCTTTCTCCCAAACTTCCCAGAGCAGGCCAAATGGCTCACAGACGAGGAGCGCGAATATGTCCGGGCGCGATTGCGGGCTGAACAGGGCAGCTCAGCACTTGGCCATCGCATCACGGTACGCGACGTCTGGGAGGTAATAAAAGACCCCAAAGCGATAATCACGGGAATTCTTCATTTGACGGTTTCCGTGCCGGGGACCATGGGCACGTATTTTGCACCGACGATTATTGAGAGTCTTGGGGTTTATTCTCCGATTCAGACCCAGTGGCATACGGTCCCGGTGTGGATGGCCGCCTTTGTTTTGACTCTAGTCGTGGCATATGGTTCCGACAAGATGGGGAGTCGGTATGCCTTGACTGTAGTCTGTGCCGTCATAAGTATTGTGGGCTATGCTATCTTGTCCGGAACGGAAAATGTGCAAGTGCGGTACGGAGCGTTATTTTTGGCCATCGCTGGTATCCATGCTCTGATGCCTTGTACGTGACCCTTTTGTGCGTGGTAAGAGTTGAACTAGCTGACGTTCGCAGTGGAGGTTTGTTGGAACGCGATGAATCTTGGAGGCCACCATCGACGGGCCGTGGGAAGTGCATGGCAAGTGTCCGTGGGAAGTCTCGGAGGTATCATCGGGACGTACGCCTTTCGACAGGAAGATGCACCGGAGTATCGATTTTCGTATGCCCTCTGCATTGGCTTTACCTGTGCGAGCGCCGCACTCTGTACCGTGTATTGGGCGTGGTGCTGGTGGCTGAACCGTCAACGAGCCAACCGGGGATGGGGACGAGATATGAGCGAGGAGGAAAAGGAGCGTCTAGGAGACCGGAGCCCGAGTTATCGGCTGATGCTATAAGTGAAACAGAATGCCATTGATATAATGCTATATAGATGTCCGTCATAAAAAAAGTCCTGCCACTCGATCAAAGCGAGCACCAGGGTGGAGTAGACGCGGTCCTGCTAAAAACCGTATGGGTTTGTTCTTCCACGAATGATAACGAAAACAGTATAGCCTCTATGCCATGGGGCAAGACGCACGACTGTGTGGTGATAGTCTGGTTAGTATAAATCACATAGAGCAAGAGAGCTCTTCATTATGAGCTCTGACAACTCTGTCGAGTCAATTCTTGAGACTGTGCGATGGGAGAAGAGAGAAGAGAGAAAAAGCGAAGGAAAAAAAAAAAAAAAAATCAACAAAATGCCCCCCACCGGAACAATCATCCATCCGAGGGAGTCACGTGGTCACACAATCCCCTATATATTTTCACCACCGAAAACTTGACAGACCTTTTCTTCTTCTTCTCTCACACTTTTATAAAATCACGAACGCATAATCAATCTCCAGGTCCTCCATCCATAGGTTGGTAGGTCATATTGGCGTACAAGATCGAACTTTCGGGCATTTATGGCTCCTCGACCGCGCTGGGTTTCCTCCCGGAGACTTGAGTGCGATGGTTGATGCGAGTCACCTGCTGCTCAGACATCTTTTTCTCTGATACGAAGTAGATTGTAGACACCATTCATATCATTGAGACGTTTCAAGTAGAACAAGTGAACGTTTTTTCATATCGGAACGCTGTGCCCAACGATGCTTCCGGAATACCCAGTGTCAGGTATCCGGGCCACACTTGATTCTGCGCACAGAAGGCTTAAAAAGACCCCTTGACCAAGTTGTGGATAAGCTCTAAATAAGCACCATCAACTGGATTGTTCTATTTCTGCATACGACGCTCCCCACATGTGCATCCCTGGTCCCGTGCTCTCCGTCCGGCCTGTCTCTCATCCTTTTCTTACCACTCCAAGACCACCACCACCCCTTCTCCTCGTATTTCTCTCTATCTATAAACCTCCTGGTGTCTTTCTCTCTCCTCCTCTTCCTCTCCTTTCTAGATTCCATTCAAGATCATGATCGCCAGCCTCTTCTAAAGCTAGTTCGCGGTGGTCGACCCCTATTTCTTTTCGGTACCAAAGCTCGCCTCCGTACTTCGAACCCCTAATCGCGATCTTCGGCGTTCTTCGTTTTCCGTCACTCTTCATTCCCCAGTTTCGATCTCCAGCTATCCGGGAATATGGTTGTCGGTATCAGTAAACGCCAGCAATCTCGCAATGAGAGGGCTCTCCAAGACCTCGTCCGGTCGGTCCCGGGTAATGACCGTTGCGCTGATTGTGGCGAGTTGAATCCAGGTACGTGTATATCCGTGTTCTTGAGGAATTGGGCGCGAATGCAGTGCTAATACGTTATCTGAACAGGATGGGCAAGTTGGAATGTACGTATCGGACTGTCCGGATCCCCCGGTAGTGTCACTTCGAAAACATGAGATACTGATGGTTGGGCAACAGATGGGACTCTTCCTGTGCATGCGGTGTGCTGCATTGCATCGCAAGTTGGGCACCCATATCTCCAAGGTCAAGTCCTTGACTATGGACAGTTGGTCGTCGGACCAGGTTGATGTGAGTAAATCAAATCTTTCAGCACGGTGATAGAGCACGACTGATTGCGAGAATCACAATAGAACATGAAATCCCACGGCAACAACATCATGAACAAAATCTTCAACCCCAAAAACGTCAAGCCTCCGGTCCCCACCGATATCGACGAGAGCGACTCGTGCATGGAACGATACATCCGTCAGAAATACCAACACCGATCGCTTGAGGACGGAAAGCCCAAGCCCCCTAGTCGCCATGATTCCGGTTACACCAGATCCCCTGAAGGTTCGCCGCCGCCTCTGCCCCCGAAGAATGGAAAGTTCTTTGGCTTTGGACTCCGCGGGTCGTCTTCTACCTCGAATCTCCGTCGATTTTCTACCAGCAAACCGACTTCGCCGCGATCGCAGAGACATGATTCGCCTCCTGCGCCGGTTCCTGTTAATACGGCTTCGCAGGGCATTGGTGCTTCGATTGGAGATATGGGTGCGCCTTCGTTCGAAGCGAAGTTGGCTACATTGAGAGAGATGGGATTCCCCGATGACCGACGCAACGCGGTTATCCTTCGGGGTTTGGGTGGTAATATGGAGAGGACGATTGAATCTTTGACGAGACTAGGCGAAGGATCAGGTGCTTCGACGCGTCCGATTTCGCGGGCGAGGACCCCGAACCCAACTTCGACCTCCATGGCTGCTCCCACTTCGCCAGCCAGAGCGACGACTTCGTACAACCCATTCGATCAATTGGACTCGAAGCCAGCCAACCAGCCTACTGGGCAGTCGTACAACCCCTTCGATGTGCCAAACACGCAACCTCAGTCTGCAAATCTGGAGGCGTCGTTCCAAGGCCTGCAAGTCTCTCAGCCGTTGTTCCCGCACTCGACGGGCGGATATCCGCTCCCGAATCGCCAGAACTCCCTCCCCCAGCCTCTCTACCAACAGTCTGCTACTCCCCCGGTCACAGCTACATTCGCACAAAATGGATTCCTTGCGTCTCCGCAGACGCAGACGTTCGACGGCGGAAACAACCCGTTCTTCCAGTCGGCTCCCCAGCCGCAGCCGCAGCCGCAGGTTAACAACGCGAGTCCGTTTACGAGCCAATTCCCGAATAACACCACACAGAACAATCCTTTCTTCAACCAGCTTACGCCGCAGTACACGTCTATGCAGCAACCTCAGCAGACTCAATCGGTAGCGCCGCCTGTTCCGTCCCTCCAGCATGCGAACACGATGCCAGTTACGTCGTCTACATCACCATTCGGACAGCCATCCCCGTTCCTGCAGCCGCAGCAGCCGCAGCCGCAGCAACCACAACAACAACTCCTACAACCACAGACAACCCCGCTGGGCCAGTCGAACCCCTACAACCCATTCCAGTCAATGACTGCACCAAGCAGTCCGCAGAACCCAGGCTTCCAGAACCAATTCCAGAGCCAGTTCCAGCCCCAAGCACAACAGCCGCCGCAGCAGCAGCCGCAACCGCAGACACAGTTCCAGCCTCAAGCACAACAGCAGCAGCCGCAATTTCAATCCCAATTCCAACAACCTTTCCAAACCCAACCAACCCCGCAACAACTCATCCCCCAAGCCACCGGTCGCGTGGACAAAGGCAGCATCCTCTCCTTGTACAACATCCCCTCTCCAACCCCGACTCTCGCACAGCAGCAGCAACAGCAGCAACAACAACAACAAGCAACCCTCAGCCCCGTCCCGGGCCTAACCCCCTCCCTCGGCTCAACCCCAGCATCCAACATCACAACCCCCCAACAACCACAACAACCCCCCTCCGCAGGCCTCCCGCAAACCGCCTCCAAAAACCCCTTCATGTCCCCCCCGCCTGCCTCGGCACCACCTACACAGCCTGATTTCGGTAACTCGCCGTTCCAGCAGCCGTTCCAGCAACAACAACAACCCTTCCAGCCGCAGGGACAGCAACAGCAACAGCCGCAACAACAATCAGGCCTGGGTATCGGCATGGGAATGAACATGGGAATGGGAATGGGCATGAATCCAACCGGCCCGCCGCCATCATCGCTGAGCAACATGGGTTTCGCACGAAACCACTCGAGTCAGCAGAGCGTTGATCTGAACGGACTGCAGAATGGCCGGCATAGTCCCGATGCGTTTGCGAGTTTGAGTGCGCGGTATGGGTAATGACCTTCGTTTAGTTTTTGGTCCCTTGTTTGGGATCCTTGGTTTTGGTTTCTTGGTTATTGCCAGGTACATACATTCTCGGTGGATAATACGGATTATCTATTCACATATTTTGTCCTTCTGGTCGTGTAATAGTACTCATTTACATACTACTGACTTATAGTCATACATATTCGTGTTTGCATTTCTGGCGTTGATTGTTTTGTGTTCGTGTGTCTAGATTGATTTTGGGAAATTGGTACATAACATAACATACATAAAGATAATAAATAGTTCGGAGTCTCATGAAACTGAACATAAGCATAAACATAAGCATAAGCACTATATACCTAGATTTTGTCATAACGAATCTAACCCATCTAATCCACCCTATTTTATTCAAAACCAAAAGCATCAAAACCAAAAAACATAAGACATAAATCAAGACCACAACTCCCTCTTCCCCTTCTTACTCTTACTCTTACCCTTATCCTTAGTATCCCACACACTCAACCACGAGGAGGACGACGGCTTCGAAGACAAAGACTCCTGTACTCGTTCCAAGAAAGTCTTCTTCTGAGTAGGCTTTCCCCACGATGGCCACGATAATTTCACTCCAGACGGGGCTTTCGATTGTTGCAGGAATGCGGGGGTCCATTTCCCGCTTTCAATCTCGTTTCGGATATCGGTGATTGCTTTTCGCGCGCGGATATCGGCTTCGTTTGCGCTGGTTTTAATGGCCCTGGTAGCCGTGGAAGCATGGCTTTTCAGGGTTTGGGTGATGGGGCCGAGATCGATATTGAGATCGAGGTCGAAGAGCTTGCGCTGCGCGCGCTCTTCGCGCTCCTTGAGGATGGCTTTCCAAGATTGCTGCTCGCCGGGGTCGAGACACCAGACCACGACATCGCCCCTGCGTCGCCAGTCGTCGTGCCAGGCTGTGTTGAAGGTGCGGTGGCATTCACCGTACGACGAAGACTTCAGCAACTTCTGGAGAGTGGGTTCGAGCTGTGCGAAGAAAACGAGATAATCGGGCCATTCGTGGTATCCCTTCGGATTCCGTCGGTTAGACGGCTTGGAGAGGTAAGATGGTTTGCGAGGGACATGCCAGAGACCGCCGAGCATGTTCTGTCGGAGGAAGGTGGTGGGATTCTCGTAGAATTGGTCTGCTTCGTCGACGTAGGTGGCTTTTTCGGAGCCGTTGAGGTTCACCGGGGGCTCGCAGGATAGGGCCCAGGCGTTGATGGAGGGGTAGACCATGTGGGAGCGCCAGGGGGTGCTGTGGCAGGGCATGAGGAAGCCTGTTGAGATGCCCGGGCCGAAGGAGGCGGATTGGGCATGGTTGGGGGTTGTGTGGCGGTCGTGTTGGTCGCGGAGGTAGGAGAGGACGTTTACCGTGCCGGAGGCGTGGTAGATGGTGGTGTAGAGTGCGATGAAGATGTTGACGATGAGGAGGAAGATCAGGATGAGTCTTCGGGGGGTGTATATCCGAGAGGATCGCGACACGGCCGGATAGAAGGATTCGAGCAACGGCGTAGCGGATAAGATGTGCAATGACGGGAGAATTGGGTAGATGAAGCGCACTTCTTTGTGGGAGATCAATGACAGGACGAGTGGCATAGCCAGGCAAACGTATGCCAGTTGAGTCTGGATGTTGGTCCGCCAATGCTTCGACGCGGATGCCGGTGGACGGTTGGCCGAGCGATAGAGTCCAAACAGGGAAAACGGCAGCGCCGTGGTCAGAAGGAGAGGAAGACCCTGAGAGACGTAGTAATGGAAGTCATTCTTTCCGTAGAACACGGCCAGTGACTGCGCAATGTTGAAGTAAAGGAACTTGAGAGGTGGGAACGTCCAGACTCCATAGAACAACCGGTCAGCCAGCGTGGACATGGACAGTATCGCAGATCCGCATATCGCGACTTCGCGCGCGAGGATCTTTTGTGTTTCCCAAGAGTTACGGTATAACGCAATGCCGGCCAAGGTCATCCAGATCAGAATGTTCGTAGGACGGAGGATACAGGCGAGTGCCGCGACACAGAGACATTGTCGTAGGCTGCTTCGTTAGTTTACACGATATTTATCTGCTAATCAAAAAGCGTACCTGTTCAACAGTTCCTTATCCAGCCGCTCCTGTGTGCGACCGCTTCTGGATTTGCGCGCCGCTTTCAGCTCCGTATCCAAAGACCATTCCCAGGGCCACAAATCCAAAGCGACAATCGTTATCGTCGTTTCCAAGCAGTTTGACAAAGTTCTCGTCGAACAGAACCATTGCCAGGGACTGGCCACGGTCAAGGCCAACTATACACCATCAGTCTCTTGTCACGCGACATTATCCAGAGCAACATACCACCGCCCAATTCTTACGCGACCCGTCACCATAGATTCGACGAGCAAATTTCCAGGTGTAGAAGTCGCCGACGGCTGCGATAACGGCCTGCGCGGTCTTCGGAGCGGCGATTAGGAGGTTCGCACGTAGCGCAGGGGAGAGACGGAGGACGAAGGCAAGGAAGGCGGCGACGCGATAGACGGCAGCGAACAGGAGGGGATGTAAGGAGGATCGCAGATGATTTCTCCATTCCTGTGGTCGTCAGCAGTAGCATTAGCAGTGGTTTAAGAGAATACCAACCCAGGTCATCCAAGCTCCCTGGTCTTGCCCAAACGCGAGCTGCCATGCCGGCTCGAGCGACTGGAAGAATTCATCCGGCTGGAAAAAGGTGCGCACAACCAGCGCGTTGATGAGACGGAAGGCGACGAGGGAGAGGAGGATAGTGGTGGGCGTGATTTCGCGGGGTTCTTTTGTTTCTTTCTCTTTGGTATCTTTGGATGGTCTTGTTTCTCTCGTCTCCTTGGGTCTTCTTGACTCTCTGTATTCTTTGTACTCTCGCAATGGCGGTAATGATGACCGCGGAGGCTCTCTCGGTGATGATTCCTTTACCGACCCCCCGGAGCTGCTGGACGACGCTTTAGAGCGACGCGGTTTGCTGGAAGAGCTGGGAGGAGGCGCTGAAGGAGTATTCGACGATAAATAAGACAGTAGTCGCGCAGACGAACGACCCGACGAGGAGCGTCCTGAACGTGAAGCCATGGTTCGCGTGTCGAGAGTGTGGGGAGAGATTGTTTTGCTAGTCGGCAGTAGTACTACTAAGTAGAGCTATCGGCACTCTCACGCGGAGTCGACACTAAACAACCCCAAAACGGAAATTCCACAAGAGACGAACCGTGGAAGAGCATTTATGACAGCATTATTGTTAGTGTTATCTCTAGCAATTACTCCAATTGTTAAAAGGGCATTGTTCTCTGAGAGAATACCGCGTATACCTGCACTTAGGGGAAGAGCGCTGTTCCTGCCAATGATATCGCGCCGATTGCTCGCTTTCTCTTGCTTTTAGCTGTATACCGCTGTCTATATAAGACTTCTTCTTTTCTCCTTGGTCCTCGCATTTTCTCTCTAAATTATTCCTCTCTATTTTACTCATAAATCATAATCAAAATGGCATACCACTCTTCATCCACCAACGAGGCCATCCAAGCCGAGCATGACTTCGCGGCCCACAACTACCACCCGCTACCCATAGTCTTTGCTCGTGCTCAAGGAACCTCCGTCTGGGATCCAGAAGGCCGTCACTACCTCGACTTCCTTTCGGCCTACTCTGCCGTCAACCAGGGTCACTGTCACCCCAAGCTGGTCGAAGCGTTGGTTGAACAGGCCTCGCGATTGACTCTTAGTTCCCGCGCCTTTTACAATGACGTTTTCCCCCGGTTTGCGGAGTTTGTCACCAAGTTCTTTGGTTTTGACATGATCTTGCCCATGAACACCGGTGCGGAGGCTGTGGAGACTGGTATCAAGGTCGCCCGGAAGTGGGGATACAAGGTTAAGGGCATTCCAGAGAACCAGGCCGTTGTCCTGAGTGCTGAGAACAACTTCCATGGTCGAACAGTATGTACTATTACTTACTATATCTGTCCAATTGCTAACAATAAACTAGTTCGCTGCCATTTCTCTCTCCTCAGACCCCGAATCTCGCGAAAACTACGGCCCATATCTCCCCAACATCGGCTGTACCATCCCCGGGACTGATAAGCCTATCGCGTACAACGACAAGGCCGCCTTGCGTGAGGCATTCGAGAAGGCCGGTCCCACCCTAGCGGCTTTTTTGGTCGAACCCATTCAAGGAGAAGCCGGTATCGTCGTTCCCGACGATGACTACCTCCGCGAAGCCCGCGCCCTGTGCGACAAGTACAATGTACTCTTGATCTGCGACGAGATCCAAACCGGAATCGCCCGAACAGGCAAACTCCTGTGCCACGAATGGAGCGGTATCAAGCCCGACCTGGTGCTGCTGGGCAAGGCCATCTCCGGCGGAATGTACCCCGTGTCATGTGTCTTGGGCCGTAAAGACGTCATGCTGACTATCGAGCCTGGCACGCACGGGTCGACCTATGGTGGCAACCCGTTGGGATGCGCGGTGGCTATTCGTGCGCTTGAGGTTGTACGGGATGAGCAGATGGTTGAAAAGGCGGAGCGATTGGGCCACGTCTTCCGCAGCGGTCTGCAGGCCATCCAGAGTCCGGTTATCCAGCTGGTGCGCGGCAAGGGGTTGCTAAACGCCATTATTATTGATGAGTCGAAGACCAATGGACATTCCGCTTGGGAGTTGTGCATGTTTATGAAGGAGAAGGGTCTTTTGGTAGGTTTCTTCCTTTTTTTTCTGAATACCACATTTACTAACAACCACAGGCTAAACCAACCCACCAAAACATCATCCGCCTGGCACCTCCTCTCGTCATCACGGAAAAAGAGATCCAAAAGGCTCTGAAGATTATCGAAGAATCCGTCAACGAACTTCCTAACCTTAAGGGCTCGGCAGAGGACAAGGTCATTCCCCCTCCAGAGAGAGATGTGAAGATTGCACTCGAGAACTAGATGTGCGGAGGGAAGGAAGATTGAATTTTTTTATTTTTATTTTTATTTTTCTTTTTCTTTTCTTTCTGGATTATCATGATAGCTTTTGGAATGCGGTATGGGCTCCCGAAAAAAGAAACACTAAAGTGCTTAAGATCAATTCCACCCAGAGTCGAAGAAGTGAAATATCTACACGTCCAGAGTGACTGGGGTGTGCGTGTTACAAATCTGCTAAATGATGATGGTGATGCTGAACGGACTCATGCTATAACAAAGAGAATAGGATCCGGTACTAGCTGACCATGACAATGCTGCTTGCTGAGTCAATTTGGGTTGCGGAATGGATACTAAGTATGAGTTACCACTATACACGCATCCTCGTAAGGCTTCAAGATATAGAGTAGGAGTACACTATTGCCTGTCCAACCCTCTACTAGGCAGCACTTAGATATATTAACTCACTTGACCCGAACACCAACCCATCTAAAACCTACCCTCTTCAACACATTCCATCTAACCAGACCTCGAAAAAGAAGACAAAATGGTCTACTCAACAGACAAAATCGTCCACGCAGCCAACTTCCTAACCAAAGAAGACCTCTCCACCCACGCGCGAAGAGAAATCCTACAAGAATCAGACAGAAATCTCGTATACAAAGGAGTCGAAGCTTCCTGGGCTCACTATGTTCTAGATTCACTAAACCAGGATGGTGAAGTTGAGAGTAAACGAGCACGGTATGTATACACCTTACTTATTCTGTCTATTGAAGATTGGGAGTGGGTAAACTGATGATTTTGAATTAGAGGACAGTTCTTTTGGGGGACTATGTTGTTCAGTGTCTAGATTACTAGTCGTCGATGCTGCCCGTGATGAGATACAGAAAGAAGGGATAAGCATTGTATCATCGTGATGGTCATATTTGCATACTTAATCCTCGATCCCCCCCTGTCTCTTCCAACTTCACACGGAGCCCGAAATGCCTCAAGTCTTCCTCGCCAAAGACTTCCCAACCGAACGAGCCCTCCTCAACCACGCAAAACAGGAAGTCTGCCATGCAATCCAGAGCTCAACCAAACTCGAAGATGAAGAGATCCTGTATCTACAAATGGAACAGCGCTGGGCGACGTATGTTGCCTGTCGCCTATGCGACGATGGTGATGAGTTGACTGCGGCTAAGTATGTACATGCCATAGCGATTTACTATTTAAAACGGAAGGTGTAACATTTACTGATCGGTGCTAGAGTTCAAATGGATTCGTTTACCAATATGATTAGGATTTTCTTTGGTGAGATTGATGGGTTGATTGGGGAATATCTTAGGGCACAATGATATTATAGACTTGATGGATTGTATCATCGTGATGGATTCATTTTACCTTTATATCCCTAGAAGCTCTATCTAATAAAATAACAACTGTCCTTCCTCGCCATCAATTTCGAGTAAACCCCAAATAAGAAACCGAAATGAACCAAAACCAACAAAACCCCGACTTTCGGATAGATGAAGAGGACGAGGAAGAGGAGCTATCAATGGTAAACATTTTCTATGCAGAAGACTTCGAAACCAAAGAAGACCTCTTTGCCCACGCAAACAACGAAATCATACAAGCCGATGACAAAGATGTTTCTTATGAAGGAACCGAGTCTGCTTGGGGTACTTGGGTTTATGACAGGTTGATTGAGGATGAGGATATTGAACGGAAGGGAGTGAAGTATGGTTATTCACCGTCTACCTGGATATTTGAGGTTTGTTGATTCACTGACGGTTGTGTGCTATGATTGGAAAACATACAACTCGGTTGAGAAGACGCTTTACTTCCGCGTCTGATTTGGTCTATGGAGATGACCTATTACTGTGCTTGTGCATAGTGAATGTGCTAGTGGGAGAAGTGATTTCTTTACTTAGAGTGATAACTATCTTGACCTATTGAAATCAGACTTTACCTTTATCCCTCTCCCGTACCTATCACGACCACTTCCCAGAACCTTCCAAGTCTCATTAGCGCTATCGGTACAACATTATAAAGGCGTTCTTAATGGAAGAAGAAACCCACGGCCCTTGGTCCTTACCCCGTGACTGTAATGCCGGTTCCTTTTCAAAACGCCGCGTGCTTGAATCTCCCTGCCACAAGTATGATAAGGGCTTTGCATTTCAAAAGAGATTCGCTGATGATGAGAGCAACAAGCGTCAGGACTTGAGTCTCTTGAATTATTGCTGTTTACTATTTGGTGATATGATCTCTATTTAATGATAAGGAAAAAAGCATCTCGTTCGTCTGTGTCATCTTCCGCCAACCAGGGGCAAGCAGAAGGCGAAACGCGAAGGGGTACCAAGTTTGTCATATTTTTCCAAGATGCCTGCTACCCGAAGACCGAAAGGCATATTAGGATCGCCTTTGCCGCGTCTCTGGCAGTTGCTAGGGATGCTTTTCAGCAAGGAATCCTGGAGAGATAGAAAGGTTCTGTATCGCATACCTCATCTACCGTATGAGCAAGTCACCAAATCAAGAAGGTATGGTGGGATACCATTTGAGAGGGACTCAGCAGCACTGATAAGCTAGCCGGGATTGCGTATAAATCGATGACATGGGCACTAGACGTGGGCACTACCGACACGCAAAATGCCGAATAACATCCACGACAGCGATCAGCTGTCGTGTAAGGTCAAAACGGCCGAGTGTTCCATAGTGGCCTATTTACGAAGTCGGGATACAGCGAGTATAAAGAGACAGAGAGAACGATTCCTTTGACGGTTTTATGCAACGCGTGTTCGTCTTTTTATGGAAAACAATGGCCATTGGAAATTTCAAAATCCATACGCAAACGCCCAAAATCAACCAGACCTAATGAGACAATTAAATAACAAGGGGCATCCTTCAGTTGTCATTCAGAAAATGTTGAGCAAGGAGTTATTACGACGTGCGACAGCAAGAAAAGAGGCGCTCGAGGCACAAAGTAAAATTTCATCTTCCCTCCCATTCAATGCAAAGGAAAATGCGAGTCTAGAGCCAGAATATCCTCAAACCAACTGGGCTGCTATCCTTTTGCTAAAGTCAGTTTGCGAGGGGCAGACTCTCGTTGGGGTCGCTGCTGTTAAACGCCTCATAAAACTACATGCTTTCCAGTACGGATATAACATTCAAATATTGGATTGTGCACAGCGTTTGTTAAAGACCTTAATGCATCGGGAAGGGTAATAGGCAGAATGCATAGATTATGCGTTACAGTTCATCTCAATTATTCGACGATCACACTATTCGAATTGCGAGGCTGTTCTGTCCACACCCACCATATCATGGAAGCCAGCTTCACATTCATGGAAGCATTTCAGTTCGCCTTGATGAGGCCAGCGTGGCTATAAAAGATGCAGGAGCAAGCAATGGCCCATATCTACTAAATAAGTCAACTCAATCCACATATCAATTGGTCTGCGAGGATGTTAAAATTGGGAAAAAAATTACACTGCCAAAAAGTGTATTTACAGGAGATTTTAGCATGACACGCTCGAAGGGATGGAGAAAGTGGAAGAAGCCAAAATTAGTAGAAGTATGTGACGAGACGCTCTTCTTGCATTCGTCGTCAATCATCTGCATACCAAATCTAATAGCATGACGGCGGTTTGGCTGGGCGATGGGGTATTCTTCGCACATTCGCCGTTAGCTATTTGTCTAGTTACACTAACTGCAAATTTATATGCTGATGTATGTAAGCAGTCGACTGCTATGTTGTGTTCAGAAGTCACACACGCCAGTGTGATGAAAATAACTTGAGCCCTTACCCAGCTATGGAGCAGTTTGCCCTGTCCCAATAATCCTGCTACGGCACTTTTACTTATCCCACGCGTCATTTGTGGCCTCTCATTTATCAAAACTCGAATGACTGACATACCCTTAACGTACATCTGCAGAAAAGCGCCAAGCATACAGGGACTGCTCGGGGCCGCGGCATCGAAAGAAAAGGGCCAGGAAGAAGCATCACAAGCTTTGAGTTGGAGACGTGAACAGATAATTGACGCATAATTCCTGGGTCGTAAAGCATCGAGCCATAAATGCTATTTCGTTGGGACACGCAATGAAAAAAATGTCAACTGGCGCAAAGCCGAATTACCTGGGATGTGTGATTCCAAATTCTCTTATATAACACGACGGGGTAGCTGGTTATTAGTTGCAATAGATCACCATGAGATCTACCCGGACTCTTCGAATTCCCAGCCATGTGCGCCCTGGGACATCCGGAACCACATGGAAATGATAATCCACACGACACTTGAGAATATCATGACAACCACGCATATGGAGAATCGTGGATAGAAGAGGCACTCCGAAAAGAAGGGCTAAGATACCATTGACTTCAACGAAGCCGCTGCAGTTAAAAGCCAGCAATCTCGATCAGCCAAAAGCAAGTGGAGCAGTTACATGCAAATTGTCGGTACATAAGCCTGGCGACACTACAGCCGGACTGGTTTCCAACCTGACTCAGCTAACTATCATGGTCATTACATGAATAGGTAATAGTACATGGGACGCCTCTCTCTAAAAATGACAGGCTCCGGCGATTCCACTAATCCTAACAGTTAGAAATGTCTTTTCGTGCCCGCAGAGCTTTGCCAATGTAACAACCAGCAGCACTTAAAGCACGAAGCCGAAGATTTCATTGTCAAAAAAAAACATCCAACATTTTAATCTCAAGGACGTGTCGAGGCGTTCGACCTCAGAGGAAAGTGAAACCATGCGAATGGAGACTTACAGCAATATAAATTATATTCATCCTCCTCATTCTTCAGCCCGCGAATATCCAACGTTACATGTACCGAACTGTTCACAACATGCCGCAAAGCGCTTTCGGAAATCAGAAAGATCTGATAAATCTTGCCCTATGTCGATAAGGAATTGCCCTGGTACGAGCTATCTTGCCTACCTCATGGTGACTTTTCAGAAACCATAATCAGCCTGCCAAACCCAGGCAATTTGGTCTCCAACAGAAGAGTCAAAGGATTTGAGGTTTGGAAGAAAGGGCATTTTTTATCACACATTTTCTCTTACGATTATCACCGGTAGCAAGTACTGACAAAATTTGGTGCTTTGCTTAACCATCTCGACCCTGTAACCAACACGCGTACTCCAGATGGGTCTACATGAGTTGCGACAGCGTGTGACTTCCCGCAACAATGCTCAACGGGGTATAAGGTTGGGCCCGGACCCAAGTCCTGAAGGGGTTTCCGACGACTGCGGGAAGGAGTTTCGTTTGGTTTGCTGTCCACCAGCAAAATGACAAAGCTGTTTGGTTCCAGCGGTTCTCAAATTCCTTGACACCAACCTAACGATCGCCCAGTCCATCGAGGATGGAACTCTACAACGGCCATGTAACGACCAGCCAAAACACCGAATTCACGCTCCGCATATCAACGTTCAGAAGGGAATCAGAGCCTCTGACACTAACGACCCTCCGTCCGGTGTGATAGAAAAAGGTCTGGCGTGTTTCCCATAAACATTAGCAACTTAGCACCACAAGCACCATTATTATCTGAAGAGGAGAAAATAATGAGGATCCAACAACAAGCGCCAATAGAGAAGCTTATCGCAGAGATACGGATATGGACGCGATTGTTCTATCCAATCTCATTGCGCAAGCCTCAGGAATGTCGGACGAGCGCCGATACCAATCCCGAGATGATATTTCCCACAATGAACCACGCTGGCTTGATTGAACGATCAAAAGGAACAAATAGTCTTCGAGATGACAGTTGAATTCCTTTTAGTTGGGTGCCGTTCAACACCACAAACCCACTATGCCCCTTCATTATCAGATGGACATACTGGAGACATGCGCCATACTGCAGAGGACAGAGTATGATTTTCTCTGTACAGCATGACTTGACATGTCCACCATCTTTACTGTATAGGTATTCTTTACCATGGTCGAGGTACTCCATACCCTAATCCTGATCACTGATCACCATCGCGCACTTATCACGGCATACTTCACATGCTATATCTGTCATACTCTGCGGGCCCATGCTTGGTGACTAAATCACCAAATTAACCGGTGTCTGTGTCGTCAGGACGGCGTACCTTCCTGTACCCAATTCTCAATACAGATTCTGTATCTCACAATCTGGAGATGTTATCGAGATATTAGATATGCAGTTGGATGGGCAAGCCTTGTACTTTTCGGTTCCGCAATGAAAACAACTCCTGCGTCTGGTCGGATAGGGGTGGCCAGGGTCTACCGTTGGTCTTAAGTTGCCATATGAGCTTACCAACGGCTGCAGTATTGACCAAACGCTTACCATTGATCCACGGGTTATGCCAGGACTCAACACTTGTCAATTAGACGAACACCATGCTAAGCCAGTGTGCGTGTACGTTTAAACCAATTATATACAAAATCCCAATCTATATACAAAACCAAAAAAATCTATACAATCACCCTAGTTGATAAGAAACATACGACAACGGCCTAACAACCCTCCCCTTCGCAGTCCCAGCATACCGACTCCTCCCCCCCAACCTCCCCAAGGCCAACCCCTCCAACGTCTCCGCCTTCCCACCCCAAAGCTTCCCCCTCCCATTAACCCTCTGCACACTCGGAATCCAGAAATGCGTCACAGCCGCCCCAAGAACCATGCACGCGCTGAAGACAATCAATGACCAGCCGTGGCGGATCGTGGACTCGCGGTCTGCGGCGGGGCTGAAGCGGTAGTAGGCGGAGAAGACCTGGACGAGGATGGAGCCGAGTTTGCCGAAGGCGGCGCTTATGCCGTGGCAGGTTGCGCGGTAGCGGGTCGGGAAGACTTCGGCGGGAATTATGTAGGTTGTTGCGTTGGGGCCGAAGTTGAAGAGGATTTGGCCGAGGATGTAGAGGATGACTGCGACGGCGCCTTCGGTTTGGGTGGTTATGAAGACGGTTCCTAGGGCGATGAAGTGGGCGGCTAGGGCGATGAAAGCCCATTTCTGGAGTCCGACGCGGTCTAGTTTATGGACGACTAGGATCAATAGTAGACATCCGAAGAATGAACCACTGTTCAGAATTACCAGACCGTGGACAGACGAGTCCAGGAACATCTGATAGATATTGGCCTCGGGACGATCATCCGTTTTCCACGGCGGAGCAGCGCCTTGGAGATGTAAGGACCCCCATGTCTTAGCCAGGAACTGCGGACTCGACATGCTGATTCCGTAGAAACCAAAGTCCATGAGGAACCATGCTAATGCGGTTGCGGCGAGCGTGCGCCAGTTCCCTTCTGTCCAGAAATATTGTTTGATGTCGGACCTCGTCAGACCCCAGTGTGAGTTGAGGGTTGCTGGTGGGATCATCTCCGCTTGAGACGAGGATGCGCGATCTTCGATCGAGTGGCCAGTGATGGATAGCGCGGGCATAGGCAGATCCTGCCAACTCGTCATGGATACAGCGGTTTCCGGCGGACTAGCCGGAGACTGGTTGTTGAAGTTGAATAGATTGGTAGCGTCGAACTCAGCCTGAACGGGGTCGTCTTCGATTTCCATCAGGAAGCGGGGGGATTCCGGGATGGCGAAACGGAAGAGCGTTGCGATGGCACCTGGGATGACTCCGATACCAATCACCCATCGCCACATGCTGTCAACGGAACGCACGATATCGACGGTCTCGTGTTCGTGGCTTTTGCCTGCTGCGACTACGATCATGGCGACGAGGTTTCCGGCGATCTGTCCGAGGGGTTGCATGAAGAAGACGGTGGCCAACATGCGCGCGCGATGTTTCGTAGGAGCGAATCTGCAGCCGTTAACCACATTCATCCAGAACCCATGGGCATACATACTCAGAAGTAATAACAGCACTTAGCGGATAATCCGCCCCAACACCAATCCCAACCACAACTCTCCACCAAACCAACCACGCAAACACATCCATACTATTATGAACACCAGTCGACGACATAACCACGCCCAGCGTCGATGTAATCAACAGCGTCAATTCCACACCGTACATCTTCTTCCGCCCGTATCGATCCGCGAGATAGCCGAACAGAACCTGCCCGAGTAACGTGCCTGCGAGCGTGGCGATGTTGATACACATTAACTTCTTTCCGGATGCGTCGTTCTGCCAGTAGACGTAACTGGCCATGGGGAGGGCCATGTTGCTTGCGAAGAGCTACATAGTTAGTTGTGCTCATCGTGTAGGATAAATGTGTATGAGTGTGTACCGTGTATCCATCGAGGAAGAAGCCGACACCGGCTACGAGCACCACGATCCATTGGAAGTGTTGGCGGTCGATGGTCTCGTAGACCTGTCGCATGCGAACCTGACGGTCCTATATATCACATTGTTAGTAGTCCGTGCAGTACGTCAAGGTGCAGTCACCGACAGACATACCTGCTCATGCTCAAAATCCCGAGCCCGATCGGTCTTGTACAGCCGGCTGCGTAACCGGCCCATAGCGAAGATTTAGGGTGCGATATGCTGATAGAAGGCGTCCATTGTGAAGATGTAAGAAATATCTCCTGAATATACAGAGTACGAAGCGAGAAATGAGAGACAACCAAGAGGCTAAAAATTGCGATGACCAAAGCACGATAACAAAGAGGGGTCAGAAACCAAATCCATGTACCCGAGTCAATGGTCCTGCAGTGGTGCTGGTTTAAGGTTACTCGGCCGTTGCTGTCACTGGTTAATGCCCGTCTTAGCGCCCGCGGTGGGTGACCCCTTAACGCCAATTATAGTTAAACAATAGCTACACGTGCCCCAAGCCAGCGGACCGACAGGCTCGGCCAACAACGTGATGGTCCACTTGTCACCTGTAGGACTGTGCACATGCGAGAATAGTACAATACGATTGGAGGCAGTTGAGATTACACGTGCAGGCCATGCCGTGACTGATTCGGATTATCCGATTTAAAAAAAAAAAAAAAAAAAAAAAAAAAAAAAAAAAAAAACAAAGAAATACAGAAAAGGGTATTGTTGTTCCACCTGAACGCCTGACCATGAATCCCGAGATAGCCCCCATCCGGATACCGAGAAGAAGACACATTTTAGATCTTTTGCGCGGACAAAAACTCACAGAAACGCTTTCGATCTGCCCCGCGTTAGTATGGCTTCACGTAGAGAATGAGGCAGACTTACCACTATCATCAAGAAATTGAATCTGTAAGACCTTCATTTGCGATAGAAGATCGAAATTTGGCTGTAACTGCAAGACCACCGGCTTCCCGGCTTTCTTACCCGGATGGACACTTTCAATGCAGCTGACTGGTATTGAGACGTAGCGCTTAGCCTCTCGTCTTAACGAATTGGCGAAGAAAAGCATCACTTGCTTGCCATTATGATCTTGTAGAATGCGTAGATTCTGGCTGATACATTCTTCGCCACGACCTTTTGATTTGGCTTCTGCGATGCCGGCGATGAAGACAAGTTTGGATGCTAATATGAGCTCCTGGAATTGTACGGCATCTGCACATGTCAGCAGCAATTCCTGGATAATTGAATAAAGGAGAATACCTCGCTCATCATCAAAAGTGTAGGATATTTGCGTCGTAAACACCGTATGCGCCGTTTGTACCGTCTGCTCATCCAAAAAAGATATCCGAAGCGACGGCTCATGAGGTAACTTGGGATGCTCCAAATGCGGGACAGGCAGTTTTGTATTATGAACTGAACAGTCAGTTTCGCATCGAATTGAAAAAGAAGGATATACCCACAGCTATGCACAAATGCCGTCTGCTGGCCCACGCCACCATTCAACTCCAAGCACTTCAATGCCCCGCCTGCATCTTTGCAAATGTCGATATATAGATACCGTAACCGAAACAACTTGTTATGTCGCACAAACGTGCTGCTTCAATTAGCCACTGTTATATTCCAACCGGGGTAAACGTACACAGTCACACTAGGATTCAACGTTAACCGCACTACATCGTCGTACAACGAGTACGACGTCTTCCTCGACCCGGAACCCTGAGACGACGTCCCCGGACTCAACGGCGGGATAAACTGCGACGACCGGGACGAATGCGTCGACGAGGAAAATACGCTCTCTCGGGGTGTATTCGGGAGAGGCCAGTCCTCCGAGTCGTAAGGATGTTGGCTCATGGCCAATGTGGCTGGCTTTTCTTTCACTTGGGAGAACTTGAAGACATCTGCAACGGTAGAAAAAAGGAAAGTTGAATTGCGCTGATCCGAGTGATCACCGACGGACTTTCATCACCGACAGGGGGAGAAAAATCAAACGTAAGCAAACAAATTGTCGGCGATTATTTATGGAAGAGCAACAAATGCCAACCATGGGCTTGAACAGACCAAAGACACGTGAACCCACCGTGGGGCGGGATTGGTGCTGTGGGTCAACTTTGGGTATTTCCTTTTTGGGTTACTATGTTTATGATAAGATGTAATCTGCCCTGGACTATATCAATGTAAAAAAATGACCATTTCGAGTCTTGAATGCTAGATTTAAGCATGCAAATTGAATCCGATCATATGAATCCTCAGTGAAAGCATATCTCCCTAGCCCCCGAACTTAATCGTGCCTTGCCCAAATTTGGCCCTGAACTCAAACATGACCAAATGTCAATGAGCCTTCTGGATCAATTTTGGAATCAAACGATCTACATTTCCTTAAATTGGTCTGTCTCGGATGGTTTCCTTGACTCGGTATGTTTTGGGGACAGATACAAATTTGGGTAATTGGACGAATACAGATTAAGATATGGGATATCTGACCAAAATATATACATGACTTCTCTCAACTAAACCGACAACAATACTCTCCACACAAACACCTCTTATCCAACTGCCTCCAATAACTATCCGAGTAATCCACCGTAATCTCACTTCCCGCCGTTATCCCCCTAGAAACGACCAAAATCCGTTCTTTTCCACGCCAGTAAAACTTCCGAAACTGACTATTCGGCTTGCAAGAATGGTTGATAAACCGCGTGAAGTTGCCCATTTGTCCCTGGAAGATCTGGTACGTACGCGGGCGAGCGCCTCCTACCATCACGTCGACGCCTTGAATGCCATTGGTTATGAGGCCGGTAAATTCACCGATAGCGGTGCCACGTTCGATATTCTGGGTGTGTTAGTATTGGCCAGATTGGGAATGGTAGGGGACTTACATAGCGCGCAATAACACCATTGTTCCTCCCACTGGTCGTATGGAATATCTGTACAGGGGCCGGACTTCGAACGCTCCCGAATAAAGACGGAAAGCACGAGCATTGATTTATCTTGATATCGTCTGACTGCCTTTCCTTACAGACCTGGCAAATATCTGTATTCTCCAGCTCAGGGATCACGCGCGGGTCGATTATTCCAAACACATTCTGGTCCAACACGCATTGATCGATAAACTCATATTGAAACCCATTAGGCAAATTTAGATGGCCATAAGTCGAAGCCAGTGGTACTGCCGCCTCACCCCCGGACACAGTAACCCATTCATGGGGTTGTCCATAATAACGGCGTGGTTCCTCCTGTCCGATAATGTGCAACAGGCCTCTCCATTCTGGATGGAGTGTGTCTGCCGCCACTTCGAAAGCAGATCGAAGATGCCGAAGACGTGTTGCGAAGCCGTCGCTAAAGCCGGTCCGGTATTTGCAGAACCGGTATACACCGGTACTGGTAAATATGAGACTTGCCCATCCGCCTGCGTCTTTAATGTCTTTGTAGCCTCGCCAGATAGCCCTGTTATCGTCAGCCTGTACTTATAAGAATGAGTCACGGATGACATACATTCTGTTTCGAAGGTCCTTTTCCTTCCAGTTGAGGACGGCACATGCTTCTTTTAGTGCCGTCATCCGGGCTTCTGTGGATGAATAATTTGGATTTTCCAGTCGAATGACGGCAATTCGCGCTTCATAGCATTCGATCCAATATGCTTGAACTATCATCTCAAGAGCTCTCGATGATTGGCTTTGATTATAGTATTTCATGCACAGAATATTGACGGCTTGGAAAACCTCGCCGCTGACCCCGGTGCGAATGTTCACGCTTGGTTCCGGAATCTACTTTGTGTTAGCATTATGCATTTTGAATTCCCGGAAAGGAAACATACAGTGGAGAAGCGCGTGAGTTGCACCGACGAAAACAACTGTTTCCAAATTCCTGCAATGAGTTTGTCCATCGACGTGGGTTCCAAAACGGGTACATCTTTTCCGGACTTTTTGCGCTGAGGAAAGCGCGTTTCGGTATGCACCTGCCGGGCAGAGGATGCTCCATCCTCACTGTTCTCTGGCGTGTGTGGCGCTGACTCTGTTGGTTTTACTGGACGCATGCCACTAGTCTTGCGGCGCTTGGGCGATGGGGGTGAGATTTCCACATCTGGTTCAAATGGGGTATTATTCTTTGCAAGATTGACCTGATCTTGACTTATTTCGCTGTTATAGTCACTGTGCTCGGCAGTAGCAGTTGTCGTGTTCACCGGTATGACCTGGCCATTTTGCAGGTCGATACTACCCTTCTCAGTGTCAGTAAAAGCCCTTCCCTGTATATAATATATTGACAAGATACCAGCAAAATTCTTTTTGATCCTCTGCCCGGACCGAGGGAGGCTTCGATGTGTAGGACAAGAGGGCTATCTTGTTCGATGTTGGCAGCTTTACATGCAGCAGCCAACTGCAATGGAAAATCCTTGTTACCCAGCACATCGCATAGCTGGAGGACAGGCTGATATTTTATATACATGATGCCTGTTGGCCTTTTTGGTCTTCCGGATATGGACAAGATGAAGCTATTCAAAATTGTGTCTGCCCAGCAGTGGCTGAGTCAGCAAATGATATCATAAAGTCATATTCAGTGAGAATATCCTTCAATTGTCTTCTGTTTTACTGGATTTCAATATAAGGGTTACAGGGGTCAAAAAGGCGCTGCAAGTACCTACATTTATGGACCTGTGTATGGGGTGTAAGAGTGCAAGCCATATGCACTCGCCCAGTAGCCGTGGCCTACACTAGTGCGGACCGTATTATAAAGGGAGAATCTTTCCATTCCTCCTTTCTTCCCTTCTCTTCTTCCCTTTCCATTCCATTCATATCTGCTTGTTTTTACTTATTGCACAGCCGCTGGCAACATGGCCTCAGAAAAACCCACCTACACCTACGAAGGCCTCACAGGATGGAAGAGTCTGCGTCCACTGCGTCTTTTCCGGGGTATGTACTACGATGTCAAGCGTCGTCTGCCCTACTACCACAGCGACATCACCGATGCCTTCACCTACCGGACCGTGGCCAGTATAATCCGGATGTACTTTGTCAAGTATGTCTTCATCCCTGTTCTCGTTCTTGTTCCTTTCAAGGGAAGTAGCTGACCAGCATAGCGTCCTCCCGGCTATTGCATACACGCTTGACATGTACCGTCGGACAGGCCAGTTCTTCGGAATCAATGAATCTCTGTTTTCGTCGGCCATGGCGGCCATGATATTTAGCATTTTCGCAGCTCAGCCGTTGACTATTGTGGGCATCACGGGTTTGATATCCCTGTTTAACTATACTATTTTCGATATTGTGACGCGGTATGAGCCTGCCATCTATGCAAACTTCATGTGCTGGACGGCCATTTGGGGTGCCATTTTTCATTGGATCGTGGCTGCGTGTAATCTATGTGATTATATGCGCTACGTCACCGACTTTTCGTCCGAGTCGTTTGGCATGTATGTCGGGATTATTTATTTGAGTGAGTACCGGTACCCTGATATGTCCGCGAACAAGTGACTAATATCTACCAGTCAAAGGAGTAGAAGAACTTGTCAATGAATTCAGTGAAGTAGACCGCACAGCCGGCTTCATGAGCTGCATGATCGCTATCCTCTACTTCCTTACCGTTTATTCGCTCGAGCTTTTGGGGACAAGCACCGTCTTCCGACCCATGATTCGAACCCTACTTGCAGACTATGCATATGTCTTTGCTACTATATTTTGGGTTGGGTTCTCCCATATCCCGGGTAATCTCAAAGCCGCGGATATCTCCAGAGTACCCATCTCAAAAGCATTTTACCCAACCCAGCCGCGTGGCTGGTTGATTCATTTCTGGGAATTGGACGTAAAATGGGTATTTGCTGCGTTGCCATTCGGATTCCTAATCATGCTCCTCTTCTACTATGACCACGTACGTCTTCCATCCCCTGTCTCAGCAGAAACTCAGTCTAATCCAGACCAGAACGTCAGCAGCTTAACAGCCCAAGCCCGCCAATTCCCCCTAAAAAAACCCGCTGGCTTCCATTGGGACTTCTTCCTCCTCGGCATCACCACCTTTATCGCCGGCATCACCGGCGTCCCTATGCCAAATGGCCTAGTCCCCCAAGCCCCCGTGCACACGGACTCGCTCACAAACTACCAAACAGAGCTCGATATTGTCTCGACGGCTGAAGGCGAGGGTGCGGAGATTCGGAGGCCCATTATTAAACCCGTTAACGTTGTTGAGCAGCGCGTTTCGCATTTCTTTATGGGGTTGGGGATTATTGGGACGATGACGGGGCCGTTGTTGATTGTGCTGCATACTATGCCTGCAGCGGTGTTTGCGGGGGTATTTTTTACGGTTGGATGGGGGTCTGTTGGGGGTAATGGAATTGTGAAAAAGGCTATTTTTCTACTGCTGGAAGACAGGTTCGTGGCTAGGGATGAGCCGCTACGGACTGTCAAACGCAGCAAAATTACCCGTTGGATTGTGTGTCAGGTGTTCGGGGTCGCAGCTTGTGTGGCTATCTCGCAGACTATTGCGGCAATCGGTTTCCCGGTTCTTATCATCGCGCTGATTCCCTGGCGCGTGTGGATCATCCCAAAATGGTTCAGCCAAGAGGAACTCGACGTCCTCGACGACTTGACAGCGAATAATGCCGCCGTGCTGGAGAGCATGAGCGGACCTCCCAATTTCCCCGGCGAACGACCTAGACGTCCAGAGGACATCAACCTCCAGCGAAGACATACAGAGCATCAAAAGGGAGCAGAGAGACAGCGTGCTGCTGATATTCATCGGTGATCTTCTTCATAATATATCGAGGGGAGAACCTTCCCCCGACACTCGCCAAATCCGAACTTTACCCCCATTCTTGAATTCACGCACCATCCCTCCATGACTACTTCGTCGCCATCTTGTAGGAATTCGATTCCGTTGGCCTTGAGCTCGGATAGTTCGTTTTCTGGAGCTTTGCGCTCGACGAGGCAGGCGATGCCGTCTTTTTCGCCTTTGAAGTTGGTGCGCTGGTTGGTGTTAGTATATAGTGTATTGGATTGATAGAATAATAACTGATTCAACTTACATCGCTGGTGATGGTTCCCGTTCCAAAGATGTCACCTGTACTCAAGCCCTCACCCGCACTGGCTAAATGCGTCAACTGCTGATACGGCGTCCAATATAGTTCGTTTAGGTTAGTCGAGGTGACATTATACAATTTTCCATTCCCTGTTTACATCTAGTCAGCATCACGAACCCACCAGGGCGTCCAGGGAAAATACATACGCAAAACCCTCGCCTGCAACTTAACATCAAACGTCGCCTCCCCCTCCCTCCCCTTCCACCTCAAATGCGGCAACACCCCCGCCTCCTGCCCAACCTCAACCGCACAAGCCACGCTATCCAACGCCTCGCATGTAACAACCCAGGGCGAAACACTAGTCCCCGACCCCTTCCCATGAAACGGCCCCAACGGCACCATTTCAAACCCCTGTATATCCCTCGCCGACCAATCATTCAGCACCACGAATCCGAAAATATGGTCCCGCGCGTTACGAATGTTCAGAATCTGACTTGCGGGAAGCGGCTTGGAGATGAAGACGCCCATTTCGAGCTCGAAGTCGAGGGCTTGGGTTGGGGCGTAGATTGGGGGATTGTTGGGGATGGGTTGGATTACGCCGCGGGGGCGGTGGATGGGGGTGTTTGTGATTTTGAGGCTAGAGGTGCGGCCGTTGTAGACTTGGGGGATGGAGAAGAAGCTGGGGGTTATGGGGGCGTTCATTACTTTTGCGCACTGTGGTGGATTGGTTAGGGGTTGCGTTTGGGGGTGGAAGGGGAGAGACGTACGTTCTTGACATGTTCCAATGAGCAGAAGAAGTCCGAGAAGTTGGATGTGTCCATGGGATAGTGGTATGTCACTGTATCGAGCGGGATGTAATAACTCGGTGGAAGACCACCATGGAAATACCTGGTGAGGGAGTTTCGAACCTTGAGACGGATCTCTTTTGGCATCGCTGCGAAAGCGTTCAGAGTAGGCTGTTCATTCCATATTAGCAAGCCATTACCAGCCCTACTAGGTCTAACACATACCTGCGAGAAAACATTACCTATCATCTCAATCCCGCCCTTCCCCTCAAGTCCCGGAATATCACTAAGAAATCCAACTCGCTCAAGCGCGCTCAGATCTATCGCATAATTTCCGAAGGCTGTTGCGCATCGCGGCTTTGGATTGTCGGGTGTCGAGATGACGCCGAAGGGGATGTTGTCCACGGTAAATGGGGAGCCCTCCTCCACGCTATTAAGCATGGCTAGGTGAGCAGCCGACATTTTCACGATATATGGCGAAGAAGTGGTCGAAGAAAAAGAAGAAAAGTGTACCACGTATATATTCGGCAGGTTGTTTGTGTAGTTGTGTACTCCGTACCGAGAACGGGATTGTCAGTCAGCTTGGGTATCCGTGCATTGCTTATTACTACCATGCATATGGAAATGCAGGAAACTTGGGTTACACAATGACGGCCAAGATTTCATGTGAGATATCCTTTTTGTCCTTGTTATCTGATGATGCTGTTCTGTGGTTGTTAGGGAAGTGAGGTAATACAGTGAATTGCATAGTTCCTTCATCTTCCACAAGCCGCAACAACCGCCTACTGTTGGCATTCCTGCTGGACTTTTTACTCGAAGACACTCAAAAGGAGAAGTTCGAAACTAATCGGTATGAAGAGAGAATAAAATCATTCAAGAGACAACGCGTTGACCCCGCTGCCAGCGAGTTTCGATTCTTCAAGCGAGGAGAAATCCCCACTGTCCCACGACAAAGAGGAGCTGGACGATGTTCTCACCAGGTTGTTGTTTGCTCGACCAGACGTGCAGTTTCTAAGGGAGATACTCCAGTTACTCCTCCATCATCAAGATAGCTGAATGCCATCTCTCATCATCTCCTAACCCTTATAGCCCTTAGCTATACCGCGGAAGCGAAGAATTTTATATCCCATAAAACGCCAATTCTGCCAATGGACAATTTGTTGCTCTGCACACAGATCAGCCATCAATGGCCGTCAATCTCCATTAAACCCTCAGTTCACTGTGCTCAGGTTAATATCTGATATATGAAAGGCAGGCTATTTTTATCCCAATCGCCCACCCACTATTATGTAACCCCGAAACCGGCCCGGCCTTGTATCAAAAAAATAAAAAAAAAAACAACCCACGCCCAGCCAAATCCCCAATACACAAACAACATGGCGAAAGTCCAAATTTTGGACGGAGGCCTCGGCACCTCACTACAAGACCAATACAACATCAACTTCGATTCCACAACAACACCTCTCTGGTCATCACACCTGCTGGTAAGCGACCCAGCCACCCTACAAGCCTGCCAACGAGACTTTGCCATCGCAGGAGCCGACATCCTCCTGACAGCCACCTACCAAGTCTCAGCAGAAGGGTTTGCGCGGACAAAGACGTCCGCTTTTCCCGATGGCATTCCGCGCAGTGCCGCGGGGCCCTTATTCCTGCAGACTGCAGTGGATGTTGCTGAAAAGGCAAAAGTCCGCGACGACTCTAGCATCGCGCTTAGTCTTGGTCCCTACGGAGCGTGCATGATTCCTGGACAGGAGTATAGTGGTGCTTATGACGTGGAGCACGACTCTGAAGACGCGTTGTATCGGTGGCATCTGGATCGACTGCGGATGTTCGTTGAGGCGGATGCGGATGGGGATCTTATTTCTCGGGTGCAGTTTGTTGTTTTTGAGACGTTGCCTCGGCTTGATGAGGTTCGGGCTGTGAGGAGAGCTTTTTTTGATTCGGGGATCAAGGTGCCGTTCTGGATTGCTTGTGTTTTCCCCCAGACGGACGATGTCTTGCCTGATGGGAGTTCTGTTGAGCAGGTTGTGCAGGCTGCTGTTGGCCCCATGGAGGGTGGTGGTGATCCGTGGGGGATTGGGATAAATTGTACCAAGATTCATAAGCTGTCCGGGCTTGTTGATAAGTTTGGTCAATGTGTTGCGGAGGCTATTGCTGCTGGGCACATATCGAATGTTCCGAGTCTGGTTTTGTATCCCGATGGATCGAATGGGGAGGTTTACAATACCACGACGCAGGTCTGGGAGAAGCCTGACGATTCTGGTGATATGAATAGCAGGGACACGGTACGGCTATTTACTATCTTTGTTTTGTCTTTTTGCGCGAGAACTCCCAAAAGCAACATGCTGACGTGGAATTCAGCGACCCTGGGAGCAGCAGCTCGCACAAGTGGTCAATGAGGCCTTTTCCAAGGGCCAATTCAACTCGTTCCTCGTTGGCGGATGCTGCAAAGCTTCCCATTACGATATCGGAAAGCTCCGAGGGCAGTTCCAGACCAATTGACCAGTCCATGGGGAAAGAAATAAAATCAAGCTATCACGAATCATGCATGGTAAAGGATAAAATTGATACATCGCTCATGTTGAAAGGCTGGTATATATATACAATGAGGGTTATTTCAAAATAGCCAGTCGACGAACTTTCGCCACGGGCTGTTATGTGGATTTTTCTGTGGCATAATCTCCCCGTCCACAAGACGGCCGGACCATAAATCAATATTGGCAGCACGTTCAAACTGTAGAATGATATGTTAGCAACTGTGCTTCAAGAATAGAAATGGAATGGATGAGGCAACAAACCTTGGTACGATACCAGAGCTTCCAGCAAATAATGGGAACAATGAAGATAGGAATGCCAACATAAGACGCAACAAAATCAGACGTAGACCAGTTGCCCTTGAGGAAAACGGGAAAACCCGCAATCAAAGTGATGACGGTAGACATGATGAAACCAAACCATGCGGCATAAGGTTGAAAAGGCGCCTTCCATGGGAGGGTTTCTCGGCTGATACCCTGCTTCTTCATTGCAGCATAGAAGCGAATATAGCAGAAGCAAAGCGTTGCCCAGGCAATCAGACCAGCGACGGTGCTAAGGTTCAGAAGCCAGGTAAAGGCCTGCGCTGCACCACCGGATCCAAGACTCAGATATGCCAGGGGACCGAAGAGCCAAGCGGCGATGACAGCCACGTATGGCACACCGTTTTTATCCACGCGCCCGAAGAACTGGGGCAGCTGATGGTCTGTAGTCATGGCGACGATCATGCGGGAGCCGACCCAGCAGTAGGAATTACCGGCGGACCAAGCGGCGACGAGGATGCATGCATTCACAATGGAGGGCAGCGCGGTGATACCAGCGTTCCTGATGGCAATCACGAATGGCGAGCTGTTGGCGTTGTCAGAGCCGGAGACAAGGTTTGAATTCCGGGGGTCCACGATGAGGCCGATGAGAAGGGCGCCGAGAATGTAGAAGAAGGCAATGCGATAGGTCACTCGACGGGCAGCCTTTGGAATGGCACGGTGCGGGTCGACGGACTCGGAAGCTGTGATAACAACGGTCTCGACACCAATGAAGCTGAACGAAGCGTTGACGAAAGACGACAGGAATCCGAGAAAGTGGCCTGTCGGACCAGTGATACCGTTGTAGTTTGTCCATGCTCCAGGATTGTTCCAGAACCGAAAGCCAATAGTTTCATGGTTTGGCCCCCCGCCTGCAGTGATAACGATGGAGACAATCACAAGGCCGAGGAAGCAGAGAACCTTGATGGCACCTCCAACAACTTCACTATCACCATAGAAGCGCACACTCATCAAATTGATAGCCAAAATTAGCACCAACCCAACTGTGATCACAACTGCAGGCGTTATGTCCGTCCAATATGAAACAATGACCGCGGCGGCAGATGTCTCCGAGGCGATAGCGATCGTGTAACAGTATCCGTACGAAATAGCGAGTGAAAAGCCGACAGCCGGGTCGACAAAGCGAGTAGCCCAGTGAGGAAAGGATCCGGCGGTTGGGAAAAGCGTTGCCAGCTCGGCGATGCTCTGCATCACACACCACAGAACCATTCCGACGACGATATATGCCAGCAGCAAGCCAGCGGGGCCAGCTTTGGCATAGGCCGAACCAGTGCCAACGAACAGACCGGTACCGATACCACTGCAGAAACCAATCATGGTGACCTGGTAGTTCCGCAGGCGGCGCTGCAAGGCAGCACGGCCGCCGACATTGAGTGCCAGTTCCTCCTTGGGGTTAGCATCATAGTCGACATAGTCTGCAGGAGCCGACTGGATGTGATCCTCAGGGAAGCCGGACTTGTCCATCTTTTCATGATCAAGACCGAGAAAGAGGAATTGAAAAGTGTCTGATGGGATACAAGCTTTATTCTTTCCTCCGAAATTTTAAAAATCGCGCGAATCACAACATCGGAGCTCCATTTTTCGCACCACTGTTTTTTCTCCACAACATGGAGGCTCATTGGGCTCCGTGAGAGTGCTTTCGGGGAAATTTAATCTCTCGGTGGGCCTGGGTCAACTTGCGCGATGTTCGGAATCGAAAAAAACTTGATCTTGAGCTTTTGAACGGCCACAGCTACAACAATCATACTGGCTGCCCCGGAGCCCACTGTGTAAGAGGCCAAACCCGCGAAGCTATTGACCAGCTATAAGTATATATGTTCCTATATGTACCTGTTTTTCTAGAGCGACCATGACTTTCCTCTTCTGGACGCCACCGCTTGAACGGGGGTACTCAGGGCCTGCTCAGTTGTGAATATGGACTAATGAGTGAGTGGTTGATTGGGTGGTCGGTCGACCAGACCGGCTATCTATTTGGCCTAACGAGGGCGGTAAGAAAGCACGTGATCACCGAGTGCTGTTAGTACCCATCGGGTCACGTGTCTGACCGCCCTCGCTTTCTGCCCGGTAGTTTATATAGTTAGCTCAGAGCCTCAGCCGATAGGCCATAAACCAATCAACCATTCACCACACACCAAAAGGTTATGAGCCCTCTTGCTCGATAAAGGGAAGAGTGATATATGTGTTGGTTCCTTTAGTGAGCTATTCTTGTTTGGCCTAACAGATTACGCTATTTGCCTATAAGAATCAATCGCTATCGTACACTCTGTTTATCCCTGAAAACATTTTTCGTCAGAAAAGCTTTATATCCATACTGAAGCGCTCCAATATCAATCAATCAAAAATCAACTATAACACTGATGATAACAGTTGGTTCCACTGCCTCTGCATTGATATGGCCCCCTGAAAGGCCAAAATGGCACCAGTTACCCAGGTGCCAACCCCACAAACTATCCAGCATGATAGCCACCAGCAGGCTGATTCAATGGATATTGACGACCACACAACACCTACTCCAGGTGATTACCCCGTCGACAAGACAAATACTCAGGGAAGATTCCCTGATGACACACCATCGACACTGATTTGAGGGGGGAACCAATCAAGCCCCCAGCCTCAGGAACAAGACTTTCAACGGGCAAAGGCTCTGGAAAGGGCTCAAACGTCTGAAAGGCCTGAGCAGTCTACCCAAACTGCTCAACAACCTGCTAAGAAGTCTAGCCACGACCTCATTGTGGAATTATGGCGCAGACTTGAGCAGAAGGATGAGGAGATGTCAGAACTCTGCCAGGCACAGATGAATGCCAATACATCCTCTACAGACTTCCGCCTAGCTGATCAGCTGTCCAAACTGTTTGAGCAAAAGGATAGCCAATCAATGCTGGATAGGGAAGAACAACACCTGAGACAGCTCGCACAGACATATTGGTGAGAGACCAAGAAACTGCACGGACAAGATAATTATTCTGATTGGTTGTTAAACTGGTCGTCCGCCCGGCGGGGGTAAACTATGGTAGAAGCGTGATAGAGTGTATATGGAGGTAGTATATGTATGTAACAACTTCGGTAGTAATAGCCAGTCCCATTGGTGATTAGACTGAACGCTGGTCTCTCTAACGTTCGCCCAGCGGTCTCCCTAAGGAATGTCGGGGTCACGTGCCCGCTCCGGGCGGCCCTGTACCTAAACGGGTTACGACCGCACTATTACTACTTCGGACTAGTGCCAGTAGACCTTCGGTGCTTGTCTAATATACATGCGTTCCGCCCTATGTCCGTAACAAAATGTTGCCATCAGCGCTGCAAAAGAGCTCAGGCAGTGATGATGAGTACTGCACTATGTCCACTACAACTTTCTGAGTAACCTTTTCAAGGAAGATTCCCTCTTTCTCCCAGCCTCTGTAATGCCAAGAGGTTTTAATTGCAAGCGATGCTGGTCAGTCTTCAACACACTGGGGCCCCAAGTCATCAGGCCAGTATGCATCATGAGCTCGTCAAAATCAAAGGTTGGGCCGCTTTGCGTAGGGAACATTGTGAGCCAAACAATCATCCCAGCTAAACTATTTGGTTTTACACAAATCAGTTGAAACTAAGCAAATTTTCATAAGGTTTTGAAGAGCGAAAGCATGAGGTTCGATACATATTCTTTGCCACAAAAAAAAAGAGTGCATTGATTCGGTGACGGCCGTGGTCGGATGTGGCCCTGTTGGTCTCTGTACTATTGCGTGTGCGCTCACAATGGTCAAAATCGTATATGCAATCGATTCTGTCCCAGAACGACTGGCGGAGGCGAAGCAGCTTGGGGCAATTCCCATCAACCTGAACGATAACCCTGTGGAGAAGATTAAAGCAGCTTCCGAAGGACGCGGAGCAGACATGGTCATGGAGGTTGTCGGACATGCAAACGCCTTCATGCTTGCATTTAACTTAATCCGTCCGTGGGGCCAGATTAGTTCCATCGGTGTTCATACCGAGGAACTCCCTCTGAACGGTCTTCTGTGCTACGGCAAGAACGTGACCATGGCTTTTGGCCGGTGTCCCGTTCGAAGTGTGTTCGATGAAGCGTTGGTAGAGTTCGAAAAACTGCACCCCAAGCTTGCCTTCTTGACCGGTGAGATCATGTCGCTTGAAGATGCTCCCCAGGCTTACAAGGACTTCGAAGCTCGCAAGATCCATAAGGCCGTTTTCAAGCTACCCAGAATGTGACATGGTCCTTGCGAGTTTGCGGTTTTCCTAAGGGCAGCCCTTGGCACGCCCGTAGCTCTTAACTGGTGCTCCCATCTTGTGTAAATACATAGGTGTTCTGAAGTCTTTACCCACTACCCCACTTTGAAATCACCTCAACAACCAACCCATGACTCTTTTCTTCTTACACCACCTATTTGCCTCAGGTATAGAAAATATATCATTACGTAAAGCGAAAGGTGAGCTTTCAGCTGAGCAGTGCTTAGCTATTATCTATAGCTATCAAGGCGGGGTTTCGCAGACAGAGTTAGCCGTCGATTTTAGGTGTATTCGCAAAACTATCTTTAATACAATTCAAAGGTTCAAACAGCAAGGTTCAAACAGCACCACACCGTCGAATCACTCCCTCGAAGCGGTCGTCCGAGGGAGTTTAGTTATAGAACTCGCTATTATATTTATCTCCAAGCTCGCCGGCACCCCTTCTATACGTATAAGCAGCAAGTGCAACTACACCCGGTAATCCTTCGCAGACGCTGATTATATAAGGTTTAAAGCAGTTTTGACTTTTTAAATAACCCCCTGAGTCTGAATAAATTCCCAACGACCATCTGGAGGAGAAAGGATCCGAAGTCGCGCCGTTGCTCTTGAGCCTTCTATGTAGATGCAGCGACGATTTGGTAAATGCTGAAATCAAGCAAAATTTTGATGGCTAATCAGACTTTGAGGACAAAGTGGCCAGATACAATGCAGTGAGCAGCATGCTGATTTATAAATGACAGCGTCCTTGCCTTTGATATTCTAGCCCTGGTCTGAATTAGTATTGACATGCTGTGATGCTCGGTTCAGAGATTATGCTACCAGAGTTCCTATTGGCTGGCCGTGCCGAGTACGTTATCGGAGCGGAACTCGGGACTTTCGAACTCCTCCGAAACGTAAAACAACCAAGCTTAGAAAGCTGCCAAACCATTGAACAATCTTGAATTGATCATCCTCTTAATATGCTGCATGTCAGCCGTTCATTCTTAGAACTCGTTCTCTATAGTGCCGGCCTGCCGGTTCATCCTTCGGCTCCATTGGAGCAGCTGGGCTGAGACTGTGTGTCAGATCATTTTGGCATCCCAGTCATCTCTCGGCTAACGACATAATGCCGGGACTCTATTAGATCCTGCTGGTTAAAAACCAATTTTGATTTGTATTCAGGCGCATTCACTAGGGCTGCAACGATATCGGGTAATATTAGGTCGTGTCAGTTTATCTATATCTCACAGAAATATGTGACCAATATTGTATGGATCTCAGAACGGTAATATCAAATTCTCTAACTAAACGCTATGAAATTGACAATTTTGTAGTACAGGCGCACAAAGAGTAATATGCACTTTTATGTAAGGTGTCTGATACCTATGTCGTAAGATATTCTCGGTTAAATACCCAGAAATCTACATGCAGATCCGCCATATTTCTGACAATATCTGTCAAGTTCTTATCAATTTGTATCAATATAATCGAATTTACACTTATTTAGACAATTGCTTGATATCCTTCCCTTTTTCAACCGAGGAGGGCCCTTTCTTTTCTCTAAACCTTTGTTTACTCTTTTTTTTCCGAGTCTGCTCGGGTTTAAACTCGCATTCCGATTGGCCCACACTTGAATGTGTTCCCTCAATCCCGATATGGCTCGGAAAGCATTTCAAATTGCCGCAATTGTTCCAGTGCCCATGTAGGTAGCATAAATGACTAACTACAACTAACGCAATGTATGTATCTCATTTGATCAAAATTTCCCTTATCATTCTAATACAGGGTGTCGAGAAAATCCAGAGCGCTGAAGTCTCTATGAAGTCAGTAAGAGGTGTAATTCACACCGGCAATGCTTGCTGATAGGAACTCATCCGCATTGCCATAGCATGATCTATCGGTGCAAGAATTTGTGGGACAAAGTCTATAGACTGATCCATATCTTGATCTTGTTTCGGGGGGTTTAAGACGTCGCTGGATTAGATTTGTGTTGGACTTGCCGCATACCCTCTGGTAAGCTACTTAATTGAGCCAGGGGAAGTTAGCCGCTGGGTTTTGGTCGAGATCCTCTTTGCGGTTGGACAATGCGAGAGCATCCGTGGCACATTTTACAATGCCCATGCTAAACGCTTTTCCTGCAATAGGGCCCCATGTGCTCCATCTAGCCCAGACAGTAAATCCCACGTTCAACGGAGCTAAAAAAGATTCGAGCACACATCGTTGTCACTGATGAGCTTGTCACAGTGTAAAGGAGAGTTATGCAGGCAGAGACGATGTAATCAGCAACCGAATCATCGTTTCGTATCCGTGTGACCCGCTGAAAGATGGCATTACTGGCGATCTCAGTCATCTCTTTGGCTGATTCGATTGACATGCCGATAGATATTTGCATTGAGCCCAATGTGACCGAGTCCTTTTCATCGATCTTAGATGCAGTACAGGAACTGGACGAAACGAGAGCTGGACGGTGGGTCATCATTCCGATCAAGTGGAACGCGAGACCGACATGGGTACACTGGATCTCCTACCATGCTTGGCCATGCATGCGATTCCGGTCAAACAAATGTAAGTAGATTGGTATATCGCGCAGTATCTCTTGCAGCGAGTCGTCACATTCGATGATTGTCATATCAACAGGGGTGTTGGTCATATAGATTCTGGAGATTTGCAAGCGAGAAGATACTCCTTGACACCCTCTTGATCAACTGACCTATGTGAGTGAAGGCACATGCGTTTTCCGGGGCATTCTGATATCTCTGGCAGTGTCGTCAGATAATATCGTGCTCTCACTATTGACAAGATCGTCGAGTTGCGCAACGTCTATGTGGCTATCCAAACATCCCAGACGGGCTGCCGGTAAAGAAGGCACATCTGCGCTCGCAGTAGCAAACTGTTCAGAACGTGACATGAAAACTCTGATTAAAGGAGCTCCAAGGTTCAAAATCTTTTCTCTCGTCGTTTTCCTTAATTCATTAATATCTTTTTGCTCACTTTTTTGACTTTGACCTGTCTATCCCGTCTCCGCCTTTCTCTGGCACCAAATTTTGACCACCGGGGCCTCTTATGAAGCTACAGACGTATGAAAGATTGCGTATATTTACTGTAGGCCCATCTCAGTGCGACCATATCTCCCATAGTGATTATAGAAAAATGTGGAATCTTTTCAAATCATCCAATTCTAACGATCAAAATCTGGTCTTGGCACCCAAACATGATGTCAATACATTTAAATTTAGAGTCATGGAACGGTTTTTAGATTCGCCGCCATCGCTTACCAATTCTCCCGACTCTCAAGTGTCCCGAGGTTCATGAAATTAAATCTTCCCGGAAGGACAAAAATGTGGCCGGTTCGGTGACTTTGGGGCTTTAATTAGTAATTGCTATGTAGACCGATTGTTGCGGATCAGTGGATCTCCAAGTTTGGTTATTGCAGGTCAGTAGGGGCCGACTGAGCTCTTAGTGGGGTGGAGGGGGTGAGTTTATTTGGTTTGGGGCACCCAAACAGGATGCTTGATTTCTTTCCTTATGTCAAGAACTAAGGTTGCAATACCTATTGATACAGGGTATTCGTATCCGAATATCATGTGACCACATGTACGAGGCATACCATACAAAAGTGCATATTACCAGTTAGTCGTCATGTCCGCACAGATTGTCCAAAAATTGCGGTTTTGTCATTTTTAGTTAGTTAGAGTTATACATATCATTGAGTTTACCATACATTGCCGTAAAGGCGGATTTCTGTCACCTTACATTACACACGCCCCATTTACCTCGAACTAACCACATTACCAGTTTCTTACTAGTTGAAATTAGCATGTTCATCACACAAGTTTTGAGTTGAGTTCATTCAATGGACTCGACTCATTGCTACGCTAGTTTCTTAGATGAAGAAGACATGGTGGTGGTTGAAAAACAATAATCAAAAAAGAGGGAACTAGCGCATTTGGGAGAAATTTTCATATTGCGGAAAGATTTATGTAATGATGTAGCCCACCTACTAGTTACAGGTCAGTAGTAGACAGGCGGAGTGGTGAGTACCTGGTATATTATTTCCCTCCTATTGATTAACTCTGGTATCGATATCGTATTTTCTTCTTCTGTAAGGTTCCGTTGGACCGGCTGCTCCCCACAATCCGGAGCTTTGCATTGAAGGGCGGAGGGGGTGCTTCTGTGGATGGATTATAAATCCAGTCTGGAGTAGAGTCCAGAGTAAACCCTCTCTCTTTCTCTCTCCCGACTCATATTTGATTTCATCTTCTTCTACATTTTCGTCTTCATTTTCGTCTTCATTTTCGTCTTCATTTTCGTCTTCATTTTTATCTTACACCGCGCTGCCGTCTATCGCTGCCGTATATCCATAATGCCCAACACCAAGATCGTCCACGTCCCCCACATAGGTGGAATTGATGCAGCATACCAGATGCGTCACCCATATGATGCTGCAAAGCCTACTCTTGCCTTAATCAATTCATTCACTACCTCTTCTGATCTGTACAGCCTGCAATACGAAGATAAAACCCTTACAGACAAGATGAACCTGCTTGCCATTGAGCTATTGGGCCATGGTCAGACCCGCACCAAGCGGGAGAATTGGACATACTGGGACACAGCTGAGATGAGTCTCCAGGTGCTGGATGCATTGGGCATTGACAAGGCTTTTGTGCTGGGTACAAGTCAGGGTGGTTGGATTACGGTTCGGATGGCATTGATGCGTCCGGAGAAGGTCGGTTGGTGTCTATCTACAGATAGAACTCTTATGCTAACGTACTGTCTATCTAGATTGCTGGAATTATCCCCCTGGGCACTTCTCTTGATTTTGAATCTGAACACACTCGACAGCTTAACTGCTGGGATGCTCCTCACCTCCTCACCTCCCACATCAATGAGTGGACAACCACTGAGCCCACCCCAGACTTCCAGCCAGACCTTGCCTACTGTGACTTCCTCATTGAAATTGGGTTTGGAAAGGATGAATGCCCTGCTGAAACCCGTGACTTCTGGCGCAAGGCTATCCGTGAAAACTACAAGGGTGATGAGGGGCGCCGTCGGGTTCGTATGGCAGCCATCAATCTCAGGGACCGTGATGGATTGCACCCAAGGTTGTCCGATATTCAATGCCCAGTTTTGTGGCTGCATGTAAGTTTTTTGTTTTCTTCTTTTCCCTGCCCAACATTGTTTCTACGGCAGTATGATGCTGATATGGATGTGCCATTTTGCAGGGAACTAAAGATGTCGTTTACTCACTTGCCAATGCCCAGAGGGAGATTCAGCTGTTCATCAACTCCCCCGATGCAAAGCTTGTGCCAATTGAGGGTGGTGCTCACTTCCTGAGCGCATCACATCCAAAGGAGGTCGATGGAGCAATCTTAGAGTTTGTGGCGAAGTATAACCCGTAAACACTGGTTAATTTGTCAAGATGATAGAATGATGATTTAACAGTCTGGCCCTTGCTATCAATGTATTTAGTTGACGTTGACACAAAGAAAAAGTACATTTGTTGTTTAAATCAATAAAATAAAGCAAGTAATGCCATGACCTCAAAATCATGCTTCTCATGGTGGGTGAATTTAGAGATTCATACCTTTGTTTACACTAGTATGTATACTATTATACACAAAGTTGATCTGGATGGTCAACTTGATGAATTTCTTTTGGGCCCACTGTATCACTATTAGCATTGGGACTCAGGAGTATCACATATCCTCCATGCTGCAAAGACTCACTATGTAATCACAAGTCTCACGGATCTGCTCCAGTCTAACACCTCCTCGTCAGCCACCGGGTATATGTCATTGGCCTCAATCACCTTGACCATGTCATTCATCAAAGTTTGCTGCCCATTTAGACACCGTACGCAACGCAGTTGGTATTCAATGCATCCCATATGGCAGGCTAACACTTGGGGCTAATACCACGAAAGAATACCTATCATGGTGCCACCCTGCCAATCACATCTAATGCATAATAATACTCGGACCGAGACGAGCAATTCGCTTGAGGCCAGCACACGTATGTTGATTTGGAGAAGAAAAGACAAGCACTCACTAGTGTGCGTATGACAGTCAAGAACACACGTGCATTTCTCATCATTGAATTGAATGTCTGTCTTCTAACTCCTATTTCCCATACGCCTTGTACAGTCTATTACAATTGACCCCCCTCCACCAATTCTAAGCTACTATCCCACTTGAACATCAGCGCTGCACACGGTCCAACACGTGTCCCACATTGAACCTTCCCACACGCTCAACGTCGAGCTCTTTGAGTTGCATCTTCTCTATATACCTAGATAACCTGGCTCAAATCATATCCTATTTTTCAATTCCTAATACATCTTTTCATTAGTGCGGCACACACAAGTTGACTTGACTCAGGAGTGTTGACTTGAGTTCGAGTTCAAAATCTGTACTTTATTCGCCAAGACAAGTAACTAGTTGGTTAATGTAGTTTCTGACTAATCAACTCGGGGGTCAACTGGTTAACTAACTACTATCAATGACATTATCAACTCCTGCTCGGGAACTTTTGGGGTATTGAATCGCGTCACACTCATAACTCTCCGGGCTCCTGACTAATTAGGCCGCCGGAGGCCTCCGAATGCCCAGAATCCGGCCGGGTTGTTGTATGTACTCTGTACTCCGTACTTGTATTGTACTTGCTTGTATTTTCGTCGTTGATATAGAATTTCACGACCCAACTTCATCTTCCGTTTGCTGCCGAACTCATGCCCCTGATATAAATATTCTTTTAGCCCCGCTGGGCAATCAGATAATTTCTCAGTCTCCTTCTCATCACTGTGGTATACATAACTTAGAAAGGACCCTGGAAGCTCGCTCTTTCCTTTTCACGGAGGAAGATACAGGTATGAGAAAGACCCAACTTTTCAGCATCGCACCCCTCGGTCCTCTGTTGGCAGTTACTTGTCTGACACATGGAAAGTGTTATCCGCTCTGTTTCACGGCAATTACTACGCCCTCAGACTCGATATTCTTTTGCCATTCCACCATTGGTTTACGCGAAACGACCCTACACAATGGGTCATACAGTACCTCCGGTAAGCCATTTGTGCTGGTTGGAACTGAGAACGCTCTAATAGCTATTAACTATTTATCAATATGTACAGTTGAAAGACCAGTCTCTCTTCATTCAAAAGGCCTTTGTTGATGGAAGGTGGGTAGATGCTCGGTCCGGAAAGACATTCAAGGTGCATGGTAGGCATTGCCGCAATTCCTACAATCAACAGGTCTATGGGGGAAATTCCAATGTCTAATGAATCGAACGCGCAGATCCCGCCTCCGGACAGCTGATTGGAACCTGTCCTGAATTCGATGGCTCCGACACCGAGAAGGCTATTCTGGCCGCTTCTGAAGCGTTCTCCACTTTCCGCACAACGTTAGGCCGAGAGCGCGCCCGAATGCTGCGTCGGTGGTACCAGCTAATGATTGACAATGCAGACGATCTGGCAACACTCATCACGTGGGAGAATGGGAAGCCGTGGGCTGATGCCAAGGGTGAGGTTATCTACGCCGCCAGTTTCTTTGAGTGGTTTAGCGAAGAAGCGCCTCGTATCTATGGTGACACCATCCCTTCCTCAGTGCCAGGAAATCGCATCATGACCCTCAAGCAGCCGGTGGGTGTCTGTGGTCTCATTACGCCGTGGAACTTCCCAGCAGCCATGATCACAAGAAAAATCGGGCCTGCTTTGGCAGGGGGTTGCACAGTCGTAGTAAAGACCCCTGCTGAGACTCCATTCACAGCAAATGCTCTGGCAGCACTGTCCCAGCGGGCAGGAATCCCTAAAGGAGTTGTCAATGTCATCACTGCCTTGGACAATACAATTGCAGTGGGCGAGTCATTGACAACTCATCCTGACATCCGCAAGGTGTCTTTTACTGGGTCAACGAATGTTGGGAAGATACTTATGAAGCAGTCTGCATCTACGCTGAAGAAGGTTTCCTGGGAACTTGGAGGCAATGCTCCATTCATTGTGTTTGATGACGCTGAAGACCTTGATGCCGCGGTTACATGTGCCGTAACTTCAAAGTTCCGGAACTCAGGCCAAACCTGTGTTTCTGCCAACCGGATTTATGTCCAGAAGGGCGTGTACGATGAGTTTACCACACGGTTTGTCGAAAAGGTCAAGGAGTACAAGATGGGCAGTGGATTTGAAAGTGGGGTCACACACGGCCCTGTCATCCATGACCGGGCAGTTGCAAAGGCAGACCAGCATGTCCAGGATGCCAAATTGAAGGGTGCCCAGGTGGCATATGGAGGCCAAAGACTCCCCGACTTGGGTCCCAACTTCTATGACCTGACCGTTCTGACCGAAGTGACCAAAGGCATGCTGATCGCCTCTGAGGAGACTTTTGGGCCCGTGGCCGGACTATTTCCCTTTGAGTCGGAGAAGGAAGTGGTTGACCTGGCTAACGGCGCCGAAGTTGGCCTCGCGGGGTACTTCTTCAGCGGAGATGTCAAACGTATCTTCCGCGTGGCGGAGGCGTTGGAAGTTGGTATGGTTGGTGTCAATACTGGTCTTATTAGTGACGCTGCCTCTCCGTACGTACCCTTTTGACTTGTACCCTTGTGAATTTTTTTTAATACACTATAAAGTCGAGACTAACTGAGCTTCACAGTTTCGGAGGTGTCAAGCAGAGTGGCTTTGGCCGGGAGGGAAGTAAGTACGGTATTGACGAGTTTATGGTGGTCAAGAGTGTTACATTTGGTGGCATGGGTGAGCCTTTGCAAGCATAATATACTTGATTGGTCATTAAGTGTTAAGTCTATGCAATAACATGATTTCCATTATGGGATCGTTGTTGAAAGTTTGTCTTAGACAATCACTTTCCTTGACATCAGGAGAGGTTTTTTGGAAATGTCGCTGTGCATCTCAGCAAAGTCAAGAGTAATAGACTCCGACATGAAGCTTATGGTATGTGCCTTTCCCCAAACCGACTCTTGGAGGAAAAGGTCGATTGTGCTCAGGCTAACGGCTTGTATAGCGTACTTCTCTCGTATCAGCCCAGACTTGGGTGAGGGTGTCAAGAATGCTACAGAAGGCCTTGTAAGACCTGCGCCTTGCCTTTCAGTTATTGAAAAGGGCTAGAAAGGTATACGATGGTACTAATTAACATGAGGGAATGAGGGTACTCAGAGCCTGCTCAGTGAGCAGTCACATGGCCTCCGAGCTACTCCCCCCCCCATTTATATTGCGCGGGTAGTTTGACGGCCATGTCCGATGAAAAGGCATGATCAGACTGATGAAACAAGAAAGCAACAACAAGAATATGTGATGCATTATTTGGAGTGAGTTGTTGCACAGATAATCTCACTCTTTAGGCTTGCTAACCTCACTGTGCCAGATTTGTGACAGAATAAGGTTACAGGCCAGCTGAATATCAGATCAAGCCCAGCTGCCCAGCTCCAGACATTGTTGTCATCAAAGATTTTATTTGCTCATATGTCTGTACTGTCAGGGGCACAGGGTGTCTCAGTCAAAACAAACTGGCCACTGTTGTGACAGCTTGACGCTGCATTAACAGCTCAATGCTGCATCAACAACTGACACAGACAAACGACATCAACACGCCAGACAAGACATTAGTGATGTCAAACGAACGCCTATAAAACCTCCTCTTTCTCTATATAGATTTACTTTTCTCTTTTTTCCCAGATTCGATATTTTCGTCGATGGCTACACTAGTTTAGATAGGAATATTATTTCGTTAGTATCTACTAATCCGAGCCCGTGACATCTTGGAGTCACCACAGATCCTAAAGGTATTCTTTGACGTCAGGAATGATTGAGATGCGGTCTATGCTCATTATGGGATTGAAATACACGGCTTTCGGGATATCCAGCTGATGGAGAGTGCTTGTCGGCCGACCACAGACCGTCGAAAATTTGTAAGCCTTATGGTGGTGAAATCCATTTTACATTGTTCATGATATTTGCTGGGTTTGGGAGTAGATTCCAATAACAACGATGATACGCTATGAATCAACTGGCCTTGGTGACAGCGTCCATTCCATCCACTGCAGCCTTACATGCTTGCCTTGTCTCCTCTATTGCAAGTGGATGCGTACTCAGCACCTCAAACCGACTCCTCCAGAATTCCCACCGTGGGATATTATATCCAGGTGTTCCCTTCCAAAGCTTCCCTCCCGGTATCCTGTCAAGGTACTCCTGATTTTGGCAGGCCTTGTAGATCTTGGGACTGCAGTGAATAAACCATATGGCAGCAACCGGAGCATACACATTAATGAACCTGTTTCGCCTGTTTCGGTCATCATTCTCAAAATATTTCCTGATGCAGTTCAGGGCATGGTATTTGCCGTCGTAGATACCTTCATTGGTGAAGTGTATCAATAGCCCGTTTATGTTTCTCCAAGCCTGGTGTGCTATGCCGTTTACTTCGTAGCCACCGGACATGCCTGGATGGTCAGGTCAGCATTCAACAATACATGTATATATATCAGGATGAATGAACATACGACTCCATCTTTCATGCAACTCCATGCTAAATAAAGGTCTATCTTGCCATACCCGATAATCACCTATGAAAATTTCAGGCAATTCTCGCAGAGCCTTGTGGAGGGCGATGTAGCGTTGCATGGGTTGTCCCTGGTAGTCTAACTGTGGGGCAATACGGAACATCACCTCCCAGAATTCACCCAGAAATTGGCGAGGATAGTAATTGTCATTTTCTCCTAGACAGCTATGTGGGAAGAAAGAGTTGGCTTTATCAGCTGCTTGTTGAGGGGTGATTGTCGAGTCTGGAGGGAGGTAGGCTGTCAGGAGATCAAAGACGTTCTCTTCAATGTCCGTTGGCTCATACATGGTATCGAGGTCAAGACCGAGAGGGTTGTTTGTAGTGGCCATGATTATTTTGTGTAGAGTAAAGAGTAAACCATTAATTGAAGTTACCGTGTAGGAGGCAGTTGGTTCAGTTGGGAAGATGCTTAATTAAATAAGCATCCATCAGATGTAGTCGTGTAGGCTGTGCGTGGATACAGTTCATCTGAGTCAAAAATAAATAATGTGAGGCTGTGCTGCTATAGTGGAACTTTTGGACCCTGACAGTCAGCCTTAAGGTGTCAGGGTGCAGGGTCAGGTATACAGACAGACAGGATATATATTAGGAATTGACGGACAGGTCAGGCTACAGGTCAGGCTATCTACAGGTACATAGAAAAGACGCAGCTCGAAGAGCTGCGACAGGATCGGTGTCAGGCGCAGAGATATCTGATAAGGAATAATGTCGGACCGATTAGGCAAGTTCCGCCGGTCCGATGATATAGGCCAGCGTGAGCGCACGTTTAGATAGACAAGCACTCAAGCATTCAACCAGCTGCGTGTGGGTATACGCGTTAATAGGCAATACACTTCTCTCGTTAAAACTGGATCTCCCCGTATACGACCTCACTAGTCGCGGATAATCGACTCCGGACCTCCGACCCCCGATCCCCATTTCAGTACATAGATGGCGGCCCGGCACCGTGACTTAAGGCTACAATCAGCCTTGGGGACCTAATCAGCCTTGAGGCTGTGATACCTAACATGCCCTAAAGAATTACTGTTTAGCAAGAGTAAGGAACTAAGGATGAGAACGCCTCATATTCTGCCCCCAGATCAGCCCCCAGATCAGCCCCCAGATCAGCCCCCAGATCAGCCCCCAGATCATGTGTAGCATCAATCAATGGCACACAGAACCAGCCTTGCTTTCTCCAGGATGGCTCTACAATAAATATAAGACATCCCAATGTCACTCCATTCTAGCTCAACATCAACAAAAAAATTTCCAATTTCAAACAAAATAACAAAACTACTTCATCAACTACTTCACAATGGTCCAAATTAAAGCCAACATGCTCCTTATCCTTCTTGCTGGCACTGCCCTAGCCATGCCAGCCAAAACGCCAGCTAACAATGCTGCGAGTCCTGGTAAAGTATGTTGACCCTTCTACACTCAATGATATGAAATTGAAGACCATGCTGAGAAGTCGTCAAGACCGTCCAATGCACAACGGACGGAAAAAAAATCAAAATCCCTGAGAATATTGCCAAGGACATCGCCAAAAAAGCCCCCTCTGGCAGCCAGTTTGTCGAGGACGAATGCACCGAGAAGCCAGAGTTTTCCACATTCAGTAGCTACCCGCATCAGTACCATAATGGCGACCCATTTGATTGGGACAACCATGTTTGCAACTCGGAAAATGTGGCTCTGCTTGAATTTCCCATAAAAGATGACAACCCTGCTGAGATGTATCCCTGGAAGGGAATGCCAAGGGGCGATGGTAAGAAACCTGAGAAGATGAAGAATATTCCATGCCGCGTTGTCTACAGTGCCACAGATGGTCATTATTGTGGTGTCATGTGCCACAATTCTATGGAAGAAGGCGGGGAAAAAGGATTCCACAAGTGTACTTGAACATTGGATGTCATAACCCCTATGGAAATTTGTGTTTGAAAACCTCTTTGATTGTAATTAGCATTTCGCATGTCTCTTTAGCAATACCCAACACCCAATACCAATCATCTCAATAACCACCTTACCGCCCTATGGCCTATACAACGCCTCATTTCCCTTGTAAAGCCTAACTTCTTGAAGGTTCTCGCCTGTCACGGAGCAGGGATGCTCGCGAGCCGTATAGTATGTTTGATTACTTTGGCCTGTTTGGCGTAGGAAATTCACTGAGCATTCGCTTAAACCCATCACACACCCTAGATAGCTCGTCGCCGGCAGGCCTGTCTCTTTTCTTTCTCTCCTCATGTCAGAATTTTGTCAGATAGTCTACCAATAGATTCATATTGCTCGAGACTGTCACATTGCCAACTTCTTTTAGAAGGCTGTGGTGGTGATGCTCAAGAGGTTGTATGCATTATGGATGTGTATCAACCTCTCGAGCCCTCTGTCCAGAGCCTTCAAATGCAGTGAGTCTAAGTCAGGAGTGTAATGTGTATGTGACCATACTCCTTAAAGTGAGCAGTTGATAAAAAAAGCACACTTGTGTTCCATTCCTTGTATTTCATACCAGATCAAATTAATCTTTAACTGGGTGGTATGTGGTAGTCTGGAACCTGTTCCTCGGCAGGCCCCGGACTAGTATCTAGCACTTGTCACAAATCCAGGGATTAAAGACCCACATTGTGTGATCTATATGTCTTGGTGAGTGAAGAAAATCTGGTAAACTGAGGGTTGGATGTAAAGAGCTGTGAGCAGTACGCTCATGTCTGAACCCAATAGAGCAGTTATCAAAATGCAAGATATTCTGTAATGTCCCTTATGTGTAACATGCTTGCTCCTGGGATTTTTCAGACTTCTAGGAGTCCTGGACTCGATTCTAAGATGGCTGATCCTGCTCCTGAGAGCTAGAAGCACGCTCCCCAGACATAGGGTAATCTCTGGAGCGAATTGAATCTTCATGGGAGCTTAGTTTACCCCATTATATCTGGGGAGAATTTGGCATGGTAAGAAGCGGAGCAGAAGGAATGATGACCTCAATTCCCTGTTCCATTGATGGTGCCGTCGCTTTGTTGAGGGGGTCAAGGGGGTGACGGTCAAAGGTGCCACAAAGAGAAATGGAGACAGGTGAAACTCTAGCGTGGTGCGTTTTATTGAGGCTACCTTACTCAGGCTACTCACCCCTCTGCTCGGCCTCTACTCAGTGATCAGCTCAGGCTGCTCAGGGCGTGCTCGGGTCTACGCAGTGAGCGAAAAGCGGCGAGGGATGAGCACTAAAACGGAAAGGGAAAGCGTTCAAGCTGTCCAGAAAATCAAGTACGTATGTAGTTACCGCAAGAGATTTTGTTGACGTGCGGCTCTACAAGTATATACACGTATTACAGATTTCAAGACATTATTATTATTATTATTATTATTCATACACGCACCTGTCAGCCCTATAGGCCGAGTGGCGGCAGGTCCTGCGGGGCAGCCGGGTAAGCCGCCGTAATGGTAGTCGCTATGTACATCGTCGCCTTTATACACATATCCTGATATCTCATTCTGCATGCTGTATAGCCCATGCTGCTGGTTTTCATGCCGCTGTTCCCATGGCCATGAGGATCCATGGGCTTGTTGGATACTATCTCATTTCCTTCCCTACTTCTGCAAGCATGTAACCTTGGCTGCGCTATGCTGCCGGTTGCCCCAAGTCTGTTGTTGTGACTCAGTATGTGGTTGGTAGAGTTTGAAACTGGCCTAGGAGGCCTGTCTCAAGCATGAAGTGCACTGCTTTTGGTACCAGGTCTGGCTGTGTTAGGTAGGCCTGGTAATCCAGCTCCTGCCTTGATCCCTGTGTAAGATGGTGCATCTGGGGTCCTGCCTGGTTGGTACAGTGGAGGAGAACATGGTGTGTGTCTTGGAGGCCACATCCACAGGAGCATTCAGTCAATTCCATAGCCTTGAAGGTACCAAGGTAACTGGCCAGTGCAATCTTCCCAGTTTGCATTTGAATGAGGACTGATGTAGCAGCTCTCTGAAGGCCTTGGTATAGCTGCATTGGCGCTTTTGAGGGTTCTTTCCATAAACGACGGACGGAGTTCCCATGGGGGGAAGCGGCCCATTCAGTCTTCCATGCATTTGCTGCTTCTATGTGGAGGATTCTTCAGGTGCTAGCCATGAGAGTGAGCTCTTCCGCGCCATTGGGTGCCAGGGAATTAGCAGCTTCTTTTGCAAGAACATCTGCACACTCATTGCTGTAGATGCCTTCATGACCTGGGAGCCAATACAGTCATATATCCCAGTCACATTCCTGTAGTTGAGATGCAGTGCATGTAATTTCACTCAGGATATATTGGCCAGAAGACCTTCCTGGAGCTGAGCACGCTTGTATTGCTGCCTGGTTGTCTGTAAAGATGATTGCTGTACGGGTCTGATAGGAACGTTGTGATTCCAGTCCACTTGAGTTGCGTATCTGGATAAGTGCCATCCAGATTTCAAGACATGTTTCACATATGGAGTTCGATACAATTATTTGCAATAATTACATGGCATGGCAATCCAGTTGAGCAAAAGAAAAGAATGAATAACATGAACCAAACTGTTCTTGAGTTTTAGTCAAAATTTGCAAATGCCACATTCTAATGTTTCATACTGTACTGTATTGCTTAGACTGTGAGTAAGAAAAATTATACTAATTCAGTTGGTAACAATATCGGCAGCAAATCCATATCGATATGTAGACGAACTCTTCCGGTGCGTAAGGATGGTTTGCTCATCACCCGTCACAGGCGACTACTTCATAGGAAGAAGCTCAGGAGGGTGGTAGCGGCGCAGGCAACCAGGGAAGACTTGCGAGTAAGGCCGCCGGTTGACTCTGCCGTCTCATCCTGTTCCATGGATCCTTTCAGGCCGCCCGCTCCAAAGGGCTTAAAGCCACCACTGATACTAGAGGGCTGTTTCGTGGAGCCCTTGACACAATTGTTGTTATCCGTGTGCGCCGCCCAAGCGGCGGCCCACAAGGCTTGCGGTTCGAACAGTGTCTTGGTGGTCCAGAACATGCGGCAATCGGCATCCTCGTACGTGTACTGCAGTGTGGACTCGGATGAGTCGCCCTTTCGCACCTGGTCTTGAATCTGGATTTGTCCATCAGTGCCGGCGCGGCGGAGAAGGACCTCTGGGTTGGCAAGTGCCTTTAGCTCGGGGGTATCGAAGCCCTCGATGCCGAGCGCTTCAGTCGCATTCATCATTCCTGCGATGGTTTGCGACATATCACTAAATGATACGATGGTACCACCTTTGGTGCCCCCGAGAGCCTGCATGGGGCCCTCCTTAGCGCGACCGCCCACCACAACGGATTTGACGCCTGCGACGTTCTTCAGCTCTTCGTGGAAGGAGGCACAGGACGAACCACAGAGACCATCCATAAGCATGACCATGTTTTCGGGCTCAAAAATGGGCGGTCCGGATGAGGGGTTCTCGAACTTGAAACCATCGCCCAGAATACTATCTTCGTTGCTGTTAGACATCTGTGGATGGGTCAGCTGGAATGTTGTCACGCCTCCAGGGGCGGGCCGTGGTGGGCTTTCCGGAGTTGCACTTACGTTATAGCGCGAGGTGAGCGTGAATTTGTCTTCATTGTATGTGAAGGGCCCGAGCCAAGTATCCCAGTCAGGAATGCTGTCGCCATTGACGTCGACATAGTCCTCGTAGTCCCAGTGAGTGGTCATAATGTCTGAGGGTCAGTCAGCGCTATATTTCTTTCCATCTTGGCAATTGGTGCTTCTCTGTACCTTCAGACCAGTTCGACATGAACTCTTCCTGTGCGGTATCGTTCTTCTTGATCTCATTGAGAGCATCGCCAACCCTCTTATATCCGTCCTGTGCCCGATACCGCTGGGCGCTGAAAGGCATCTCGGCGGGGAAGAGCTGCATGAAAGTGTCGAGCAAAAGATCAACGTCGCCTCCTTGATTTTCTCGGAGATCTAGGATGAGCTTCTTCTTGCCCTCATCCTGGCATTTACTCAGGAACTCTTTGACCAACCTTTGGAATTCGCGCGAGGATTCCGTCGAGTTATCGGCAGAGGACGCGTCAAAGCTACTGATCTGGAGGACCGCAACTTCGTTTTCCGTATCCATGAAGTACCCGGCCATCATGGCTTCGCTATGGTTCACCACAGGCTTCGGGTAGTTATCATTGTCTCGGTGGATCAATGTCCTCCGGGACAGGTGGCGTGCAGCCTTCTGCGCAGCCGAGGAAGTATCCGGCTCGTCGGCGCTAGTCTTGAGCTTGGACAGGATCTTGAAGAGGCTCTTGCCGTCGGTGACGTCGCTCCAGTCAATGTCTTCGGCAACTGCGGATACACTGGCAATATTGTTGTATCTGCGCGTGGTACCATTCTTGAAGGTGACTGTGGTGGCTGCGTCGTCATAGACGCCATAGAACACCTGGGCGGGAGAGACTAAAGAGCCAACTTTAGCCTCCCGGAACAAAAGGCTGTTATAACGGGCGTCCAGATTGGTGTATTGCTCCCAGTCGGCGATCTTTTCCAGATACTCTTGCACGTCCTGGCCATTGACCTTGGTGATTGGGGAGATGGAAACACCGTCGTCGGCATGCTGGGCGATGATATCACCGGCCACATATGTGTTGGGCACCTTCAATCCGTCGTCGGAGATGGTCGTCATCGCAACGCCGCGCTGGAAGAGGAAGACGCTGAGGATGTCGGACCCGAACAAGAAGTGGTAGTTGCCCGTGTCGATGCTCAGCTTCACGATGGCAAGGTGTACGTCATATTCGCTGTCATAGTCGCTGAGGTTGCTCTTGATCTTGTCTAGCGCGCCAATGAGGTCTAGCGAGCCTCGGTCCCACGTTTTGGGGGTGTTTTTCAACCAGCCCGTCTCGGAATTCCATTCCCACATGAGCTTAAGCTGGTCGATCAAGGCCTCATTCTCCTCGACGGCCACTGGAACGGAGGTCAGACAGTCATGGGCGATTTTAGCCGGGACATCGTTGGCGTTCTCGGTGAACTTGGCAACTTTTGCGCAGGCCTCTGCAGAGCCGGAGCTAGATGGGACTGCTGAGGGCGTCGAAGAGGTGGGGATGAGGCTTGAGCTCTGGGCCGCTACCAAGACGGCGGAAGCCAAGATGCTTCCAAGAAGATGCATTTTCAGGCTCCCGCCTTGAAAACAAAAAAAGAAAAAATAATTAGGATGAAATCAGAGTTGGACTGCATCTTCATGGCCCCATGGAGGGCGCTTATATGTCTTACGGGAAATTGTTTTCTCGAAGGATGAGGCTCAATAAGGCTGATCCGGGAGCCGTCTTGACCTTGGTGGGGATTGGTGGATGCGTTCAGGGCCCGTGGTCTTCTGCTTGGGTTCGGCCCTGGTTATAAGCACCAGTTGTTCAAAACTAGTCATGGCCCACTGCGCATTTCATTCATAGGCTGATGGACGTTTACCGCATATGATAGCACGAAGTGGAGGCCCAGTCTTATTGGGGCTGTGTCCGAACCAAAGTGACTATCCCTTCCCGAAGAGGGTCCATATCAACCCAGACACCACACTGAGTGGCCTTCCCGGGGAGTTTAGCCTCTGGGCATCGCGAATCTTTGCGCCAGGCTAGGCTAGCAGGGGCTACTTGTAGTTGTAGTTATGCCAAGAGCGGCTGAGTCAAGGCTCGGTTGGGGGCCGCGCCGATCTCCTCGCCAATTTGAGTGATGATTCAGATTCGGGACAGTCGTTTCTCTGTAGCCCCGTCAGATCCTAATCACCGTAAAATAGAACACAACACCGCGCTGATCCCTGGGTGGCTGTGATATTTGGGTGCTTGCTTATACCGATCAACGGTTGTTTTCCTGCACAGCTCATGATAAAACTCCAGTCGACGAGTGAAACGAGCAACTCAACGAGCTAGCAATGTAGAGTCGACTCCTACTCAGTAACAGTACTCGGAGTATTCCAAACACGAGGTACTCCGAGTACGTACTCCGTACTACATCAGCCCGAAGCTGTAGTAGAAATTAGGCGCCCAAATTTGGGGGGGGGGGGGGTGCCATATAGGGGTCCGATCGGGCAGCTATATACATATGTGCGCCATGCGGGGTAGTGTGGCCCTGCCGGTAATCCACCGATTATGCCTCCTACTAATAATTTCTTCTTCACTGTTAACAAGCATAGCTGGGGGCTGTGACGGTCACAAGGAAGGGCCTGAGGGTAATGGGAAGCTTAAGACGGGGATAATATTGACAAACACCACCAACGAGGTAATTCGCACAATCAAGACAAACGATGCCCTAGCCCTGCCGCACTGGCACAACCCATAGATATTCCCCTTTATCCTGTAGATAGACAGCGCTCACTTGTTGATTACATCTACTAAGTTAGTTACCAAGGTGATTGAAGTTATTCTAGATACCATACATTATCCGAATCTATCATTATACTTGGTGGAAAGTTGTTGAATACAGAAAATAACTACTATCATGTATTACCACCAGGTCCGCAAAAGAACAAACGAAAAAGAAAGACAGAAAGGAAAGGGAGGGTACATTCAAGAATATCTGTTCCCATCAAACCAAGGTCAATCAAGCCCCATAATGAACGTACGGAATCCATAAAAATGAGTCAATTTGCTCCTTCATAGGGCGGCGGCGAAAAGCAATCGGTACGGCGTCCCTTTCCTCGTCTGCGCCTACTTTAGGGCTGATCTCGAAGCCCTCCAAGTCTCCTTCCAGATTCTGTAGATCCTCTGTGCTATCTTCTCCGCCACCATCCTGCGCCTCACTGTCTTTTGATTGAGGCCTTGTTTGAATTATTGTCTGACCATGGTCCCGAACATATAGAGTCACTCTGTGGAGGCCCAGTGCCACTGCTCTATCTGTGAACTTCTCTTCTCGTAATGTTTCGTACACAATCTTAGCCACGTCGACGCAATGCCAATCAGAAACTTCCCAGAGAGCTCCGATGGAGTGTCGAAAGCCTGCAAGCTGATAGGCAGTGATGAGGTGAATGGCCTCGTCGGCTGTGTGAAGGAATCTGCTCCTGGCGGCGGAGCAGGAAGAGAGATATGCTAAAAATGGGGACGCATCCTGTAGAGTTTCCCGGCGAAGCTTCTCCACGGTCAGAGGGTTGGTCTCCCAGTCTGTTGTCAATATACAGCTATTTGCAGGATGGGTAAATGAGGAGAGGCCATGCCCTGCAAAGTGGAGGATCTTGCAATATTTCATGTGTTTCAGGGCCTCGTCTGTATGCTCGATCCCTTTGGTCACGGTTAGGTTCATTGTGTTGAGGATTGGCTCGATGGTAGTCACATCTTCAGTAGCGAACGGTAGAGGTGTCTGATGGGGTGTTTCGGCCATAGAAACTAGGAGAGCATGCTGAGGCTGAACATTAGAAGTGTCATAAACGGGGCGCTCCCAAATGTGAACCAGTGACTTAATGGACGGCGTGTAGGATGAGATTACTCGGTCAATCACTGTCTGGCGGGATCTATTGCCATGAATCCCCGCAGCATGAATTGGGAGAAATGACATTGCAAAGGTTGTAACCCACCAAATGTGAGGCCACTGGTCACCCTCTGGAGGCTGTGCTATCCCCAGCGCTTCTAGTATTGGAAGCGCGATTATTTTCCACATCCATTCGAGTAGTGGTGACAAGAATGAGGGAGAATATACTTGGGAAGAGCCTGGGCCCTCCTTAGTTGCGGCTCCCATGGTAGCAATTCTTTTGAGGACTTCGTCAAGTCTCAGATCCTTCAATAGGATGGCTCGAATATGGTTTTTTTCAACGATGAGTGCGTCACACCGAAGAGAGCTAACGTTGATGACAACAATCGGGCCACGATCTGCTGCAGCCATCATCTCCTCTGGACTGAGTGGTAGAAGAAATTTAGAGAATCCACTCTGCTCGCGAATTTTTCCAATGAGAGCCTCGAAGTCTTTTTGCAAAGAAATTAGTTCGTTCAAAGCCGCAGCATCGGTATCCGCCGCCCAATCGTGCAAATGTGTGTTGGATTCTTTGTTGAGCTCTTCTCCAAGGACTACAAATGCCTCCGCAAGATCAGGGTGTTCCTCCCTGAGCCTGGATGTATTCGCCCGAGTATCCAATAAATGACCAGCTACAACCCCGCGACCAGCCTCTAATATTTCCAAAGCGTGAGAAGGGCTCCTCCCAGCGTTAAGTGATGCAGAAGCAGCCATGGTGGTCAAGCTATAGAACTTTTGAATATGCTTAATTTTGTCCATGTCATTCATAGATCTAGCACAGGCTATTGGCAACAGATGCACAGCCTCTTCCAGGACATCTGCTGTCTCTGCGTGGTTGAGCTGCTCAGTAAGGCAAGCGGCTAATTCTGAAGCTAGCTTAATGCGATCTAGAGGTGGGGTGCTGCGGAATCTCCATGCTGCCTTGAGGCAATCAAGAGATTTTTGTCGGTCCGAAAGATCTTGTGATATTTTGGACCGTGTAGACAGCAATACTCCTACTCGGTCCAGGTAGTCAACTCGAAGCGGGTGCTCTGGCTGTAAAGAGTCCAGTGCCATCTCATTAAAGCGGACCGCTTGATCGAGATCCAAGAGCAAGTGGTCGTCAGGCCATCCCTGAGTTCGAAGCATGATGAATTTTTGCATGTATATTCCCGCCACATTTCCAAGACATAGAGGCCTGGACGGGTCATCCAAATCAATGGCGTCAAGTGCGCTGGTTAGGAGGGAAATAGCCCGATTCACGTCATCAATCGATGTCGTCTCAAGATTCTTATTGATACGTAGGCATAACCAATGAGCTAAAGAAGTGTGAAGTGCTGCATCCAACTGCGCGGGCATATCATCGGCCATTGGCCTGATCATGTCAATGGCATTGTTCAGCGCGTCCACATTGGGTGTCAGATCGAAGGTTGAGAATCCATGAGAAGCAAGTAGATTCTCTGCCGCTATAAGCTTCGTTGTGTCATTTGAACTGCTGTCGCCAGCCAAGGCTTTAGCTTGAGCAAGCGAGCCCTGATGGTAATCCTCGCTTCTTCCATAGAGAGTGTCGCTCGCGAAGATAAGTGCCCAACCTAGCTAGGCGATCATATCGGCTAGAATGGTTTGGCGGTAGCTTTTTGATTGATTCATCTGCTAGTTCAATGGCTTGGTTCAAGTCTTCTAGGTTCTTTGTATGTTCAAAGTGCATCGCAAACCGTTCGGACAAATTGAACACGAATTTGGCTGGCCGCGAACCCGCGGGCGCGGCCTGCAAAGAGAGAATTGACAGTTTCAAGCCTCTGTCAAGATCTCTGATTGCCTTAGCCTTGTTGAATCGCGAAACAAGTCGATCTTCCAAATAATGAAGATTCTCGGAGAAGCTTATATGACCAGAGTCTCCGCCCTGTACAATAGACTCGGTAAGGTCAATAGCTCTGTCGAACAGAGCCATGTTATCACTCTCTTCAGGGTCTTGTACAAGGTCGTGTAGCATCCGTATCAAATCTATCGCCGCAAGAGTCCGGTGGGTCATACCGGTTGTCTCTTCACTCGAGGATTCCTTGAGACACTCCATGGCACGACTGATGTCTTCATGCTGTGAAAAATGCCTAAGTGTTTCCTTTTCCAAGATTTCTACCACGCCTTTATGACCCGATTCGTTTAGCAAAGAACTGTCAAGTGCTTGTTTTAGTCTTGAGATTGCTTCGTCGTGTTTCTCAATCTTCCCTGTTAACCGCGAGTGTTCGAGGAGACTGTGTCCAAGATTCAAAAAACTCTTAGTACGCACACCATCACAGTCAAACTGCAAGCGCAACGCACGCCGGAAATCGTCTATGATGTACCACAACAAGTGCGGATCTTTCTCATACCGATAGAGCTCCATCGCCCAGATACCAACACTAGCCAGCCAGTGTGCACGTCTATGAGGATCCACATCTTGCTTAGTGACTGCAATACGGGCAGTCCGCACTGCAAGCTGCAGATCATCTATCTTGGGCTTGCTACCCTTCGAGCCACGCTCAAAAAACATCTCTGCTAAATCCATCTCGCACCATGGTTTTTTTTGGGTTGTCTCTGGGCATATGAGATAAGAAAAACATCCGAATGTTGATTGTAAAATCGAAGTCTTCGGGTGATCGTGTCATCTCGTACAAGGTCCCCTCAAGGGCCATGCTTCCCTGTTTCTTGATAAATCCTTGGTCGGCGGGAACTCTATGACCCTTATCCCGTGCTGTATGTCCAACAAGATGCTGGATTCGGTATCATCGATGAAAATCCTCGTCCTCGATAGGTGTCAGTGCGACCCATTTATGAGCTTGCATCGTTGTCTTCTCGGCCCACTCGTAGGAGCCCGTTCTTTTCAGGAGTTGAAGACTCGTGAAAATATATAACTCAACCTCCGTATCATTTTTGAGGTCCTCGTAGGTCTCTGTAAATGACTGTAGCTTGTCGTTGTCCAATTCCGCTAGCACGGCTTCCAAGTCTCCGTCAATGTGGAAAATATTTTCCTCCATACTTTCTGTTCGGATAGGCTCCATTCTCAACGAAGCTCCACTGTCTCTGGATTACCCGAGAACCTCCGGACCTGGTGAGTGATGCTCCAGAGCTCACCACCCTTTAAACCACACCCACAGTAAAGCGGCGGCATCCGGAAGAGGGATGTTGGGGCTGTTCGAGAAAGGCAGAGCCGGATGGATGCTTATGTACCAGAGTTCCTAGAGCAACTGGACCTTTTCTCTTATAAAGGCCGCCACGCTAACTTTGTGTTGTTGCCCAATAGCGGCTAAGATTGCCGATGATAGTCTCGGAAAAATACGATTCGCCCAGAGAACTGATTTCAAATAGCACTGCAGGGTTTAAAAGTACTATGCAGATTGATCACCGGATGCCTTGTCGACGATTCCGTCTTTTTCAGCTGGCCTTAATAGCTCGCGCCTGAGCTGGATCCCATTTATCGGATTCCCTTTTCTTGAGATGAATGTTTGTTTATACCTCTAACGGCAGAAGTCATTCAAAACACCATGGTTTCACCAACTAGCCCTATCAGCAACGATCCTCTCGGGATTCTACGATCGAAACTGCCCTATGCGCTCAGACACGGGACTCCCGGGGCTTCCCCCATATTGACGTCGGACATAGGATTGGGAATAGCGATGTTTGTACTCGGTAACTGGCGTGGAATACGCGAGGAGATACTCACGAATTTGGCGCTGGGGTGTGTATGGAAAAAACTTTTGCTGTAAGGGGCCGAGCGGTAGTTACTGACTCTGTGGATTACGTGCCACACTATCCCTTACAATTACGCCGACATGCCTCATCAATCAAAGCTTTACTTCGTACGAGATCAAGAAGTCCACCAAGCCCGTCAGATTATGCATTAAATCAACTTGTCAAAGGCTGCCAGCTTGCAATGCATAGTGCTGCTTCGCTAGCAAAAGAAAACAATGAATTACATGCTGCAAATAAGAAGCAGAAGCAAAAGTGCATGCGTTCAACAAGACAGATGCCCCATGAAGGCAGTTTGTCTGTGCTGGTAATTGACGGGTGGATAGTGCAGCAGTGCCAGCATGAGGTTGTGCTGGTGCATTGTGTCTTGTATGTTGAATAGATTGCTGCTGGGCAACTTCACTTGTTCAGTCAAGGTTTGGAAATGATACACTTGCTTGAGGAGTTCGTGGAGTGCTTGCAGTCTGGATAGCTGGTGGAGCTGCCAACCTCAATTGGTGCAAACCTACTGCCTTGAATTGAGGTTGCAGGAATTACAGGAATTGCAGGATTGTGCCGACCACAGTATGAACATGCTCTCTCATGAGGAACTTTGACTGAATGCTCAAAGTTTGGTCGTCTAGGACAAAAGGGCGTCCACGGTGTTATGGACATAGGGGGAATGCATATATATTAGATAAGCGTCGTATGCCTTGTAGTTATAGATTATGCACTGCGTTACATTAATGAAAAATGCGTGGTGTTAAGTCATTTACACCCTTTACGACTTTTGGCCATAAGACCCCTATCGTCCGCCATACCGTCGAAGTATCCCTTCCGACCCATTCATTGCCTGCCTTTCCTGTCCAACGAAAGAACCGCGAGACCTGTTTACCCTCTGTTGCCTGCTAGTACAATCCAAGCCACGGCCAGGTCAAGCGTGCAGGACTCGGAGAAACCAAGCCAGCACATGCCGTGAGCCCTTCGGTGGCTAGAGCAAGGTTGAGGCTCGCAATTCTGTCTATGTCTGTCTATGTCTATCTATGTCTGTCTATGCTTTAAAGTTGGCCCCACTAGCCAGGAACGACCGACCAAGTCTCGCCAGTAAATACCAGTCCCCCATCCAGCCTTAGCTGTTCCGGGTCGAAATACACACTCATTCCAAGATTGTCCCCACGGATATTAAACACGCGGAGAATCAAATACACCTTCGAATAACCATCCCTGTTGTGCATTACCCTCATCTAGACTCGATCAGCATTTATATACCGTTGGTAATAACCAATGCACTCACTCGCTCATACTGATGCTTGCTCATATAGAAGGGAGTACCCAGAGGCCCTGTCGTTGTCTTGACTTCAATGAAATATTTCGGACGCTTGTCCTCCCATTCGTCGGCGTCAAGGTACCCATGATCAATAAGCAAGGCTGTGAAATCGCCTCTTCTATCGTCATAAGTAATATCTGCCGTCTCCCTCCCGTACCAGGGCTCCATGTCGGCGTAGTCTGGGTGAATCGTGACATATCGGCGAATTGTGCTCTGCCAGTTTCGATCACTCCAGTCAGTTAGAGATGGGTCCAGTCTGGTGAGAAGCTCGAAGACCTGCATGAAAAGTTAGTCGGATTTTGAACATCAACTTGGATGACATGTCAAGGCAAGCTAGGGAAAATGTAGCATACATAAAGCTCTCCCGCAGCCCCGATCTTCCGGTCTCTTTCAAGCTGGCTGTCTGAGTGAAATGCACCCCTCACGTCAGGACCATCGAAGCCATCAAATTGGCGGCGGCCTTCCTCTCCTGGTAGTGCTTCATTTATCTCGCTCATGTTGAATGTCCCACTCGAGGGAAACACGGCTCTTCGTGCGGCCACTAGCACCTTATCGAGGAGTCTCCGATACTGTATGTTGTCCTCGGACGAATATCCATGGGGTGAGTACATCGGTATTGGGCGACCCCGACTGGGGGTGGGCGAATGGAACGCCATTTGGGTTTGCCGAACAGTTACTTGCTCTGGAGTATCCCTCGCGAATAGGAGATGCTGACTAGAAGTTGGGATGTCAGCATCCCTTAGCTGTGTGGGATCTTCACTGGTTGTTGTATCAGGACTCTGTGAACGTTCAGGAGGTATTTCGTCGTTGACGTCGGAATCATCGTTTGGTATATCAACTTCGATGACAGCCTGACGTTCCAGAACCAGATCGGTAGCGGAAGGATCAATGCTCAAGATCATGGTCATCACATTCACTGCGTCACTTTCGATCTTGTCAAGGATTTGTGTTGTGGGATCTCGCATGAGCCAATCGACTAGCTGCCTGGGTAAAAGATCACAAAAGCAAAGTTCTTGCGCCTTCTTATCCCTGGGGACGTAGATAGTGAGGCGAGACGCTTCTTCGCTAATGTGTAACTTCCCAATCAATTCTTCCACATCGGCCACTTTGCCATCTTGAGAGATGCGCAGGATTGATACAATGCCATCTGTTGCTTCGATACTAGCCGTCCGAAGTAACTTGTAAAGCTCCAGTGGATTGGCTTGATACCTGGGGCTATTGAATGTACCCGCGATACTAAGATGCGAAAACCAATACATAAGCAATATTCACCAAGCTGGTAGATCAATAGCACTCACCGGAGAATGGCATATGCCTTTCGTTTCAAATCTCGATTGGGCGATGGGTTTAGCCGTGTTGTCTCGCCAGAGAGAGATGTCAATTCCTTAACGGAAGCGGAAAAGTAGCGGTGCGAGAGATTGGCCCACTCGAAAAAGGCCTTCAGATGACGAACTTCTTCCTGGCTAAAGTCAAGAATCCTAATTTTTCCTCGGAACCGTGATGCTAAGTGTTCCCGATCGGTAATCGCAAACTGGGTATCCGCGGACCGAAGAGCCTTTGTGCCATCAGGGTAGACAACGGGAAATACCAACTTTTTTAACAGTGGCTTGGGATCAACGTAATCATCCTCTGTGTGGAGAAGTGCGTTGAGAGAGAAGATCTTGCATTTTGTCTCGTTTATCGTTGCTTGCGCGCTTGTCTCCAGCAGGTCGTCATAGACTATCTGAAGAGTTAGAGTTTTGACCCCCAAAGTGTCAATGAAGAAATCTTCCAGGTCCTCATAATGGTCATTGAGCGTGACCTTCCCACGTATCATTGTAGTGCTTGACCACAAGCACTCAGATGTCTTGTACCAACCAGACTGACCATCTCTGGTCACAAAAATCAGAGGATTGGCTTCGAATGTGTGCCTGGTGCCAGGTGGTTAGTGCTCAGTATCGATGGAGTGTAAAGGGGGACAACTTACCGTATATTATCAACAAAGGCAAAAATGTTCATATCATGGAGATACTTGTAAAGATCGAAAATTGGAGCGAAATCCTGGAAGCCTTTATCTCTTCGCGCTGCCAATTCATCCGTCAAGTCAGACCAAGAAGCTGCTGTGATGTCCAAGGCATGCTTGAAGAAGTTTGAAAGATGAAATAGCTGATCTTCAGCAACAAATTGTTCATAGATATGCTGAAGTGGAAATTTGGTAATCATATTTAGCGGTCCTTCCCACAAACATTTCTCAGGACTAGCCCAGGTCGCTAAATCGTCATCAAGCTTGGGAACAAAAATGTAGTCGCTGCGCCGAAAAAAAGACCTTATTTTGATGTTTAATGTCAATCTTGCATCGATTTATTTAAGGTGCTCACTTACATTATGCAGTCCCTCATGTCCAGCTTGCTCTCGGCGCCAAGGTACTTCGCATTGATTGCACCGTAAAGTCTGGAGATGCGTTCATATTCTTCGATCGAAGAGGCGACAGGGTTTGCCTCTTTGAGCCATTTCAGGATGTCGAGTAAAAACTCGACATTTTCATCTTTTTTGACGCAAAGTTCGGTATGGAGAAAATTCCACTTTGAACTTAGCTGCTCCACAGACACCATTCCCTCGAGTTCCAGGAATGGAAACCTCTCGTTTGATTTCATAAAACGCGAACACTGCTGGAGAAGGTTGGGCAATGGGAGGTATGTCTGATCAAGCTGGCATTGTCCAGAAAGTTCGATGCCACAGAGCCGTTTTGCGTCCGTTTCTCGAATAATCTGTTTCAAAGCATAATTTCCGATTACAGTTCTACCTTCGGAGCTCCAAAGGTGTTGCAAAAGCCCGAGGAGCTTCTCTGGCCGGAATTTGGCCACGATATCCCAGGCAGAGGAGAGACGTTTTCCGTCTCGGGCGATGAGTCTCAGTTTTTTCCTTATCCCAATGTTGTCTTGTAGCCATTTATTCCACGAGGGATGACCTGAGCTTGGCGTCTCCGGGACGTCTTCGAGGTATGTCGGATGGACGAAAGATACGCCGATGTCTCGCAAGTTATCCGCAGCCCCTAGGAGGGCTTCTGGCCCATAGGGGTGGTCTGATGGTAGATAGCAGTCTTCTTGGTGCGGCCTTCTAATGCAACCATCATGGAAGTAGATGAAAATGTTTCGCAGCTCATCTCTGCTGTGCTTGGACTGGTGGGTGAGGTACAAAAAGTGCAAGTGCGCCCTTGATTCGCCCATGCCCGGATGCTCAGCAGTGGAGCAGCTCTTTTTCAGAACCGAATCCCGCACTTGTATGACCGATGGGTCGGTAACCCCCAAAATTGAAAAAAGAGATCTGCGGCTTTTATTGGCAGCGGCAGTTGGATCCAAAATCCGAAGATCCAGGCCTGGAGGGATGGAAATACCGTTTGTTGTTGGGAAGTAAACAGAGCCGGAATTGGCTGAAACCCAGTGACCGCTTCGCAGAGGAAGGAGAGCGAGTAGTACCAGAGACTCCGTATCCCATGTTTCCGCATATCGAGATAGGAGCTTTGCGATGCGGCTGTGGCTATCCTCACTCGTGGACTTCGATTTAATCCGGGACACAGCACTTTTAAGATCTTTGTACAACATGCGGAGAACTAAAGCGTAAGACATGTGCTTCAGACCGTAATGAAGAAGGGCTTTCCTAGACTCATACGGGTAGTGACTGGAGAGGAAAGGGTCGATGTCTGAGTCGTCAAACAGGGGGTTTCCATCGCTATCCATAAACCTTTTCAACAGAACCACCACATCGTTTATCTTCCGAAGATGACCATGCCGAGTCATTAGAGCCGGCTGTATGGCCAGTCTCTTCGCAATCTTGGAATGAAGTTTGGCCCAAAAAGTGCCATCTGCATCGTCTGGCGACGGAAGATACATTGGCCACGTATAGCCTAAGTCGGAGTCATAGCAGAATCCCGCGGTCGCCTGCACAAATGCCAAGGCAACGTGATTCAGAAGTTCAATGTTTCGTCTTGATGTTGTGGAGATATCTTGCCGACTTGCACTCGTGTCAAAGTCAGATTGTATCAGAAACTACGTATGAATTAGCAAGAGCATGGAATTGCCCAGTGATCTACCTTCGTCGCTTACCTTGAAATTGGTTTCTCTGACAGGTAGAAAGGCAAAAACCGATTGTGGCTCAAGAAGTGGCTTGTTATCGCCCGTCAGGGGAAACGCGAGCACGATTTCAGCCTCAGAAGAAAATCGCCTCGCTTCAGCGGTGTCTGGGAGTTCGCGATTGTCGCTTCTCGGAAGCCCGGTTGCCATGTAACGAGTGACATAATAGCCCTTCCTCTCGATAGAATTATCACCATTCTCGTCAATTGACTCAGACATGAGAAAAACCTTACTCAGAGAATCGTTCTCCGAGTAAAACTTTTTGGAGCTCTGCAATTCACCATCTCCATCACAGAACGACACCCGTATCTCCTTCAGGTTCCTCAGAAAGAGAAGGCAGGTCTGCTCCAAGTCATTGAGTTGCTTGAATATAGTTCGGTGAAGATGTTCGATTTCTTCTGCCTCCCCGTTCTGGTGAAGGTGAAGGGTTATGCGAGTCAACGGATCTGGCAATACCACATCAGAATCCTGCCACACGGGTAACACCATTCCAAGACCAAGATCGCCCTTCTCATGCTTGAAATGAAAGGTATAATTGCCAGATTGGATATCGACTTTCCAAGCCGCGATGAACACCGATTTGAACCCGATGCCCTTCGCTCCAATATAGCCGTGTGATGCCGCTTTGGTGCTCTCCCCAACCGAGCAGATAGCTGACAGATTCTCCTTCGTAAATCCATCTTCGTTGCATTCAAGGATAATTCTGTCGGGATACACTTTGAAAGCAATGAAAGGCAGTTCATTTCTTCCAGCCGCTCGTGTGAACCGATTGTCATCCGCATTCTGAAGGAGCTCGAAAACGAAACGAGCGTTGCTGGTGTAGATATTTTTGGCGAGTCTAGAGGTCTCGAATTAGTATAAATTCTTTCAGGGCCACAGACCTGTCTGAAGTGACACACGTTTTGATTGAATGCGCTATCTTTTTGTCCTTGGCTAACATGCTCTCTTCGATTTCGCGCCGAAGCTCTGGATTTATTCGTTCAATTTCGTCAAGGGAGCTAGGATGGATGAATCCGTATTCCTTCGCAATCCCGATAACCGCGTTCTTCGCTGCACATCTGCTGGTCATGATGTCTTGTTTGTGATGTTTTTGTTTCCTTTTGAAGTTTTGATTGATGCGTGAGGGGCAGTTCTTACAAGGAGGGCGAGCTCCTCGATATGAGGAAACGGGCCATCGGTCTTCGGCCCCCAGGGCTAAGGCGCTTAGGGAACACGTCATGCAGTTTTGTTAGACTGACCCCTATAGGTTGCCCATGTGCAGTTCACCCTGGTTTCAGTCTACATGGTGTTGGCGCAGCTGTGCAGGGGTGGCTTTTGATTCGACAAGACGTTCCGTGGAGGACCGTTTGGTGAACCTTGGAAGCCTTCGAGTTTTGATAAGCATGAGATTTGATTTACAAAGCTAACTTTATTTGTTCTCTGGGGCTGGTAGATATATATCTCTGAGATGTTCTTTCAACAGAGAAAAGTTTTGCCTCAAACCTTGGGATTTTGGAAGGCTGCCCCCATGAACACCCCTGGTCCTACTCGTGCGTGATTGCCTTGCGCTAGTATCATCTTGTCACGAACGGCGCGTCATTTTGCAGCGAATGATATTTTTTGTACGCATGGCCCCGCGAGACCAGTGTTAGTACCCACTGGGTCACGTGCTTGACCGCCCTCGCTTTCTGCCCAGTAGACATAGCTAGCCTGAGCCGATAGGCACCCAATCCAACCAACTATCCACACACACCAAAAACCAGGGTTGACCCAATGTCCGAGACGTTCAACTTTGGGAAGGTCTGTGGACAGTAAGTCGTTTACTTCAAGAAAAAAAGGGGGTAAACCGCTTGCAAGTTTGATTTCTTCCGTTAAGGGCAATATGTCAGTCTCGAGGGCGCACTGGGATTGCACAAGATTATAACGGGGAACCAAGGCACCAGGTGATAGACTCTATCTACCTCTTAGCAAAGGCGGTCGGTTGGCCTGGTAAAAATAGCTCACGTCTCTTGTTGCGCAATATGTATTCGTTATCGCCAAATAAGAGCGACAAGAGCGACAAAAATACTCCCGCTAGTGCCAGAAATCACCCTCTATCAGTACGAAACTTGCCAAATAATCAAGGGCCATTTTGATCTACTGATCTGGAATGTTCTGTGTTCAACACCATGTCAAAGATATATACAGTAACTTGGCCCATAGGAAGTAAATATCCACTATTCTGCTCACATCAACGAGCGGCCAGTTTATCCTGGCCTCCAAGTACGCGAGCAATCATCCTAGTTCGCAGTCTGCCGGATCTTCTCGAGAACTAAATAGAGTCTAAGCTGCATATTCAAGTACTGTATGTAGGATAATCTTCGAATTAGTGATGGCGCTATAGGCCAGGACTGGGTGCATTGTTATTATTATTATTATTATTCATACTCGCGTCTGTCAGCCCTGTTCAGCCGAGTGGCGGCAGGCCGGGTAAGCCGCCGTGATAATAATCATTAAGTACATCGCCCGGATGTTCCGTATCTGTACTTAATGCCTTTTTTTTCTCATATAAACGAACTCCCAGTCTTTTGTCACTAACTAGGAAATCTCTGTCAGTCTATATCATCATTATTGTCATCATTTTAATGAACTGTCTTGACTTTGTAGATTAAGCCGAGAGTTTATCGGTCGCATTCATGACGACTCCAAATACTACGGTTTAGTACGTGACTTGTCAAGTATCCAGAAAATTTGGTACATGTTATCGACTCTACGGGATATTTCATTCCAATCTAATAGGGCAAGAGCATGTTGTTGTTGGGTTTGCCATTGGGGCTAATGGCTCATCGTCGTCATTGTCGTTGATTTGTACGTCTCTGGATCGTATTATCCGTCCGGAGGCTGGGATCCAGACCTTGTAGATATGCGTTCCTTCGTAACCGATCAGGTGTCCCTTTTGGGCATGCGGATCCATCTTTTGTGCTTTCGTGCGGTCCTCAATCGGGATGTGCACGTACGCGTTCGCTCCCCAACGGCGGAGGTGCTTAAGTGAGACTTCCTTGTCTGGTAAATTCAAGTCCTCACGCCATAGCTGGGCCGGGGGCTTTGTTGTCGTATCGGTACGTACAAATCGGTTTAGGATGTGCACGGCACTATCCACTGCAAATGGCCATAGGTAGGGGGGTAGGCCAGAGTCGATTAGCATTGTTCGGGCTGTTTGCATAACATACCCACCAAATCGCTCCGCTGGGCCGTTCGCCTCTGGGTTTCGGGGCGAGGTCGGTTCAAAATAGATTCCTTTTGGTTCTGCCCAGGCCTTGAATGCATTGTAGTCCTTGGTGTCATCACAGCGGATTGTAGCCGGGTACGCGCTGATTTCCAACTTCCAATGGCGTAGCATGTTGATGAGCTCGTCAGACGCGTCAGAGCGCTTTCGTAGGAAACGGCAGAAAAGTGTTCTCGTTTTGCTGTCAAGGATGAGCAGGGCATACCTGTATCCATTGTGGCTCTGGGGTTTGCACTCTTGTGTGTCAATAAACAGGAACTTCATGGCCTTGTCAGCTCGTGGTATCGGGTCTCTGGAGATCTTGCGCTTTGATTTGGCGAGACGGCAGGGTTCACAGTTGAACTTCTCACTCGTGGCTATCTCCTCTCCAAAATCCACGTATTTGGCGGTGTTCTTCAGGTATTTAGAGCTGCAGTGTCCCAGTCGTCTGTGAAGGGTTCGGGCTAATATAGTTGCTATTATCATTGTTGGAGGTGCTGTTTTGATGTAGGCCACATCATCTCGTGTCTCTGTATGAGCAACAACGATGTCAGAGTTGAGTTTGCGGATCACACACTTCTCAGAGTCATACACCAGTCCCAGGTCATGTTTGTAGGTGCAGTGAGAGCATCCATCTTTCCCATTTCGCTGGGTCTCAGAGTCGCGTAGCATCTTGGCCCAGTCATCCGCTTTAATGCCGGGTGGGGGTTGGTTACGACGTTTGCCAACATTGCCTCCCTTCGACTCGTTTGTCTTCTTTTTCAGATTTGATGCGTGGTGACCGGTCGCAGGTGGAGAGCTCACAGCGGACATTGTGTAGGTTGTTTGGATCATGCTCCAGCCCCGGGCTTGGTTGCAAATTTGCAGGAACTCAGAGTGAGTGATTGTGTCGGGATTCCGGTTCTGAAGAGCAATAAATATGCCATTCACCCAGGCTGAGAACTCATGCTCCAGGTGCTTGAGTAAGATCGAGATGGCTTGGTACGGAGTGATGTACATTTTTACCTTATTGGAGCGGTCCACTCGTCTCTGCAGGGCATGAATAAAGTCCTCAACAGTTGCAAAATGATCCCGGCGGATGTACACAGTATCAATCCAAACAGCGTGGGTCAGCCGATGGCCTGTACCCATCACCACACTGCGTATAGCGCTCATGATATCATCTGCATACTCATATTGTTCTCCTGTCGATGAGAGTTCCTCAACCAGGTTGTCTGGGAGACCGCTGAAAATCCAGGATCGTACCTTCTTCGAGTACGTCCTCCACAAGGCGTATTTCGCGTCGTTGGTGGTGGGTCTTGGATATTTCTCGTCCATGAGATGTTGCAGGTCATATTGGCAAAGTGCGTTTTCCACGCGGCAGCACCAGACTGAGAAATCATTCCGTCCCCGTAGGGTTGGCACTGCTGGTAGTCTTCCATCCAGTGATTCAGGTATGATGGAAACTTGGGTTTGTATGTCGTTGAGAAGGTTGGCCATAGCCGTGGCTCCTCCGGTCGCTCCACCAGATCCACTGGTACTGGCTGCCAAGGATGCCATATTGTTGGTTCGTTCAGTCAGTCAATCCTCTTTGGTGGATCGCTTCCGAATTCAATAGGGAAACTGAGGGGTTCACGAGTCTTTACGCTTTAAGGCTCGCGTTGGTGGGGAAAATGAGAGTAGAGATCTAGCGATTTAGCTGGATTCTCCAACAGCCGGGCTCATAACCTGTGGATCAGGCTATGGCAAGGAACGGCATCGACGATACTATTGTATTCCAATCAGGAGCGGGGCATATTGGAGCCTGAGGCTCTCCAACATATGTCTACCATTTTTTGCAAACGAGAATCAATCTGTACTATCTGATACCACAAAAACATGTTGAAAGATATCTAGTAGACCCCTTCCCCGTGGCAACCCTACTACGCCACAATCCACGTCAAAGCTTTGCACTCTCCACCGGCAACAGATGAATCTTAATCGTCTTAGTATTCGTCCAACCATCCAACGCCTCCTTCCCCAAGTCCCGACCAAATCCAGATTGCTTCATTCCCCCGAATGGCGTGTTCGAATGAAGGTTCCCCCAGCAATTGACAGTGACTTGGCCGGTCTCAATTGCAGATGCGATTCGGTGCGCACGGCTGATGTTATCGGTAAAGATTGCGGCGCTGAGGCCGTATTCTGAGTTGTTGGCTTTGGTGATTATTTCGGATTCTGTTTCAAACTTTGCAATGGCCTGTCCACAAGAGTTAGCATGGAAAGATCATTGACGAGGCGATATGTTGGAGCAACGCACTGCGACAGGACCGAATATCTCCTCCCTCATGATCACATCGTCCTCCTTAACGTCAGCAAACGCGGTGTTTGAAATGAAATTGCCGTCGAGGTCCTTTCCACCGCACAGGAGCCTTGAGCCGGCTTCTTTGGCTTTGCTGACGTAGCCCAACACCTTCCGATGCTGCCCTGCGCTGGCCAAAGGACCTTTGCTAGTTGTCGCAAGCAGCGGATCTCCATGAACAGCCTTGGCCGTCCTAACCTTAAACTCCTCAAGAAACCGCTCATAAATCGAATCGTGCACATAAATCCGCGACCCCGCCGCACAAATCTGCCCATTATTCGCCGTGATCCCCAACGTAGTCCAGAATAGCGCATTCTCAAAATCCGCATCCGGAAACACAATAGAAGGACCCTTACCACTAAGTTCCAACGTCACGCGCTTGAAATTGGTCTCTGCGGCCGCGCGCAGGATCTGTCGACCGACTAAGGTGCTACCGGTAAATGCGACTTTGCGGATCTTTGGGTGCTCTGCGATTGCTTGGCCCGCGACCTGGCCTTCACCGCAAAGGTGTTGATTACACCGGGTGGAAAACCGGCTTCGAGGATTAGGGCGGCGAGCTTTTGGCCGTAAAGGGGGGTTAGCTCGGGGGGGTTGATAATGAGGACGTTGCCGGTTGCGATTGCTGGGGCGAGTTTCCAGGTTGTGATCATGCTAGTGAGCACGGTGTTAGCACGGTGTTAGCACGATTCAACAGGTGTGATGGCTGGTATACATATAGCGATGCATTCTACGGAACGATAGCTGCACAAACCCCAAGAGGTTTATTCTGCGTATATGCCAGTCCATTAGGGAAGTTGATAAACGATTTCGACAATGATATATGCGCTTCGCGCCAAATGGCAAGAAGCAGATGCTTCTTGGAAAATTGTTGAACTCTATCAAAGGTAACATTTCCTTCATTGGTCCGCCGCACCTCTTTCTTGGACAGGCAATGTGTCGAAAGAGAATCATACTTTTTCACCCACACCTCAGTAAAGTAAGTCTGGGTCCCTGGTACGTACAGAGATACCAAAGCGGCCTTGAAGATTACAAAGCCCCCTCATCAAGGAGATCGATTTATGCTGCAAACATGGTCCCTATTCGAAAGCTTCACTATCCGTGAAAAAACTTTTGCCATTGGTAAAAGGTACAGACCTCTTCAACAAGGGTGTACATGTCTTCGCTGAAGAGGATACGCGGGTCGGTATGTTATTCAGCAATGCGACGCTCCTCGGGTGTCATATTTTACATACGTACACGACACGTTTAAAAATATCAAGCCATCAACAGGCGCCCCAGGCATAAGGACGCCTCTTCACGAAGAGCGCGACTCGAAGCTCTTGTCCGGTACCTCCAACAGCCCTGGCTGTTCACCTGGGGCGATTTTCCCGACAAGCTCAATGAAATTACCAATTTGCGAGACAATAGAAAACTTTCTTCTAAGACGACAGGAAAGAATATGGAAGCACAGACATGCACAGACAACCACGAAGTCCTCGCTCGTGTCCACAAAAGGCGGAGGATCTCTTTCACGGGGACCATTTCAGACGACGCTGAGTTTGATTAGGAGGAATCGGTGCCTGTTGAGGGAGAATAGTATATCAATGAAGAAGACGACTTTGTTACAAACAATTGGTCAACGTGCCTCCATTTCCGTTTCCCTGGCACGCTTTCGACTCGTTAGGGCATCTGTACGCGGACTGACGGGGACGGGATTCCTCGATTGAAAAGTAGATTTAAAACTATTGAGCTATACTGGATAGGAACGGAAAGCTCATATGAAATTCCCGAGGAAGAGAAAACGGTCCGGTATCAGTGAGGATTGACGCACGGGGTTAGGGCTGGGACTCGGTCCATGATTGAACACCGGAAAAGTCTAACGGAATATCATCCCAAGGGAATCCGAATTCTTGCAGCTGTAATAAATCAATAACAAGACTAGAAGAAGACAGTACTGTGAAATGGTACATACCAAAGACTCAACATCAAGGTCCGATGTCATCGGCGTCCACTCGTCAACAGACCCGCTAATACCACTTCCAATCTGCTCAATGTATCTCTCAAGAATGCCAGTACACCTCTTTATACACTCCACAAGAGCCCCATACACATCATCTTTCGTATACCGACCCGTCCGCTCCATAGGCTTGATCTGGCCCATCACCGTAGACAGAATAGCGCACCGTTTCATACTAGGAACACCCAGCCCAGTTACTTGGATCAATTGTTCCTGGATATGTTCCAGTGTGTCGATAATTGGTCTCCGAGACGCTTGTGCCATTCTACGAAGGACGTTGTCTGGTACAGATGGCTTACCATCCGATAAGAGAGGCTGTGCTTTGGCTTCCTCTTCTAGTTGCGCGATGAGCTCGAGACATATGACGATTATTGTGTCTATTGAAAATGCACCCTTGAATGCGCCGACGCCTGATATAGATAGCTTGGCGTAGTAATCGAGTGGTTTTGAGGCGATTTCTGTGGTGTCTGCGTAGGATGCAATGACCATGGCGGATTCAAGACTGAGTTTTCGAGCGAGGTAAAAGCGTGTACCTTGGGGAGATTGGAGTATGAAGGGGCGGTAGAGAAGGAGAACTGTTCTGTGGAGGAATGTACCTAGGACTTTGTGGTGGAACTCGGCAGATTCGGAGAGATTGTGTGATTGGAAATGTTGTGCAAGTTCTGTGCAAAATGCTGTAAGCTCGGTTCCTAGTATCAAAGCTTGTTCATAGGATTGTGGTTGTCCAATTTGGTTACTGAACCGAGCGACTTGTAGACGGGTCGGAAGTGTTTTTAGCAAAAGCAGCTGAATGAACGAGTCTGTATTGGGGCAACTCGGCTGAGGGGTTGGTGCGTTTTGAGCATACTCATCGATATCGCAGTCGTTGATGTTCAACGGCGGTTTCGTGTCGAAGTCATCTTCCGAAATCAACGGAGGCATGGAAACATCAAACGAGGACTGTACAGCCATTTCCATGACCACTCCCCATAGCCGCCTTCTTATCTCGCATTCATACGCAGACAATGAGGGAAAATGACTCGGATCGCGATGCAGGCCCAAGCTACAAGCGAATCGCACCAGCGACCCGGTCGAAACGAAGATAAACTCTTTGTTCAAAGAATGAACCTGGCGACAGAGCATCATCAAGCAATATACTTGTAAGCCATCTAGGTTATACGCATATTTTGCGGTCGGTCCCGTGAGCCACCACTGTGCAGCATAGACCCAGCGGTGCACGCGCAGATGGATATCGTTGCGCAACGCTTTTTCCGGATGAAACACAGCGCCAATCCCAATCACCAGCAATGCCTTGAGTATAAAGCTATGCGGCGCTGGCTCAGTCTGTAAAACGAGTCGTCTCTCATACTCTTCTCGAAAAGACGTGTGCAAAATTCGATAGATAGGTCCCAGGGTGCGGAAATAAGCGTCAACCATCTCGGTATACTCCTTGAGCTCCCAGCTCACGTCAAGATCCAAGTGCTGGAAAGGTTCGTCCCACATCACGGGCTTACGTTTCAATGTTGCGCGCAGTCCTTTGCATTTTTTAATTTCTTCTCTCATCTCCGCGGCTTGTCTGTCGTCGATCTTCTCGAGCATGCGCAGCTGGTGGAAGGCATTTGTCCAGTGACTCTGACCGGCTACCTTTGTTTTTTCAGGGGTCGTTTTCAGCCGCAAGGTAGGTGCAGGAATGCAAGTACCCTGAGGCCCCAATCCAGTATTATTCCGGGTCAGTTGCTGCTCGACATTAGACACGCGGTTACTCAGTTCATGAAGCGACTGAGACAACCCTCCATCATGCACAGACCGCTCAATATCTCGCTTCAATGATACCACTTGTTCGAGTCTCCGGACTCGTTCTTGAAGGTCCTGAACTATTCGTTCCAAGGGCAGTGATTCCCTTGCTGCTTGATCGACTGGTTCATCACCAGCTCCATCCACCTCTGATTGACACAACGCATCTCCAACCATCTGAGAAGAGCTCCGAGCACGCTCCATCCCATCTTGAGGACTGTACGAGCACGGTATAGCATGACGGGCTCGCGTACAGGGACCGCAAGGAAACGCGCGGTCACAGCGAACTTTGCGCTGACGGCATTGGACGCAGGAAAGGGCCGGTCGACGACGTTTTCGGGGTGTAAAGTCGGCCATTTCGATGCCAGAAAATAAGATTGATATGGATGAAAAGGACAGGAGGGTTGTAAGGTCGGTGGTTTGAATAGACCGAGGCCGAAGTTCGGGGTCGGTGAAAGTCGGCAATAAAAAAAATAAAAAAGACAAAAAAATAGTGCATCGTCCGTGAATCGAACACGGGCCTCGTCGATGGCAACGACGAATTCTACCACTAGACCAACGATGCTGGTTAATATCTAGTTCTTCTTATTAGATTACATATCCTAATCAAAACTACCATAGTAGTTGTATACACATCTTATACTGATTAACGTAACAAGTTATTCAATTCTTCCCTCTTTCTCCCACAGCCAAGTAGATAGCATCATCAAGGAACACACACCCGAGATCACTGTCGTCATTAGTAAGCTGGTCAACTGCAAAGGCGCCGCGAACTTACATGGCACCAACTGGAATGCATTCAAATAGCTCGACCGAACGAGATCCTGGACTGGAGCCGGCAACCTCTGAGCAAATCTATCATCATTCAGAATCTTGCCAATGAACTAAGTTACCAATATTGGTTAGTATAGCTGATAGCGGACTATTTATGGCGGGTAGACACGAACCCTTTTCTCCTCCCATCCCTCTAACATCTTCTCCAACTTTCCCCCGAAGACTCGCTGCACGAGCGCCACGTCTGTCGCGGGCCCGATGATATAGCCCAGCTGCTGACAGAGGTAATATGTAGTGATGCACGTTAGAAGGTTCTCTTTTGGTACTCCCAGTGACATCCCAGCGAACTGCGTGGTGAACAGAGCACCGATGAACATGCCATTGGGGAAAAGATACAGTAGTTCCCAGGTGGAGCTGCCAGATCGCCAGCGGATAAAGATGACCATGTAACTCATGAAAGCGCCGCAGATAGCGCTGGCAGTCATTGTTGTGTATTTTTTCCACCTATCAAATATGAATGGTTAGTGGCGTATGTCTGGGACCGAGTTGGAGTGACTTGCCGTTTGATTATTGCTCCTGCAATCAATCCTCCGACTGACACGCCGGCCGCTGATAGCACGTAAGCTGACGACGCGTACGAGTTCGATGCATCCTCGACTCGGATCAAGTACGGAGCTAGATTGCTCGTAAACTACATGACACAGGACACGCGTCAGAGCAGAAGCTATATATATCGATAATGCGGACACTTACTCCTGAACGGCTGAACATTACCAATACCTGGTTCACGCCATAACCCCCCAATGGCGTTTTCAGTAGATGCAACGGGATCAACGGACTTCTGGCCCAGTACGCTTCAGTCGCGACGAATAACATCGCTGCAGCAAAAAAGGCTGGTACGAGAATAGTCAATTGTGCTATGGATTCATCCGCTGCGCTGAGATCCTGCACAATGAAAAGCAGAAGGAGTATGGTGGCAGAGAGGCTGAAGAGGCCTCCAATATCGAGTTGCGAGATGGTCGACCGCACTGTCCTCTCCTCATTCGCATAACCACCGGTATCGATCGAATTTGATGCAGAGGGAAACCCATGCCATCCGATCAGTAGACAGATGACCGCCAAGGGCACTTGACCCAGAAAAGACCATCTCCAACCAACCGTGCCAATCAAGAAACCCCCAATCGGAGCACCTAAGCTGCGGCCCGCGACATTAACCACATTGGCATAGCTTCGAAGAAGGGGTACCTCATCGACGGGGGCCAGATCTATTGTTGTCATCAATGATCAGCCAAGCAAGGGAGAAAGGCAGAACGGTAGATACTCTTACCGGTAATAAGGACCGATACCAGGGATACCATTCCACCACCACTAACTCCGGCGAGCACTCTGGCCAAGATCAGCTGCAACAGTGATGTACTGGTCCCGCTGGATTCGGACTCGCATGTCAGAGTACGGACCCCACGATCTCGGAAATGTCAGATCGACCTACCACGCAAGACATCCCACAGCAAAAAGCGCATAAGCACCGAGAAGGACAGTTTTTTGCCCATATATCTTACATAATGCCCCGTACTAACACACATATATGATCAGTCCTAACCCAACCTTCCCATGACACATCACACTCACCGCCGGTAACGACACGCAAAATCCAAAGTTGTACGCAGTGAGCAGCCACGATCCCAGCGAAAGACGGTGGAACTGCGACGCAATGAGACTCCATGTAGAAAGAACGAGAGATTCGTCTGCAGCTGCAAGAAAAATGCCTACAAGATGTCAGGAATGCCATATGGTGCCCTCCAGTGGTGTCACATGGTGCTTACCTATAAATGAACCGTACACAGCGAGTTTGTCGCGTCTGCCATTGGTTTTATTTTCCGGCTCGCTCTCGTGGCGAGATGGAAGCAAAGGGCTTTCTTCGTCGGTGGGCATTTCTCCTATTTTGCGGTGTCTGGGCGAGATGTCGAGAAGACAGTTCCAAGTTCACGGAATCTTAGGATTGAAAAAAAAAAAAAAAAAAAAAAAAAAAAAGAAAAAGAAAAAAGAAAAAAGAAAAAAGAAAAAAGAAAAGAAAAAAGGTTATCTCAGCTAAACCCTCAGCTCTCAGGTAGTACAATAAGCAACTCAAATATATCAGCTGCCTGCCCATAAAAAGTTGCTTATATCCATACCGGTCCCGCCCATTAAATCCATTTTATAGTGATTATATGCCTATAAAAATTTATAAAAATAGTTTTCCACTTCTATTGCCTGGCCAGATCAATTGCTTCTATCCGGGTTTTACTGTATGAGTTTTCTACGGAGTGCTTCGGAATATTTGCTTCTTTCCAGCCCTCTTACTACAGTTCAGCTGAAAGCACAAGCCCCTATTTTCTTGCCCTATCAAAACGGCCTATTCCGCGGATACTACTTGTAAGTAGGGCCTGATCTTTTTTGGACCCCGTTTGCGATTCTTGAGCAAGACCTGATTTTTATTTAATGAGAGGTCTATATATATTGAATTCCCACGGCTACAGAGTAGAATTAGCTTTCCAGTCCTGTGTATAGAATATATCGCCGAAATAATAATATAGTCTTCGCTTTCGAAGTAAATCCCCAGGGACTATTTACACTCATGCCGAATTCAAGAACCTTGAACTTGATCATCACAATCATACCAGAACCCAATTAACCCATCTCACTACGAACCCATCCTCGCCCCCACAAAATCAACCAAATCAAACAAACTCTTCTTAAAAAACCTCTCCTGCGTCGTCCGATTGACAACCTGCAACCCAAACTGCTGCGTATAGTCCCCAAACTCCCAATTATCCGCCCAACTCCACGCCAAAGCACCCATAACATGTACCCCATCCTCATGAATCGCCTTGAGAATCTCAGACATAAAAGACATATAATAAATACTGCGTGGTGTATCGAAAAGTTGGTCTGAGAGCTCTTCTTTCTCATTCTCCTTATACACGGGGAATCCGAACTCTGAGACGAGCACGGGCTTGCGGAAGGTGTTATAAAGGTAGTTTAGGTACTCGCGGAGGTAGGTGGGTGTTATGTAGACGTAGCTGTGGGAGCGGTAGCCGATGCTCCAGTCGTGGATGGTTTTGGTTTCTTGGACGACGCAGTAGGGGAAGAGGGTGTTGGCGGTGGTGTGGTTTGCTGCGCAGTCGGTGAAGGTTTCTGGTGGTTCAGAGACTACTGTTGCTGTGTATGGGTCGATGCCGAAGAAGTCGGAGGTGTTGCTGATGTAGGACAGTTCGTCTTCGCTGAGGGGTTTGGCGCCAGGTAGGGTCTCGAGAACGGAATCGGGGTATTGCTTTCCTAGGAAGATGGGGTTGGCATAGAGACCTAGCTGGATTTCCTGGAATCGGTTTGCCGCGGCGATGTCGCTAGAATTGGTGGGATCGCGAGGAACGCCAAAGTTGTCGTTGAACTTGATTCCGATCTTGCCGGTTGCTTTCAGTTCATCCTTGTAGAAATGGTACACTTGCGCGTGCGCATGGACAACATTGTTTGCGCCGGTGAAGTTGAACGAGTAGAGGAACGGTTCGTTGAATGTGAACCAAACGGGAACTCGATCCGCGTAGTGTGTAAGAACGATCTTCGCATAGTTGACGAACGAATCCACAAAGGTCTCATTGTGGTAGCCCCCATTGGCGTTACCGAAGTCAGGAGTAGCGGAGAAATTGTCGCTGGATACGAATAGCCATGGACTGTCGAAGTGGATCAAAGTCACCACTGGCTGCATTCCCGCGTCTAGAATCGTATTGATCAAATCGTCGTAGTGCTTGATACCCTGCTCGTTCACAGGGGATCCGGGCACGACAAACGGCAGGATCCGCGTCCATGGAATCGAGAAACTATAGTACTTGACACCCATAGCCGCCAGGCGCTGAATGTCCTGCTTGTACAAGTAGTAGTTCTCATTGGTCACATAGTTCTTCGGTTGATCAATGGTCGCCAGATTCTCCTGGATGGTAGGGCTGCGACCTTCTAAGCCCACAGCACCTTCGACCTGAGCGGCACTTCCAGCAACACCGAAGACAAAGTCGTCTGGGAAGTTGTAGCAATCCGTAGGTCCAAAGTAGTTTCGAGGTGGAAGAACCAGCTCGCTGCTTGGGACTGGCGTTGGACTGGCCGTTGTCGAATACAGACCAGTGGTCGTGTAGTTCTTGATATCAGCTAGCTCCCATAACGAAGACCATGCCGCTTGTCCATAGGGGTCGTCCGTGTCAGTGGCTGGGATATCTGTCTGGCCAGGAAGCCAACTGCCCCATGTTGTGGTTGCGGGGGGTGTGGTTAGGTGCTTGACAGCCTCGGAGTACGGTGCTGCATATGTTTGGGTGGTTGTTGGCGCCGGTACCGAGGTAGCATATCTATATTCAATCGGTTAGCTGTATGTTCCCTTGAAGCGTAGGATATATGTGGTGAACCTACCGAACAGTCTCATTCAAAGTATAAGAGAACGGACGAAAAGAGTACTCAGGCGATGCAGCCGGCTGCGTACACTGCAGACGCTCAGTATAGCCAGTAGTTGTAAGATACAACTGCTGCGCTTCCGCGAGCGCCACCAACACACTACTATATAACAGGGTTCCTCGCATCTTTCAGGACTCGCAGAAGATGATCTATTGCAATCCTCTCTCTCTCGGAACCATGGAAAGTCGTTCCTTTTATACCCGGATTTCCCAGGACCATATTATGAGCAACTTAAGCATCACCCATATTGGCCATGGTTCCATCATTATCTTCGGTATGGATTGATATAGATAGGTCAATAAGCCCGTGAGCCATTTCATTGTTCGGTATATGCCGTCATATTCGGAAATTTTATCAAGATGCACCCCGCAACCCCAGAATTCCGGAGTTTGTCCGAGCGCTCGTTCCCCAGACTATGCCAAACACGGGGTGGACGGGCCGGAATATATATTCCTCTGCGGGTTCCGATTTAACAAAAACTGCTGCTTTCAGTAATTTAACGTGGATGCGATGGGCGGATCTTTTGTCGGCACATCCGGTATTCTTAAACTCTGTATGTTGTCGGCGCTCTATATTTCCCAGTTCGGGTGCCAATGCCCCTCCATTGATGTTTGCAAGAGACTTGGCTTTTCTGACATCCCGAAGTGATCCCTAAAAGAGCTCACTCAAGCACTCCGAGTGGTACATTGCCTGATCTGTATGTAGCCATCAAACACTACCACATCTGATCCCAACTAGATTGGTTTAGAATATCAAAGAACCCATAATCAATCGGAAGGGATTCCATCGGCACAGAAAGCTCATACTGACTAGTTAATGCACTCCCGAAATTCGTATGTTGCTCCGGTTCAATCCCATCGAAACTGATATTCGGCAGTTCGAGTCCTAGATCCAGATCCAATGGGAACCCAGTCTCGTTGCCATCACGGTCGATGTTATTTTCTCCTCCCGGGGGTGAAATCATTTGATTCGGAATTTCCGAGTGGCAAAGTTTCCGAAGATTATGCCCAATGAGCCGTGCCGGATGCCACGATTTGGAGAGTTCGTCGAGTACAGTCAGACAAAGACTTAGTTTATTTTTGTGCGACGGAAGGATCAGATTCTCCCTTTCGCCAAGCAAAACCAAAGTCGCCAATAACGTGCAATGCGTCGCTGAAATAGGGCTGAGGTGAAAACCGCCAAATACCTGCCGGTATCTCTGAGCGACCAGACAGATTGCCCGGGCTGATTCACGGCAAATGGAAGTTGCTAGGTCGATGGTCTTGCAACCTGTCTGGTTCTTGCTCGGATGTGAATTTCCTCTCATAATGAATGGCTTTGCGAGGAGGATTCTTGCTGTGTGGTAGATCATGTGGAGGATGTATGCGTGGGGGATGTCATTTGGACGGTCGACTCTGAGTTTTGTGGGGAGATCATAGAACCATGTTCTCAGATCTAGAAGACAGGACTCCAGGAAGGTTGGGCGTTGGTTGTCTTTCAAAAGGGGTTTGGGGGCCCATCTGGGTTTGTTAGTCAATGCAGGTGACATAGTATTTGATTTATGACATACAGTGAGAGAATAATGTTTTCCTGTATTTTGCATATGCTAATCATCGCTCTTTGCAGTGGTCTGAATGCTTTTAGAGCTGGACTATCGGTATCAGATATTTCGTCGTCGTCGGGCATTTTGACGGCTGCTTGCGAATCCTACACACGTCAGTATAATCTAAGTTCAAGGAACCGAGAGACTCACCAGCATGGAGCAAACTCTCCCCGTATAGCTAGAAGCCCACTTATCATGACAGTACAACGTCCAATAAATCTGTCTCCTCAGCTGAATTTCCCGATGCGACATCATATTCGTCTCTTCAAAACCAGCCGGATCTAAATTCAATCCCATATCAAGACACAATCGGCCTGCCATCCCAAGATACAGCCAGCATGCAGCGTCAGCACCAATTGCCTGTTTCATTAGCATAATTGAAAGTACAGCATGATAAAGGACGACATACGACATAGAATGTGCCAATAATAGCCAGTGTCTGGATGGTCATCAGACTAGGTCTCTCCATCTCGCTATGGAGACGACGCTTTGCCTGTTCAAGGAAATACTTTCCTGCTGTGTTGGGATTGTCTGGGTCTGATCGGACATCTATACGATCCGAGTACCGTGACCCAACGGCAAGAATTGCAAGATGCAGCAGCGAGCTCCAATACCTTCCGCAACAATACATGCTCTGACGAAAGAGCTCTTCATCGACAACTGCAAACCACGGCTGCTCCCATTTGAAATAGAGGCTGATCAGGTGTTCTTGTATAGGTCTTGTAAATCCAACGTCGTCCAAACCTGTGATTATAGAATCAAGACACGTTATTGCAGAAATTTTACCGTGATCGGAGGCACTGAGAGGATCAGAAGAACCCTGGAATTCGAGCCTTCCACTCGTCGGCCCAAAATACCGCAATTCGCCATGCTTATCGAAATTCAGCGACTCATCGAGCGCGAGTTTACCTTTAACTCCCTCCGCAAGCTCATCTATTGCGGCATCCTCATCCCCCTTCTTCACAGTTGCCGCATAATCCACTCTTTTGGAACTCGGCTGTTCACGCTCATGTGGGTCAATCCCATGCCTCTCCAAAAGCAGCTCCAACGACTCGATCCTCTGCCGTAGTGAAAGAACATAAGTCTTCGACGCTGGCCTCCTACCATCTTCCACGACTGAATACTGACATGAGATATCCCCCTGGAGACACTTAGAGCAAGATGGCCTTTTTCCATCGCACTGAAATGCATTAGTAATCCGTAGTGAAATGTGCGGTAGATGACGTACCTTGGCGCGACGACGGCGACATTCTTCGCATGCTCTGGTAGTGTATTTCCCACGCTGTTTATTGTTATTTGCAGAAGGATCTGGGGGCATGGTGACGTTTGGCCTGTGATGTTTGTAGGTTGAGGGTTGGATGGGGAGATGTTGCGGGAAAGATCTTATCTCGGGGGCATCTCCACATCGCCAGAAATGGTAATATTGGAAATTGGTCATGGATATTTATTGTTATAGAACAAATTATGTACAGAGAATTTGAGGCTATCAAGCAGAAACTTCTTCGCATGCATACGACGACGCATCCCGACTATCTCCTCCCTTGTACACCGACACCAACGGATACGGACACAGCTTCCGACTCCTAGAACCATCCTCTGTCTTCCCCAGCAATGTCTCTGGCGCAACACCCTTTTCTATCCAGTTGACGACCAACTCCAACGGATTAACCGGGATCTCACCGTTACCTCCCTGGCAGTGCTGCACACCCGGGGCAAAAAAGAGCCGATAGAAGTCACGAACCGAGGGATCCAAGGTCTCCACTTCCTTGTAGTACTTCTCCGTGCCCTTGGGAAAGATGAGTTGATCGGCTAATCCGTGCCATGTCACCAGCTTGCCACCGGCTTGTTTGAATGCGGATAGGTCGGGGTTATTCGTTCCGATGATCGAGTCGTACTTTTGGCGAGAGTATTCGAAGATCCGTTGGTATTGCTCGTGGTTCATCTGAGTCAGATCCGCAGATGGGTTCTCCAGGATGAATTGGGATATCCAGTCTGATGAGATGGGGAACGGTATACCCGTGCAGTTGGACGGTGTCGAGCACGTCGTTACGGCCAATCCTCCCGACAGCGGCGCGCCTTTCTCGAGACCATACCACAGGGACGAGCCGTTGGTAGAGCGCATACCGCCCCAAATCTTCTGAACCACGAGTGCATCGTTCCGAGTAATTGTTACTGTCTTTCCACTGCAGTTGGCCATCTCGTTGACCGTGGTCAAGGGGTCGAAGTGGCAATGGCTTGGTTCTGAAATAACACCGTCTTTCACTCCATCGTTGCCATCGCACGCTTTCACAGCAGCAGCGGTGATCGCATCAATGACACACGGAGAAGGATGCGTTTTCATCTGATTCATCACAAACTGCGGCCAGTACTCCGCGACAATGAACTCAGGCCAGTTAATCGCAGGAGCATTCGCCAGAATTCCATCATACGCCGTAGGATACCGCTGCGCAAGCATAAGACCCTGTCGTCCACCCGTCGAGCATCCATTCCAGTACGAGTACCGAGACCCATGTCCGTAAAAATCGTTAATAATACCCTTGGCTACAACCGCCGCATCATTCAAGGCAACAGAAGCAAAGTCCTTGAGAAGCGGCATGTTAACCTTTCCAGACTCGTCGAGCGACCAGGAATCCGACCTAGCCAGGTTCAACTCATGCCCCGCGTCTGTTCCAACAGCTGCGTATCCTCCGGTCACGGCCTTTGCTAGATTGTCCACACTTTCCAGAGCCGAGAAGCCACCGCCACCTGCGCCTTGGAGTCGCTGGTTCCATTTGGACGATGGAAGCCAGACATTGACGTGGATCGTGTCGTTCCAACCGGGGTGGGTGTAGGTAACGGTGACATTGCAGAAATTCAGGGTTGAGTTTTGATAGTTATAGTTGTGGACCGGGACCGCGGATAGGTTCAGGACTTGACCATGAGGGATCGAAGGGTTGCTGATGCTAGAGGTCGAACAGTTGCTAGCGTGAGTGGCAGAAGCAAACCACAGTCCTGCCGCGGAGGCAGTGGCCATGGACCACAGATTCTGGGGTACCATCCTGATCTTGAATGACCCTGAGGAAAAGAGGACAAGGACGAGAGACAACTTTAAATATCCCTATCTATGACGATTTATAATCTCCGAATCTGCAAACTTCATTCTGTGTATCGGATAGGGAACCGGTGGACATCTCTTTCGCTTCCAGGCAACATAATAAGCAAGAAGATCCTAGACTATCGGTACCAGTTATCCCGACGCCATTATTTGTCTCATTTTCCACTCCATATCGAACAGACTGTTCACCAAGGGGTCTGAGATCTGTGGTTCAATATGCAAATAAGTACCGAGTTTTGCAGCCGGGGACACAAGTGCGGATATCCACGAAGTTTGCCCGACGGCAGGGTGAGATCTGCAATATGCGAACCAAGGTTATAAATGGTTTTTGTTGTCAGCATCATTGTGCTTGTGAACCTTTTCCGATATGCATCCCATAAGATCTCACTTCCGAAGTAGCTTACTCCGGATATCGATTCAATCAATTTGCCTGGTTGCAGGATGTCTTTTGGGCGCAGTTCATAATCACGCAAAAGAAATGGAAACGAATATAAATGGAGAGCCGAATATCGGATGAAAAAATCAAGTGCAAGAAAGAAAATATGTGCTCACAGGCGAATTCGAACCGCGGACCTTATGGCGGGGCAACACCACCGCACGGGTGTATTGCAGACTTCCCAACAGTCAATGTCTCCAAAACAGTTTCCCATCCAAGCCATTCTCACCACACAGCCGTCGTACTGACTAGGATAATAGGTAACCAAGTAAAACGCTCTCGACCGAGAGCCGTTGACGTTCACTTCATGTCCTACTACCGGACACAACCCAAGCCACACTGGCCCGCCTAACCTCCCATTTCCAGCAAAACCCAAATAAGGACTTTTTTCCGTCGTGACATGGAATCAGAAAGAAGTTCAACCTAGGCAGACCGGCGTTGCGCCGATAATGGTCATCCAACGTCTCTTCTCTGGGACATGACGGAAAGTGCGGGGAACTGGATGGAGAGTGCGGGGAACTGGATGGAGAGTGTGCAGTTCTTCCTCTCTCAGGCGAGGTCGCACATTTGATCTTTAGCTCAGCTCAGCTGGCTACGTGGAAAGTGTGCCGAGGGATAAGCCCTTTAAATACCCAACAAGTGCGCTGTTTTGTCTCTCACAAACAATCTCGATTTTACAGTGCCGACGCCATTGTGATAGCCTCTGACACAATGGCAACAACTATCCCCTCCCGGAACCGCATCGAGCCCGGCTCCGTCAACGTACCCGTGGGCAAATTCCCCGCAACCAGCCAATCCCTCTCCGTTGACCCAAACGAAATAGCCTCCGACATCCTCCACCAATTCAACGCACTCCTCTCCAAGAAGGACTACCAAGGCCTCGCCAATCTCTTCCTCGAAGACGGCTATTGGCGCGACCACCTCTGCGTGTCGTGGGACTTCCGCACCATCAATGGCAGAGAAAAGATTGCCGATTTCGTCCAGGACTCCAATGTTACTCAGATCGATATCGATCGCTCGTCTACTTACCGGGCACCAAAGATCGGACCGATTGATGCGTTTGGTGATGTGATTGGAATTGAGTTCTTCACGAATGTTTCGACGGAGGTCGGACGGGGTCAGGGTATTACGCGGTTGGTTGAGAAGGATGGGCAGTGGAAGATTTTTATCGTTTTTACGTCGTTGCAGGAGTTGAAGGGTCATGAGGAGGGTTTGTATGAGCGTCGGCCTAAGGGTGTGCAGCATGGACAGCATCAGGAGAGTAAGAATTGGAAGGATAGGCGGGCTGCGGATTTGAATTATGAGGACAAGGAGCCTGCTGTCGTTATCATTGGTACGTTCCCTTCTAGTATCTCGGAAAGCAGTTGCTAACGAAACCAGGCGCCGGCCAAGCTGGCCTAACAGCAGCCGCCCGACTCAAAATGCTCAACGTCGACACCCTTGTCGTCGACAAAGAAGACAGTGTCGGCGACGCCTGGCGCAGACGATACTACCAGCTCGTCCTCCACGATCCAGTCTGGTACGACCACATGCCCTACGTCCCCTTCCCAGCGCACTGGCCCGTCTTCACGCCGAAAGACAAACTCGCCGAATTCTTCGAATGCTATGTGAAAATGCTCGAACTGAATGTCTGGACAACCACCACCATGACCTCGTCTTCTTGGAGCGACGAGACGAAGCAATGGACCCTCACCCTCCAACGCCAAAAGGCAGACGGTACCGTGGAAACCCGCACCCTGCACCCGCGCCACGTCATCCAAGCCACCGGCCACTCGGGCAAGAAGAGCCAGCCCACCTTCAAAGGACAAGAAAGTTTCCAAGGCGACCGCCTCTGCCACAGCTCTGAATTCCCCGGCGCAAACCCAGAGTCCAAGGGTAAGAAGGCCGTGGTTATCGGATCCTGCAACTCAGGCCACGACATCGCACAGGACTTCTATGAAAAGGGCTACGACATCACCATGGTCCAGCGCAGCACCACATGCGTGATTTCCTCCGACGCCCTCGGCGAGATCGCTATGAAGGGCCTGTACGAGGAAAGCGGGCCCCAAACCGAAGAAGCAGACCTGTATCTCTGGAGTTTCCCGTCCACCCTCTTCAAAGCGCAACAGGTCAAGATCACCCAGCTCGAGAATAAACACGACGCGCCTATCCTCGAGGGTCTCGAGAAGGCTGGCTTCAAGGTCGACCGCGGCCCTGACGACGCGGGTCTGTTACTCAAGTACTTCCAGCGTGGCGGTGGTTATTACATCGACGTTGGGGCGTCGCAGATGATCGCGGACGGCAAGATTAAGATCAAGCAGGGACAGGAAATCACCGAGGTCCTGCCCCGGGGATTGCGCTTCGCCGATGGCACAGAGCTAGAAGCGGATGAGATCGTCTTCGCGACGGGGTACCAGAACATGCGGACGCAAGCGCGGATTACCTTCGGCGACGAGGTGGCAGACCGGATTGGTAATATCTGGGGCTTTGACGAGGAGGGTGAAATGAGGACTGTTTGGCGACGAACGGGACACCCTGGATTCTGGTTCATGGGTGGTAATCTGGCGCTTTGTCGGTATTATTCGCGGTTGTTGGCATTGCAGATCAAGGGTATTGAAGAGGGCTTGTCTGCTTAGATGTATCCAGCATAGCATAGTAAACTAGAATCGATTCATTGGTATCATTGTGTCAATCGTATTATGATGTATTGATCCAGCCTTCCTGACCGGCAACCCAAACCCCCGATGTCAGTATCAGGGTACATAACCTCCCATCTAGATCCTCTTTCGTTCGAGTCCCAAACTCCGAAATAAGCCCGTCCCTCAAATACTCTCTAACCCTCCTACCCCACGAACCCACCTCCACACTCGTCCTACTCATCCTCGCAACCCTCACCCGTCGCGAATCCGCAATCCTCAACACAAACCGCTCCCCTTGCACATCCTTCTCCCACTCAAGCACCCTATCCCGAAACGACACCCGATAAACCCCCTTCTCCGAACTAGCCTCCCACCCAACTCCATTCTCAAAATAAACCATCCTCTTTCCTTCATCCTGCGCATTCCGCGCAACAACACCAACAACCATCCTCTCAACCTCTTTATCATCAACATCCACATTCGCATTTACATTCACCCCCCGCTCCCCATCCGTCCGCCCCTCCGAGCTCGACCTCAAATGCAAAAACCCCTCACACTGCGTAACATACACATCCCCAGACCCCAACTTGGGCACCTTTTTCGCAACGCGCGTATTAAATATCGACGGCTGCCAGACTTCTAGGATCGGGATGTGGCGGCGCTTATTTGATGTTGTTGAGAGTTGTTGGATTTGAAGGAGGAGGTTTGGTGTGAAGCGGCGGAAGCAGGTGGGGGCCTTTTGGGGTGGGGGGTAGGCGATTGGGAAGGTTTGTTTTGGTGGTTGCTGATTTTGCTGTTGTTGGTGGGAGGTTGTGGAGGTTGTTGTGGAGATGTTTGAGGAACTATGTTTGTTTGTTAGATCTTTTTCTTTGTTCTCTGAATTAGGGGGAGGGGTTTGGCTTACTGGGTACTGCTCCCTGAGCTGTAGAGGCTTGATGATGTTGATAGCATTTTGGTAGTGTTCCAATGTACGTCCGGTATACGGGATATTGTACACTGCTCTCTAAATGATAATTCCAACAGAGCAACAAAGATAAAAAAGGGAGACCGGGAGGGGCAGACTATATAGATCAACCCTCAGCCCTGCGCCGTCCTGTCAGCCCGTATTCGTACGCCGCAATAGCCTTAAGGGTAAAAAGTGGAGCAAACGGCGTTTTTCCTCCTGTTAAATAACCCGTTTCTATTCATAGCCACACTATTGATAAGATTGGCTTTTCCTTCGTATTTTTTTTAACCATCTTTTGTTCCGTGGTTCGGCTATACGAGTACGAGTGGGTTCGTTTACCTTTTTTTTCTTAGGGTCAGATACGATGGACTGCTTTATACGCGGATAGATTAGATCTGAAACCCATGGGCTGCGCTATTGAGTCCGGGTAGGGGTTTCGGTCGGAGTTGAGTTGTTTGGGTAGGTGTGGGAGGTGTAGGAGGTGGGTGAAGAGTTTTGCGCGGAGTGATGCCTGGTTACCTTATTTAGCATCGCCTTGCACTGCATCGGATGAATACGAAAGACAGCTTACCGACCAATAAAACGCCTTATACCTATGCTCTTCCAAAAACGCAGCTCACACCAACACATCTGTTACAGTGGTCTCTCCGTATTCCTTTTCCCTGGTCGAACAGTGCAACGCATTCCACTCTCGTCGCGGACACTCCGCGATGAGATCGTCGACGACTCCGGTGAGCTGTTAGTGTCGAAGAAGTACCGAAGGTCTGGAGCGAGCTGTCCAATCTTAGCGACGACCTGAGGACTTCGTTGGTGGGTAGGGAGCGGACGAGATTGAAGTGTTTGTTATGTGCAGGAAGTGAAGTTGGGCGAGTTGGATGGCGCATTGGGCCACGCTTGCTGTGTTTGTTAGCTTATCGGTTTGTCTGTATGCTGTGAGGCGAACGTACAGCTACTGCTTCAGCTCATAACCGTAGTTTCTGAACCCCAAGTCTCGTCGATGCTCAGACATCTGCTAGAGAATCAGGCTAGCAATAGAGTCGTCGCAGTTAGAGGCATGGTGACTGCTTGTTCGAGAGTGATGCCGCTCGGCAGTTTGAAGCAGATATTTTCGTCTGCCAGGGTGTATTCGCCGTATTCGTCGTATGCCCCGAGACATTTGATTTCGCCTATAGTGCGCCAACATCGGCGGAATATAATGCAACGGGGAAGAATGACTACCTCTATATAAAACCGGCTACGACATCCCCGTTCTTCAAATTAGAGACGTCAGGACCGAGTTGGACCACGGTATCGACGAAGTCGCATCCCAAGACGCTTCCGTCTCTGAATGCATTGTCGTCGAAGAGTTGCACTATGCCATTCACCATACTCAAATTTCAACATGGGAAACATGATTACCATCTGTAGAATTGTGAGCGATGCACCAACGCCTGATAAGAGCCGGGAGTTGGTGACCGGAGTGCCGTTTTGGGTGCGCGTTACTAGAGATGTGCCTGTAGCCGTTGCCATCTGTACTTTTAGATTGCATCAGGAGGATAATTTAGGAGGATGGTTTGCGTTCTCATGCATTTGCATAGTGGATTTTTCAGCTCTGGTGATGCGGGGTTGCTGCAGGCCACGATAAGCAGCACATCTCCATTTCAATTGGCTTTGCTATGAAGAAAAAGAACACCCTTGTATGCTCTTATAATCATTAGATCAGAATTTCCAAGAAAATAAGAGAAGCGTACACTTTACAAACGATCATGTATGGTCCGACTTGCCCTAGAAAATAGGAGGACGTCTCATGTGCAAAAAGCAATGCCATTCCACTTTAACTGCGAAGACACATTAGCACTACTTGCCGATCATGCGGGAGTAAACCACATTACCTTGGATGTTATCAACGCTTACCTTGCTATTCGCTGCTCTCATTGAGTACCCGGGTGTGGGTCTCATACTGTTTGAGACGGGATGTGCTGGGGATCTGAAAGTAGTAAGTGCGAGATATACGATAGACACACACATCGGAACTCTGCTAAATATCAGGGCTACAGAAATGGGGCGCCCCATAACCGCTATCTTCGCCCGCACTAAGTATACTGCTTGTGTTTGGGCATGATAAAGATGTGGCTGCCAAGTTAATGGGAAAGGATTTTTATACATAGATCTTGCTTTTTGCTTTATTTGTGCAGTTCACTGGAAACCACACGATGTCTCTATAGTTTAGCCAGACTTTACTAGGAGAATTGAGTGCCCATAGAATAGTAGCCCATTACAGCTACAGAATTGAATTGCCGTGCTATAGATCGGAGTAGTCTCGGTGAATTACGTTATCGGCTATCGCCACTAGTTAGTTAGTTAGCCGCTTCGACGGAGTTTCCACGGAGGTTCCACGACGCACTTCTCTACCAACCCAACAAATAATACATGACAGACAATGTCATCCCAGATCAGCCTTCGCAGATCATGCCAAGCATGCGCAAAGCTCAAGCGCCGCTGCGACCAGCGTCTACCACAATGCACCCGATGCGCGGCGAAAGGAACCCCCTGCGAATACATCAACACGCCATGGGCAGTGGGAAAGCGGTCAAATGGACCCCCAGCAAGCGTTAAAGAAACTAGCTCGATAAATCCGCCATTGCATTTGGAGATCATCAAGACGTTTGATGGGGCCATCATTCGGTTCTTGGTGGACGGCATACGGACGTTTCCGGTGACTTTCGCGCAGCAGATGAAGACGCTGTTTATTCATCCTGATTTATACAGGAGTTCGTCGCATTCGGGTCCAATTCAGGAGATTCATACGCTTTGCAAGTCGTATGAGAGTGAGGTTTATTCGCCGCGGCTGTTTGGTATTTTGCGGCAGAAGGCGGTTCAGATTCACCGCCACGCTACCCGCACCTCTTCATTCGAGGAGCTTCTCTTCTGCGTGCAGGCATTAATTCTCGCGCACTGCATACTGTCTTTTGATGACCACGAGAACAGCCAATACTGCGAAGCAACAAGCACCATGCTAACCAATATGGCCTTGAAGCTATGGCACCAAGCACCCATCCAACTCCCGCATGCAATGAGTGCGCGACGAGCATGGCTTTTCGCAGAGAGTGTCCGGCGCACAATCATCATTGCATACATGCTCTGCAGCGCATACTCATTCGGAAAAAGGAGCTTTTCCGTCCGCACACCGTTCGTGGACGCGTTGCCGTTCGACGTCCGGACATCCTTGTGGGATGAACCGGCTGATAGCGAGTGGGAAGAAAAGGCGAGACATGCACCTGTGGCGATGGTTTCGCTACGGGAGTACTCGGATATGTTGGAGGGGGGAAGGGTTCATGGGATTTCGTTCTTTGGGAGTTTGATTCTTGCGGCGTGTAGGGGGTTGCCGGCGAAGATGGTTGCGTTTCCGCCGGTGCAGGGCTACAGAGAGATATCTCTTTGAAGCCATTTTTTGGCATGGGTTACTAATGAAGATAACGAACAATATATTCAACTAATCTATAGAATGCATATGACCTGCACTGCGCTCAAATCACCGCAAAAACTGCTTAAGCAACTCCGTCAACCCCGCCGTCAAATTCCCATAAACGAACTGTCTCTTCGGCTCAAACGCATCAAAAATCTCCCTCGCCGAACCAACCGCAATTTGCTCCTCTCCTTTCACCAGACTACCCCACGTCTCATCCGCAAACTCCTCCAACGGCATCCCAATCAAATGCCCATTCTTCAAATCCGGCTGATGCTTAGTATCATGCAACTCCGTCTGCACAGCAGGCGGATACACCTCAACCACCTTGATATCTCCGGGGCCATCCTTCAACTGCGTGCGCAGGGCAAGAATGAAATGGTGCAGCGCGGCCTTCGACGCACCGTACCCGGGCGCGCGCATCATGGGGACCAGCGCTATCTGCGAGGTTGTGTAGATAAGCGCTGTCTTGATTGGTTGTTTCTGGAGATGCGGGAGGAAGGCTTTTGTTAGACGGACTGCGGCGGTATAGTTGGTGAGGAGCTCGGTGTCGAAAATGTCGACGTCGACGGAGGCGGGGTCGGCGAAGTTGAAGGCGCGTTGGATACCAGCGTTGACGAAGATGCAGTCGAGATCGGGGTTTGAGGAGAGGATTTCTGAGGCGAATTGGGGGATCTATGACCAAGCTTGTTAGCTGGGATCTTTTTCTTCGTTCGTACTGAATTGGAAATGGAGAGACATACATCGTCCAACTTCAACACATCAAAGACCTCCGTCTGGACCTTGTCACTGCCATGCATGGCCACAAAGTCATCCAGATTCTCCTTCCGGCGTCCGGTAATCACAATCGAAATGTCATTCTTAACAAGTCTCTCGGCAATAGCCTTGCCGATGCCAGAGGTGGCGCCGATAACGAGGACTTTCTTGTAGGGGAAGGACATTTCGCGCTGTTCTCGTTACTTGGAGTTGGACCTTATAATTGAATGAAAAATGGCTACTGGGAGAATTGAATCAAAAGATAGGGATAGACATGCGAATTTATAGCCCAAGAATGCATCTATAACATTTACGTCGGTCGCCATGTGCCGATTCCGAACAAGCCCAGACTATTCCACATTGGGATTAGACTCCGCTGCGGACTTTGGTGGGTCTTGATATGTACGTATGTATGTAGTTTTTAGATCAGACTTCGATGGACCGTATCTCGGTACACATATGGGGATAGAAAAATTATGATGGAATATTCGAGGTGATTATAAATGGTGATTAGTAATCGAGGGTATCTCGGGACGTAGAATGTCTGATTGTCCGAATGTGAATTGTGAGGAGGTTTTCGGGACAGAGAATACGGTCCGGTGTAGTTATGCACTATTCTAGCATGCACAGGAAGTTGCCTGTTGCTGGCTACGCTCACAGCTGAAGGACAGGAAATAAGACAGTGACAGGAGTAATCTATTGGCATATTGGAATGGCTGGAAATGAAGCACTTGAATCTGACGGCTACGTAGAATATTCCAACTAGGAAGATCAATGTGAATGTACATGAATTGAAATATTATATACGATAGCCTATTTACGGAGTCTCCGAAACATTATACACAAGCTTCTTCCCACTAACCTTGCCCTCCTTCATATCCTGCAAACCCTGCAACACCCCCTTCAACCCATCCGGCAACACCTTAACCGGATGAACCTTAATCTTCTTCTCATTTAACACCTTCTCAGCAACCGGCAAGAAGCCCTCAATAAATGCCCTATCCTCAGGCTTAGCCGGGAACTTGGCCTCACCGAAATCAAACGCCTCGCCGATAATAGAGTACGCCAGAGTCCACCGGTCCTTGACGTTCTCGCGCTCGATGCCGACGACCAGAAGCGCGCTGTAGTCGCCGCCTTCAGTGGAGAGGGCGTTGTCGGAGAACTTGGCCGAGTCTTCGAGGGAGATGGTGTCGAAGACGAGTTTGAGGTTGTTGTTGGTGTCTTCGCGGATCTTGGAGGCGGAGTTGGGGTCGTTGTAGTCGTACACGGCGTCTGCGCCGAGACTCTTGACGAGGTCGAAGTTGCGGGGGGAACAGGTTGTCAGGACTGTGTAGCCGGATAATTTGGCGAATTGGATCGCCAGGGTACCGGTTGCCGTGGAACCACCGTAGATCAGGATGGGGGTCTTCTCCTTAACGGGATCCGTGGGAAGCGCCAATTGTAGAGACTGGTACAATGCCTGCGCGACAGTGTTCACACCGACACCCAGCGTCGCGGCTTCCTGGAAGCTCATATAATCAGGGACATGGAACTGCACATCGCCCTTGACAACGATGTATTCGGCAAAGGTCCCATCCTCAGCCTGCACGGCATTGGATCCATGCGCGAATCCGCAGATCCGATCGCCCTTCTTGAACGGCTTCTTGACGTCCTTGCCGACCTCCTCGACGACACCGGAGTAGTCGCAGCCGACGAGGACACCGGGGGGAGCAAGGTACTCGACGTGCTTCCAATCAGTGGGGTTAATGGCGACACTGACGGTTTTCACGAGGATGTAGTCGTCGCGGAGGGTGGGGAGGGGGCGGTTTGTGAGGGTGGCTTGTTTGGGGGCGGTGACTGCGATGACTTTTTGAGACATTGTGGCGGTTATGGTGAAGTATGAGGGTAGAACCGTTTAGTATAGTATGTACAGGGGGTACGTGAGATACAGATGTAGGGTTTTTATGTAGAACGATATCGACCGAGGAAGGCTACGGAAGCATGACGAAAGATCTGACAAATCGGAGTGGATCTCTGAGCGGGTCCACCCCAGACACGGCGGAGACTAAGCCATATGGGGAATAGTGCATAGAGTTTAATCTATACACTGGATGATGTCATTGTCAAGTTCAATGGAGTAGATACTAATGGAGTTAGTCACTCTATCGCAGAATAGACCTTCATTATCGCTCTTGTCCAGTCTGTTTTGAAAACTTTCAGACTACCCACCGCTTTTCGCTCGTCTGATCCCATGGTGCTCGCTGTGTACTGGTACCGGCCAGGCCAAACACAGATCTGCAGGCCAGCACCCCTCGGGCCCTGCACGCGCCAGCCCACATTACGGAGATTGCCAGAGGAGGTCGGGACATGATCTGAGTACGATGAAACCACCTCCAGCGGCTGCTTGACATCACCTGCTGCTGCCGTCACCACACGGCTGCCACTATGACCATAGCCGCTAAGCTCTGCGGCCATTCCAACTACATGATGAATGGAGATGGGTTGGAATAGCGCCTGCGGGAGATTCCTGTGAGCCTAGCCGTGTCAGATGAGGGGGTCCTGGGAGATGATTAGGGGAGGCGTTCTTTTTAACCTCACTAGAGCTGGCTAAGCTCTTACAGAGATATTAGTAACACTTAGTGCGTGAAACAAAAAGACCAGACGGTTCTCATTATCCTGTCAAGCTATTTTGGAGACCTTCGATTTAAAAGGAAGTTCTCAGGGCTTCTGCGATAATTTGTGTCTACTGGAATGCTTGAGGATGGCCAAAGTATCAACGAGTTTACCGTGGACCCCTGCATCACCGACCATGAAGGCAAGCATTACTCCACGCTCGGAGATTTAAGGGCAATTGTTTATGCTTCCATACTTGGACCGCCTTTTGCCAGTGCTTTTGCAACGGCTGGATCCAAGCCGAACTGACTGAGAATGGTCAAGCATGTGCAACTCATTTTAACAGAGCTTACGTCTTCTAGTATTCTCTATACCGTTTATTTAACGGTAACAGTCTATTAAGTATGGCGTTCAACCGCAGAGATGTGAACAGCCCGTACCCAGTCTCATACAACCGAACCGAATAAACGAACGTCTGCGACCTGAAGCACTCAGAGGGCTCAGCTATGATAGAAAGCCAGGTAGTGTCGGATGAAGCCGACCAAGTTACAATGCAGATTTTACTGAACGAATATAGTCTTATGCACCGGCTGCTACCGACAATCTCCTCACGTACGGGAAGGCATGAGCAGAGAATTTCATGAGCTTTTTCACGGGCCATTCTCCCAGCTCAGCAATGGTGTATCAATCTTTGATATCATGGACCAAAATCTCAATGAATACATCTTCTGTACTATCTCCAACTATGTACGCCGTGATCCTAATTTGCGTCCATGGTGGTAAATAATACCGGGCTACGGTCACCTTCTAACATCAATTGAAACGAGTAGTTGGTCACAGTGAGCCTTCAGAAAATATTAGCCCAATCGACTCAGTCAAGCCAAGTCTTTACAATATCCTGAATCGCAGCCCACAGCCAGGCATCATGTAGTTCGGCCGAATGATCAAAACCATGCTCACCATCCCGCACGACTAGACGAAAGTTTGAAGTAGGATCGACGTCTTCCACCTTATCCTTCAATGAATAACTCTGCTCAATAGGAGCAACAGTATCATCTCGCCCGTGAAGCACCACCACCCCACCTCGAGGAAATCTCGCCCCAGCATCCAGTCGCTCCAGCGGATATGGCGTAATTGTATCGTATGGCAGCAATCGACCCATTTGTCCGTGTTGACAGATGGAAAAGTTCAATGTCAGTCTATCAGGACTGGATTCGGCGGATTTGACAATTGGGGTTTCGGAGAGTGCTTCTTGTTCCTTGAGATCTGACAAGTGACGGTCCAATGCGTCCTTGGGAGGCGTCGTGATGTTAAATACCGGCCTTAGCTGCTCAGCAGTGAAGCACGGTACTTTGGGATTCGTCATGGGATAGACTGCGTTAACCGCCCGGATCTCAGTCGGATGGCTTAGACCCATTTGCAGGCTCAGATAGCCACCTGCACTATCACCAACAGCCAGAATCCGACCAAGTTCTGCCTTTATCTCTCCACTAGTCTCATTTTCCAAGAACGTCGGGAGCCATGCATGCATCCAATCCCAGTGATCCTCCACATCCTCCAAAATCTCAAGGATGGAAGACTCGGGCATAAGCCGATAATTTGGAGAGACAATCATGGCCGAATGTTCCTGTGCAAGCTCGAGATACCACTTATTGAAGAACGGGGGGAAGAGGCTGTGGCCGCAGATAAGACCTCCACCATGGTAGCGGAGAAGCACTGGGCGAGGAGTAGCGCGTAGATGCTGGTGAGACGAATCGTGAAGGTGCTTGGGGTAGAGAATGTCAACCGTGATTTCGTGGTTATAGACTACTTTGTACGTGGTTGTGAGGATTTTGAAGTCGTTGAATCGTGAGTAGTCGCTGGCTTGAGCAATAAGGGAGTCCATTATGGTCATTTGTTACGTTAAGGGATTCAGGATGTAGTTAGAGTAAGCGGATTATATAACTAGTTAGCTTCCTCGGCTATTACAGGGATATCCATATTCACCCCGCTTTCAGGTCAGCACCGCGGGAATGAATCAAGTTTCAATTTTGATATGAATTTGGATTTAGACATTGTATTCAAAAATGTCATGTGATACATCTCTTACCTGTCGGAATCAGTCTGGCGTCACATGGAAGGTAGAATACCTTGACATTCTCCGGGACATTCCTCCATCAGTCCGGAAAGAGCCTCCTTCCTCCGAATACAAGTCGTTGTCTTGGAAGCCTGTCAACCGGTCTCCTTACAATACTCGTTCTCGAAATAGTTGCCAACCTGATCGAACGACGCCAGAAGAGACCTCAGGAGAAAGTAGTGGGAGCGATGGCGACTTACCCTCCCCATCGCCTGCAGCACCAGTACACAGCACACAGGGCCATGGGAGGAACAGAAGACGAGCCCAACCGGGTCGCGGCAATAGTCAAGAAGCTACATTTAACTCAAAAAGCTCTAAGAGTGTGAAGAACACGAGACAGTATTGCACTATAGAATGCGTCCGCGGGTTGCTTATTAGAAGTTGTTTAGACCGGAAATGCCCAAACGTCCACGAACATGGCTCTGAAAGACATTCACTCAGTCCAATGGAGCTTATATACAGACTACATGCGCAACTCACCCAGGATCGAAGAGAGGGCTTCGAGCAACTACACATACGTGGTCGAACAGGTTTCTTATTAAAAGCCACCTTGCTGTCTCACGGGTACACTGTCGTCATTGAGGCTACCACCGTGCAAAAACAACGCTTTCTTCAAAGAGAGATTGACACCTACCGCCACCTCCGGCCTTTGCAAGGGTACCATATTCCTGTCTGTCTTGGAGACTTCAGACCGCGCATTTCGTATTGGTATCACGGTGAGCTCATGTCTCATATGATGATCCTCAGCTGGTCTGGGATTCGTATGCAAAACATCATCAATAAAGGAAATGTTTCCTTATTCAAAAAAGAGCGCGATAGGCTCCTGAAGGTCCTTCGGTCTTATGTGGTTGTCCACGGCGATAGTGAGTGGCGAAACATACTGTGGGATGACAGTGCTCGCCGTCCCGTTATGGTTGATTTTGAGGAGGTGACTTGGTTGAGAAAACGGCCGATACTTGGCTCGACATCGGGGAATGTTGCGAAAAGCTATTGTTCAGATAAGCGGAAATGTTTGCTCGACAATCACGCACCCCCAGCAGCGTCGGCTCTTCAGACTGAGATTATATAACTAATTCACCATCCTACATAGCAGGTCCCTTAAAGATAGAGATTGAATACATTGTTGGGTTGAAGAGCATCGAATACAGCATTGAATGGCTCATGGAAGATGATATGGGAAAAGCCCGAGAAAGCCTATGGTAAACCAGCCCGGGAACTGCAGTCACAGTGTGAGAACCAGTGGCGGTCCCATTCCTCGGTCTATTTTCTCTGTTTTCCGTTCCATCCGGCATCTCTTTCTTTCCTTCGGTCTCTCCATAGACCTATCTTTACACCACTATCCTTAACACCACTACACCACTATTTTTGACGCCCAACTTACCAACCAACCACCAGCCAAATCAAAATACACATCCCCAATACCCTCCTCGTCCTCTCCCTCTCCCCTCTATCCATCGCCCTCCCAACCCTCACCACGGGCTGCGACACCGGAATAACAGCATCCCAAATAACAACCATCGCCCCCAAATCGCAATCCTGCGCTAACGCCCCGGCGCTGCCGCTTGCCGTTGACTGTTTGTCCGTTTGACATACTATCGTCAGCTACCGTCTTGGCACCTTTTGCACTAGTCGTCTGTACTACACTCTTCCGTTTGTTTAACTGCTAAGCGAGCAGGTGGCTAGGGTATAAAGATCCCTTCTACTCGCCATCCTGTTTCTCTTTTCTTTCCTTCTCGATAGTTGATATTCTCGTTGAATGCTACCTAGTTTAGTTTAGAGTCGTTTTCCGTATACTACTAGCCGAGCCCATCACACTGGATGATTGACCGGACGCGATTTTATTTCAGTGCTATTCCGTTCCTTTCCTTCCCTGTCCTACGCTAGGTGCAGATTGGTGTGCGGGGACTGACTGGGTCATTTCCCCATAGCAAGTGGACTAGCCAATATGAACTTCTCCAAATGTACTGAGATCCCTTTTTTGACTACTAATGGAGTGCCTGCGCTGCTTCAGGCTGTAGAACACGTCACACCAGACTCCGAGACCTAAAGTTTTATTGGCCTGCAGTGACTGTACTCGCCAGATAGATTTCCTCTCCTTTTTTCCTCCCCAGATTCGATATTCTCGTTGATGGCTACAATAGTCAAGATAGGAATTCAGTTCGTTATTGTCTTCTACTACTCCGAGCCCGTGACAATCAGCATTTAATGCAGTCCTTCTTTACTGTTTTCTATCGACGAGACTGAATAGTTTCTAGGCGCCCATTTCCCTTGGCAGTCTCTGTTCGAGATTACTAGCAATCATGGTAATGGAGATGAACTGTATGGATACTGAAGTGTGTCTCAGCGTGATTTGTATTGTTGATGTAAGTGATGAACTGGAAGAAGATCTATACTAGGGACTACGAAGCAAGTGATCTAGCAAGTGATCTAATGAGGGGATCTTCAACAGTCTCTATTCAAACTAGCCATCACGGCCCAGGGTCGTCCAAGTGGTGCCAGTAGGTACTTCACTGGTCGTAAATATGTTATTTAAGGAGTACAGGTCTGTGGCAAATTCATGACCTCATTGGGCCATAGCATGAATGTTGACAGCTGGCTCTCATTCAGGGTACCAATAAGCGCATTGATTTTGAATATCCCGCTTTCAAAGGAGCCCCTCAGAAACCAAGTATCAACTAGAGTATTTACCAAATAGAAATGAGCAAGGATGACAAGTGAGTGTCCATGAAGGCAGTTATGTTCGCTTCTCTCAAGCGACGCCAAGAATGGACTTGGAAGCAGGACTGGCCAGGACAAAATTGCAGCCTCTTCAAAATCCAACTGGATCTCCATGTCAGCAGGTTTCTCTGTTGCTGCACACCGCAATACAGAGAGAATGCGTGAATACACTGTATCCAGGACGTCCATGGCCCCAGACTGCGCGTCCACAACCCAGTCTAGAGTCATGGACGGTGAAGGCTGGGATGTCAGCGTACCCGAGCAGCTGGATAAGTCATCCTTAGCAGGTTCAGGCACATTCAAAGAAGCCCTTATGTTGGCGACTGCTTGGCTGGCACCTTCGGCAAATTTGAATAGGCGGGGTGAGCAATGAGAAAGTCGAGATGATGGTGCATTGAATGGTAAATCCTTCCAAAACTCATCACCATGTGAAAATACCACCATCTGCTGGAGCCGGCTGGCTTTTAACACATGCCATTGATCCTTTATCACAGATGATACCCCTCGGTTGAGATATAACCAGTTGAGATGTAAGATGTCATTTGTTGAAGAGGGATTTTCCATGGCACTGTTAATCTCTTCAGGAGTCTCAGTAAGTGAATTGAGCTCCTGAATCTTAAGAGATGCAAAGGCAAACCCAACAAGCAGCAAAGAACCTGTAAAAACAAGTTCAGCATTGGAGGGAGAGATGCAAGACACCTCTTCTCTGAAGCCTTTCAGTCCTCTTTGATGATGTTCCACAATGACTGCTAAGTCCACTGTATCTGAGTCTTCAAATCCCCCAGTCCTGTTGGCCTCAGCCTGCTGTGTAATCATGTGGATGCCCCCCAGTGCCAGGAGCAGATGCATCAGATACTGATTTTTGCTCCCAAATTCAGGGATGATCTGCTGCCAGGCCATGGCTCTCCTTGGGTGTAATGACATTTGTTTCGCGGTGTACAAATGAAAAAATTGAAGGAGCTTCAAATCATTCATGGCCAGGGCCCCATGCCCATGGTTAGACTGGCTCGAGAAAAGCGCTGGTAATGTCGCGTTTATTCCCAATGGCTGAATCAAACCAAGCGGCGAACCTCCATCCGAGGGCGCAAAATAATCCGGTAATAGAGATCTATTGTTGTTCCCTGTCTCTTCTCTTCTAGGTCTGGGGGGTTTCTTCAAGGGGATGCATGGGCGGGGGTAAGAGCAGGGTTCGCCTCTGGAAGAACATGTGCCGCAGGCGGGTTGAAGTTCATCACACTTTGAGAGATTAGTATCTGGTCTGCAATCGGGAATCAGAAGGACTATGACTTAATGAACATACTTTGACCCTTCGGAATTTGCAAGGATAGCAGCCATTGCGAGACTTGGTGTGGCGGGCGCGATGTCTTTTCAGAAGACGTTGATTGTCCGCAGCGGTGTCAGAAACCACTGAGTCTGCCGTGTGTTCGTCCATTGTTCGAGTTTCTGAAGGTAAAAGAGAATATCCACCATGATTGGCAACTGTGTAAGGCAGGGTCCAGCCTACTGTAAGCTACAGTAGGCTAGTAAAATACGGCGAAGGACTCTGGTTGTAGGGCAGCCGACAGCAACCAGAGACGTATGTACCAAAAGGTTCCAATTCCCGTCATCCAACCACACAACAAGTTGAGGGCTCTAGGGGCCTGAGGCAGAAGACATACCTGCTGAAAATCATTCATAAGATCGGAGTGTAATGTTTTGGAAAGGACAGAAAGATAGCAAACTTGAAGAGTTCCAAGGTTGACAAATTGGCAATATGTAGTTAACTTACTATGTAGCCTAATTTTGGGTCCACTAGACGTGAACTACAGTAGTTCGGACTTCTCTTATCTTAGACTGTGTTGCTTGCCCATGCGGCTGAGTTCGTACTCGTGTTTGTTGGGACGACTACCAATTCCACAGTGGGCTCCTACGGATGTCCCGAGACTTGGTTCCGTGGGTCTTTTATTGTTTATTAATGTTAAAGTCCGGTCCACCAGGTAGATTAGGGTCGGAGACCCACCCGTATTCTTATCCAGGGTGAGACGCTCAAATACGAACACGGCGGTCCATTGACGCCTCGCATTCATTCCGCACGCAAGTATGTCCTCCATCTCAACAGCCTGGGACACCTTACAAAACAAGATCTGTGGTCCATTCTTGTGGGGCCTAACAACGCAATATTTAACTCTTCTGCACCGACTGCAAAAGTTGCCACGAGAGGCGGCTCATCTTCCGTGATTCTACGATCTTTTCATCTTCAGCACAGATATCTCTTGTTGAAGGGTATGACCATGTCATACTCAAACTTCTCTTTATCCTACTTGCGGCAGTCAATGTGGCTTGCAGCATGGCTCCCGCCCAGAAGCGCCAAAATCCTGCCATACCCGGATGGCACAGCGACCCCAGCTGTGTCTTTGTCTCCAAAAGAGACAATACCACCTTCTGCGCCTCTTCAACATTCCTCCTGACACTCGGAATCCCAATTATGCCAGCAAAGATCTCACGACCTGGAAACTGGCTGACAGCCACGCCCTTTCCCGAGAAAGTCAATACCCGGAGTTCCAATCTATCCATCCCCCAGACCGACGGCATTTGGGCACCGACACTTAGATATCAACAGGGGATATTCTGCGTCATTGTCATCTACATGAAAAGCATTTATGGAACGAGCACCGGGTTGATCTTCAACACGAGAGACCCTTTCAGCGACGATGCTTGGACTGTTCCCATTCAGTATAACGCTGAGTCCATAGATCCGGATTTTTTCTGGGACGATGATGGTACAGCTTACGTTGCGACTGCTGGGACCAATCTTCAGACGGTGGATGTCACGACTGGTGCCCTAGGGGAACCAAGCCGGATCTGGAATGACAGCACTGGTAACTTCCTCGAAGGGCCTCATCTCTACAAAAAGGATGGCTATTGCTATCTTCTGACATCTGAGGGCGGCTCGGGACTCAATCACTCGCTTACGATGGCCCGGTCGAAGAATCTCTGGGGCCCGTATCAAGGCTACGAGAAGAATCCTGTCTTGACGAATAGACACATCTCAAGAGTACTTCCAGAACATTGGGCACGCGGATCTTTTTCACAACGCGAATGGCCATTGGTGGTCCTGCGCTTTGGCCTGGCGCTCCGGATCTGAGGGACACACATATTTGATGAGCCGAGAAATGGTGTTGACATCTGTGATCTGGAAGCAAGGAGATTGGCCATCCTTCACTCCCGTACGTGGCAATCAAAAGGGATGGTATCTTCCACCTTCAAACAATATATCCCTAGTGACGGATCTTTCGCCAATAACCGGATATCGTTGATTTTGAGCCCAATTCCACCATCCCCCGTGATTTCGCTTTCTGGCAGTGACCCAACAAAGATTCATATACCATCTCACCACCGGGTCATCCTAGAACACTGAGGCTGACACCGTCAACTGCAAGCATTACGTCTGGATACAAAAACTATACGGCCGGGTACGACGGTACAGAATTCACTCTCATTATGCGCCGACAGACCGATACACTGTTCCAGTATAGTGTTGACGTATCCTTCGCGCCAACAGCCCAGGATGAGGAAGTTGGGGTAACGGTATTTCTAAACCAAGTCCAAAACATCAACCTTGGTATCGTAATGCTGCCAGTCAATGCCACCAACAGAACAGGTTCATCACTGACACTTCATTTCCGCTTTCTTGTCTCCGGACTTATAAGTAATGAGAAGGATATACCAACACCTTTTGTTACATTCGTCCCACACTCTTGGCTACAAGCTCCCATTCGCTTGATGATCCGTGTAGAGAATGAAACACTATGCATTCGTTGCTGCCTCGAGTTCTCGCCCGTGGGACATTTTGAGACTCGGACAGGCTCCGGCCACAATCGTGAATGGTGGGGTTGGACCGTTCACAGGTATGTATATCCTCTTTGTCCAAACTGTCTGTGTGTATCGTGCTGATTTCCCGCTACTAGGTTCTTTGGTGGGAGTTTACGCCACCAGTAATAATGGGAAGGGGGCAACCAAGCCATGTATATCGAGGTGGAGATATTCCGGCCTTGCACAGGAGATCGGCAATGGAGAGAAGAGGGAGGACGTGATAGAGGATCAACGCAGAATGGTCCTCAGGCACCAACAACAGTACATGGAGGCCAGAGCCTGGAGAGAAACGTGTGCTGGAAGCAGCTCTTTATTAGCAAGGCTCACTGGCTGGTAGTCTGTAAAATGCAGAATCAATTAATTATATTCTTGGTCGACCTTGAGTCATGTAGTAGTGAGGATATCTGGCTTCCTGGGTGATAATGGACCTGCGTGCGTACAGCTCTCAATAATGAAATTTGGTCATGATATGACAAATGTTTCCCACTATGATACATGTACCAACTTAGCCAGATGGGATAACATGGTGAGTTATGGACTTGCCAATGGTGATGGTAATTTCAACTAAAAGGCTGATTGGTGCGTTCGATTATATGAGGAAGCAACAAGGATGTAAACGGATCTTGAGTTAACCAACGCGTCTCCCCATCTAGTGCTCTGCAGTAAACGATTTTTAGTTAGCTAATGGGCGACTGCTTTTGGACCTTACGCGTTCTTCAAAAAGCGTGGGACTGTATAGAGATTTGCGCTTGCGTATTGCATACCAAATTGTCAAGAGTCTCCAGATGAAGATGACATTGGGCCAGTAGAAAAGAGCTACAGGATTTGGTGAGAACAAAGATTTTGAACATCGAGACAAGATATATAAACGTATTGCAACGTCCTGCTGATCTCTCGGGGGCAAAGAATGGAGATCTAGAGATACCATAAGCCAGAATATCGGAAAGATGACTGAGGGACTGGCCCGCTGCACCAAATGACTTCTAAACATGAGAGACAAATGTAATAATGTAATAAGAAAGCGGAAAGAAAGAGGGAGACAAGACAAGTAAACGATGAGAACAAAGCATGGGATTAAACACTATTCATTCACAGGATGTGGCTATATACGGCTGTCAAGCGACTGAGTAGCTTTGTTGGGGAATGAGACCAACGGTGAGAAAAATAGAAGACTAGTCTACCTATCACAGATGAGAGCACGGAAGTGAGACCTTGAAATTGACAGCGCTGGATACCGAAGACCATTGATGACTGAAATGGAGACGGAGAAATCAAAAACAGATAGGAGGATGAAACATGACGATCACACGCCACGATAGACTCCATCTGGTTTCACAGTCTGCTCATCCGGGATGCGAGTCAACTCGTAATCCGGGACAACATCCAAGAGTTGAGTAATTTCACGTGGATGAGCGATATTGAAGACAACCATGGTAATTAAGATGAGCAGTGAGTCAAAAACATACAAGTAGACCTCGTGACGCAAAAGGTAGCCTTTATTGCCTTGTATGTATTCCACAAGTCGAAAAAGCGAGCGGACCAGGATCAGCAAACTGGTCACATAGAGAATGTTGAGATGTTTGCGCCAGGGGATCTCCGCAGCGAAGCAGCGTGGGATAGAGTATTTGCGCAGCTTCAAGTCAAACAGGACAGCGACAATAATGAAGAAGCCAAAAAAGACGATTTGGACAAAAAGGCCCACGATGATAATGTGCTCGCCAGTCTTCATACCGTCAAGGCTCCCGCTACTCTGAATGCCACCACCTGGACATAAAATCAGCATAATTGTCCTGCCTTTGACGCCAATTTCACCTTTCCCTTGTCTCGGTAATACATACCAGCGCCTTGAAGGATAAACGACATCACGTCGCCGGTAACAAAAATCTTGGTAAGCCACTTCTTTTTCAAAATTGCATGCGATTCTGCCTGCAGCACCAGGATGATCCGGCCGAGCAACATATAGATCGAGGCTGCCAAGAGAGCTGGGGCGAGGAGCAGACAGAGTGTCTGCACTATGTAGGGACCTAGGGTCCAATCCGGACTTTGTTTGCTTGACAAAGCACGCCCGACATATCCGATAATCTCAACTACTCATATCAGCGCAAGCATAAAACCGTGTAGAGCAAGGTTGCACATACAGAGACCCCCTATCACGAAGGGGATAAAAAACCAGGTCCGGGCTTTGAACAACTGGAAAATGTGGTAGAAAGTTGTGCCCATAAAAAGGAGTGTAAAAAGGACTGCACCGCCCATGCTGGGGTCATAGCGATAGAAAGCGAAGATGGCTTCTTCATCGGAACGGATCGAAGCCATGTTATTCTGCATTTTGGCACGACTGGCCCGATGATTGCTATGGTCAAGAAGATTTGGATATGATCGAGCCTTTGTTAAGTATGGATTCGTAAGGTCAAGCTTCTCTGAACCTTTAGTAGAATTTTTCGCAGGCGATATTATACTGTTTATAAACAAGATAAAGTTCGCCCATGAATATAAATAGCTTGCTGGTAGGGGGTATGAAGTCCGGAAATTTGGGTGGGTTTGTACGGGATGTCGGGAATCTGAATAGCACGAGAAAACGCACACGAATACGGGTGGGACGGCGGCAAAACGAATACGAATGACGGCTCTTCTGTACTACAGCTTGACAATCAGTGAAGGGCATCATCTAGAGTATGATATTATGCATAAAGACATTCCATATTGTATTATGTGTATAAGTAATTGAAACTTCATTATTATATCATTATCCAAAACTCGATCATTAATGCCTAAATTGCACCATGGAAACATACACGTCGGAGCTTCTTTGGGCTTTCGAAATCAGGCAAACTACGTTTTGTCTTGGAAGCAGGCACCATTATCCCGATTGCGGCCTACAGATGGTTTTTCAAGTTCTCGTTCTCTCAATCTCTCTCTTCTTTCTTACAACCATCGCTTTACTGATCTATTCCCATTTTCTCAATCTAATCTGTCTTGTTTTTGACTATTAAGCACACTAACTACTATTTGTGCTCATTTTGACCTCAGAAGCAGTCCATATAACCACTAACCAAACCATTACTCATCTATCGACTAAAATGTCGTTCAAAACCGAAAACCCCTTTATCGACGCCATCCACCACCAGGCTGGTAGACGGGCACGCATCGCCCAGAGAAAGCCCAGCCCCCTACGAGAGGGCATATCCCCAGACCAACAGCAGCAACATGAGCAGCCAATCTCGCTGTGCAACAGCACCCCCAAAACTGCTATTGACGTCCAGAACCTCCTCGCAGCCATTCATAAGCTACAGACACGGTACAGGGCTCAAGGGAGACCTTACATGTCTGTGGCCCCTGACAATGAGGATAAGACACTAAAAAAGGTGCTGAAAAAGGTGCCTGTGAAGTTGCCTAAGTTGCAAGAAGAAACGCCTTCCATTCTGAGAAAGGTCCTTGATGCTCTTGTAAGCTTGTGTTCTTCCAGGGAAGACGAGGTTGTCGCGGTCGGTTTAGAAGCTTGGTATGCTAAGAAGACCAACCAAGATTGGATCAGGCTCCTGGTTGCAACGGAAGGCCGAGTTGAAGAGGAAAGTAAGCAGCAATTGAGGCTTATTTGGAAGTCCATGAAGGAAGTCGCATCTGCTTGGAACCGACAAAGTGTCGGTGGTACGGAGGAGAGGGAAGATCACATGGAGAGGTTCGTGCGAGAGAAGCAAGAGCTCGTTGCCGACTTCGTGAGTCTCTGTATGGGCTTCGTGTTTGTAAAGTGGACGAAGGAGGTCAACTCCGATCTCGCCCTTCTACTGGCCGTACCGTTAGACGGCTTTCCGAAGACCCATCCATTCTGCACGGTGAGGGAGAATATGCGACGCCTCTTTACGATGTACACAAGCCAGAACCCGAAAATTGGAAAGCCACGCGCAGAAGACAAGAAGGGGTGGGGGCGATTTACTACAAGCCTCTCTAGGACAAAAGAGTCTATCGAGGTGTTCACGAGCAGCGACCCCGGTTTTGGGCCCCAAAGCCATATATACGCCGATTACTTCCCGTCAATAGAAAGCTATCTGCATAAGGTTACAGCGTACTTTGAGATAGTACAGCACCTTCAGATGACTGCCTGTTCGCCTGAATGTCAGGACTTCCTCAAGCGTCCATTCAGTCTCTATGCGCTTCCGGAAATGAATATTACGGCTCGTAATGCCCCGTATACGGCTCAGGATTGGGAACGTGTCCTCGAGAAGGCCGCCAACACAACGCCAGAAAGGTACGAGCTGGACCTTGATGTTGTTTCTAAAGATACGGAGTTTATGGCCAGAGAGCCTGTCCCTCGGGATGTCCCTGTGCACTGCGAGTTAAAACTCGTCCTCGAGGCGATGCAACGACCGCAGACTGTCTACACGTACATCGGCATGTCGAAATTGTCGTGCTCCGGGTGTCACCTATTTCTTAGGGTTTTGAACGACGTCTACGGGACGAAGTTCTGGACAAGGGGCTGCCAAAAGAAGGCCCAGTATCCATGGCAATTTCCGCCAGGTTTGTGGTTTGGTGGTAGGGTCACTGACCAGACGTACCGCCTGGTTGCGCAGGCCTGGACACGGCGTTACCACGGGTATCGTCCGAGGCGTGCTCACTTTCGATCATATAGTGCTCCTTCGGTTCCGTCAGTCGTGACAAAGGACACGCCGGTCCCCTCCTCAAAATCGACAACCAACAAGGGAAATGAGGGTGAGGGTCACCGGTGCAGTCGAAGTCTCGCTCGCAGTGCTTCGAGTAGGCTGCGGCGAGTCTCGTCTCTCCTGGGCGCACAAAGGCATTTACCAACTGGCGCTGAGAAATTGCCCTCGTCATAATGCGTCGTGTTCAGGAAGCTGGCTGGAAACTACGGCACTAAATGGGAATGTTGTCAACATCAACATCGCGGTTAAAGTCTCGAGGCTCTAAGTACAAGCAGATTCATTGAGGCTCATCTATAGGTATATAGGAGCACTTTCTCAAGCAATAGTACTTCTGAATTACTTTATTTACAGGCATAATATATTCATCGTCCCATAGAGCTAAGTATTTTGTCCAGCATGGGTTTCTCGTTATAGCAAGAATAAATGACTGGTATTAAACTAAGGTAAATTATCCGCGCCGCAAAAGCGTTTATGCCGAAGCCCTTGTCCACATACTCGCCGAATTGTTCGAGTGACGAATCCTCATCTTGTATAACACAATGTACTCCCCGCTGCTGCTAAAACCCTCGGTGGTATCTCTGCTGCCCTATCAAAATATCGCGCTTTCGTTTTATACTCGCCGGTAGATTTGCGTTTTGTTGGTTTAGAATGTAAAGATATCATGGTCTGAATGCTCTGGGATTTCAACAATCATTCACTAGGCTACCTGCAGCCCTTATCCTGCAGTGCGTGTCTTGGTTGTTGCACTGAAGATGTGAATACAATTCACTGACTGTCAATTACGCGAGTTTGGTGCCTAGCCCTTAACAAAGAGAGAAGCCTAGGGGCACATAAAAATCTTTTCCTCCAAAAAGCACACTCAAACTAACAAAAACCTCGCCACTTTTTTCTTCTATATTCTTACTGATTTTGCAGACCGGGACCAATCGTTTTACCTGTTTGCTTCCTCTTGACTGATAGTAAATGCTGCTGTTCGTTTTTTGTCTACGATGTCAGCGTGGACGCGGACGGGGTCGAAGTCGTCCTCGCCCAAGCAACCTAAGCCACACTGAGACCGTTTCAAGCGAGGAGGGTTCGAAGATGCCAAGCTGCAGCCCAACGCCACGAGGAATATCACCCAGAAAGGCCTCGCCTCGAGCTTCCAAATCCCCTCGAACCTCCGGCTCGCCTGAAGCTGCTCGCTCTCCTCGCCCACCATGTATTCGTACATCGATGTCTCCAAGCTCTCTTGCCGTAGTTGCCGGACTTTCATTTGGGCCATGAGTGCCATCCACGGGACAAACTTCTGCACCCGGGGCTTGGTACGCAGCGACGAGCTGACGGAGCAAGTCTACCGACTTCTGGCCGGGTATTGGATTACAACTTACCATGGATATCGCCCCCGTCGTGTCCCCCTCGCCCAAACTCTACGGCACCGTCTGTTAAATTGCCTGTCAATTTTGGCTCTCCACTCCCTGACGACAATCCCCCCCCTTCGTCCCTACATCCTCCTCAGACCAACCACAATAGGCAACACAGCAAGCATGGTCGTCGAGCTTCCCCGTCTTAAATCATTGATTTTTATGTGGTCCTTCTGCTCCTTGTGCTTTCTCCGTCTGTGTTACGCCCTTAGGTTCTCAGTGTCTCCTCTTTCCCGATTCTACCCCTTCACCCGCCTTGGGTTTTTCGCCTTGTGTCTCCCTTTTGATCGGAAAATGGCATTGTGCTCACGATTTGCTCCCGTCATCATCAGCGTGTCTCCAGCCTTTATCGACGTGCAACGTCGTCTTTCTCGATATCTGCCCTAAGCACTTGGTCGGTATTTACCATGTCAAGTTTCAACGCCTCTTGGTGTCCCCATGGAAATTCCATCACAATATTCCCTTCGTACTTTCACAACAGGAATGGTACAATATCTTCTCCCTAACCTTACAATGGCTCTCATTGATCGCAAACTCCCTTATTCTTTTGTTTTTAAGTGTCGATTGCTACTGAAAATTGCCTTCTTGCGCAAACGGCGTTCTGTTCTTTTGGTCGATATATGATCGTCGGTTTCCGCTCTCGCTGAATCTATGACCATCGCTGGACTATGCCTCGCATCAGGTCTATGCTTCGCGCTGGATCTTTCTCGTTTACAATGGAGATTTCTGCCAATACATCCCCAAGTAATCAGCACAACCCGCGCGCCTATCATGAATTCCCTAGGCTATTGACGAAGATTACGGAATTGTTGAATTTATGAGAAATGGTATATGTGAGGGGTCTTAATAGCTGCGCACACAGGCCAGATGGTCCTCCTTATTGCCCTCCCCTTTGCGCCGTTATTTCTCTTGCAATACGCCTCTTAGTCGATCATCAAAGCCACCTATGGTGGCCACGACTTTCTTCAATGACACACACGGCCTTTCCATTCTGGTGAGACTCAAATTGGGTCTGGTGCGGGTGATTTTTTTCATTCTCCGGGATGTTCAATTCTACGAGTGTGCTACAATTCTTGCGTTCCTTTACAGTTTAACCTGATATCTCCTGACCGAAGTGCTGTTCTCTTGTTGTGGCGATTCCTTTTCATTTGTGTTGCTTTTCTTTTCCTTTCTTCGTTTCTTTCTTGTTCTTTTCTCGAAATTTGTTTGAAACTAATCAAAACGGGAGTATTTTAAATTTATGTTCATGTTCAATGACAGCAAGGTTTTTATGCAGGGTTTATCTTTCCTTCGGCTTTCAAATTATGTATGTATCGAGTCTTTTTCAACACCAGCAAAGTTACAGGATCACTCAGCTCTTAATAAACTTCATTTTTCTCAAGCAATGACCTTCCTATTCCTTTGATAATCCATGCAGGGTAAGCGTGTCACCGCTCAATCCCCATCAAGCCCCCGTCCCTCACGTATCCCAACCCAGTCTCAATCAAAACACCTCCCCAATCTCCCCATTCCACCATTCCACCATTCCACCAATCAAAACAAATCCCCATATATCCTGAATCTTCTCTTCACCAGGAAATCCCAGGAACAACAACAATAGGCTACAATGTCAGATGAATAAAACACCGAGCAATCCGTGCCTATCAACTTAGCACGCTGCTAAAATCGTGGAACAAAGCTTTTGAGCTTATGGGTGATAATGCTTGCGATAGGAATATCTGACGTGGCACTGGGGTATAAATATTGCGCCGTGGTCGGTGGTTTCGAACCACATCTGGTCTTTTCTTTGTGTATATCTATTTTATCTACTGTTGCAGTTTTCCCCTGCAGCTTGAGTTGTCTTCTGAGTTGGATATTATACGGAACACATTACACATTATCGCACGCCGTGCATGCCTGTTGGCATAGGGTGGGCTGTTTCCTGCTGTGGTATATCGAACGGTTTCGCTGATTTGCGCAGTGTGTTGGAAATGAGCCACGTTATGCACTGCAATGGGTGCGCGGAGTACAGGCCGTGTACTATGAAGACGTACCATACGGAGAGTGGGACTGACTTTTTGTGGTTGTGTGAGGAGTGTTATGATAAGTATGGTTGACCTAGGTACGTGGGTGTTGATGTTGATGTGGATGCGGTGATGTTAATGTTTGATTTCGGGGATAGGGAGCGGATGAGCTTGAGTGGGATATCTTTGAACGAGTTGGAAGGTTGATTTTGATTGTGCAACGGTGTGGTCGAGATAATGTTTATGATTGAATGAATGATTCTTGTCAGGATATATTTGCTGTGTGCAACGTAGTCGGTATCCGTCGTATGACCGAGTTTCGATGCGATATTGCAAGAGCGTTTAGAGCCACATGATAGCTCCGTCACCTGATCAGTTCCCGGAGATCTGAAGGAGATGCTAGCCCTAGAGTTTGGGACTCCATAGGTGTCCGGTTGACTGCAAAGACCATTCCTCCTGGCTATTGCATAACGGCGAACGGTGAACCTTTAGATATCAACTGCCCACAAGTCACGCATGTTCACTCCTGCCCTTCCGCAACAAGTTCCGAATCGAACTTTATCGAATTTTCTTTCAGATCGAACTCAAGCAAACAAGACCTGTATGACGTGAGACTATGACCTGGCATGCAAGTAAGCGGTATGACTTATTCGCTGACACTCTTCTCAGTCCAGCGGGGTAAGTAGAGTGAAGAGAATGAAATCAAATTCCATTTCATCTGTAAAAGCACGCAAACCACCAGGGTGTATCGTAAACGCCAACGAAACAACAAGCCCATGTATCAGATCAACTGAACACGGCCAAATGCACCAAACGGTATCCATCAAACTCCAGTGTTCCTTGCAGAAAAAATCCTACCCAATATATATCCACCAGTAAAGCGCCTAACATATCTCATATCCTTTTGTTTTTGTCCAATGTTTGTACAAATCTCACATCCTCGACGACTCTTCCGTAGCATCTACTATCCATTAGTATACGTATACTCAATAAACCCCAATCTAAAGAAGTGCAACCCACAATTCGACTCTAAATCCTTCGGCATCAAAGACTGTCGATGAAAGTTATATCGATTGCGCATGCGCACCGTCCGCATATACATCTCCTGGTCTCGGGTCGGCTCGTATCGCGTCCCTGATTCGCTCGGCGGATATAATTGGCGAGTCAGTGCTGCGCCCATTGAGATGAAGGCGAGACAGCACACGATGACGATGACGATGACCGCGGAGTCGCTGAGTTTTTTCGACATGGCAATGGATGGGGAGGAGAAAAAAGCCCGGGGATTTTGGGGAGATGCGGGTCGCGGATTGTTTCTTTGTGCAGAGTACTATAGAATGCGGGGTATAGTTGAGTGTGGTAAGATTGTTTTTTTTTTTTAGCGCAGGATTTCTGCGGGAGCAGCAGGATGCAGGAAGGTTGGAAGAGACATGATATGAGGGAGAAAGTAATGAGAGAAAAAGAGAAAAGCCGGAGGAGAAAAATAAAAGAGCCCGATTTGTGAGGCACCTGATCCCCCGGTGCCGGATGGCGTCAGATTCTCTCCCATTGGTCCATATATTTTTGCTTGTGATAGGCCCGCAGGAATGACGTTGATTGGTTCTATTGGCTATACAATGGCTGACGATTGGTCAGTGCATGGAGGCAGTGATTTGATCCAATCAAAAGTAAGCACTAATGGGTCTGTACAACGATCTGTGACAGCTATTTTTGAGGAATTTCCTACCTGCAACCAATCAGAGCAAACTAATGTAAAACCGGATGACGAAACCCGCAGTTAGTGGAAGCTTGGCTGATTTGTTCCGCGGATTTGAGTGGAGCTTGTCAGGCACCATTTTTTGTCTCACTCGGCCAAGTCACGTTTTCCTTTTTCGGCGTGCATAGACTCGGTGCTAGTTTTAGTTTTCGCCAAGCTCTATGTGTCAGATCTCAGGTACATTCACTTCGTCTGATTATTACTACGGAGTATGTATAATCCGGTCAATAACTATACCGAAATAGAACATCTTCCTTGTCCGTCAAATCCTCTCCAGCATAAACTGTCTCAGGCCCCGAATCCACACCCTGTTCCCGATCCCGCTTCCTGTTCTCCATATAGCACAACCCCCAATACAAACCCACTAAAAAGATAAACACACACCAACATGAAAGCCCCATCGTAACTCCGCTAAAAAACCTAGGCGCAGCACTAGGTTCCCACAACTGCGGTCCAGCAATACACCCCACACAAAGCCCGATAAAGAAATACGTATTCACCATCGCACGTTTCGTATTGCCTTTTACATTCGACGCGCTGAGACTCATAATCAAGACTAGGATGCCGGGGTTGCATGATGCCAGCCATGAGGATGCAACAAGGCCCCATGTTGCGGAAAGAGGGAGCTTGAGGAGGAGGATGTTGCCGACTAGTGGGACAATCGTCACTAGGATCAGGACTAGGCAGCGGTATTTGGGGAGGATAGAGCAGCCGATCATGGCAACGCAGAGCATGCCCAGGGAGATTGCACCGGAGGGGGCGGTTAGGAGCATGGTCTGGAATTTGTCGTAGTTTAGGCCGTTGATGAGGATTGTGCCGAACTGCGAGGTTAGTCAACGATTATGATAACAGGTGATATCATGGGACTCACAAAAATAACTGCACCGGGCATACTGGCGATGAACCCGAAGAGCAGAATGAACCACGCCTTCGTATCAAACAGCGTCTCTCTGACCTGCGCCCACGAGAACTTGATCTTATCTCCACCCTCTCTATCCCGTTCCATGCGTTCCAGGACAATCTCCCGTTCCCGGGGCGTCAGGAACCAAGCCTTATGCGGCGTCGAGGGCATAGCGATGTAAAATACCACGCCGAATACAGAAGTCAACGTCCCGCATAGAAGAAACAGAACCCTCCATGGCTCGATACTCGGATGATGTATCTTTCCAATTCCGTACATGAGTAGACTACCGATGACCTGGGCGAGGGGATTCATGCCGCCCCAGATGCCGACTCTGAGGGCATGGTCTTCTTTCTTGTACCAGATGCTTGTGATGGTTACGAATGCGGGTGATACGGCGCCTGTATGGTATTAGTTTGAGGTGGAGGGGAGAAGATGTGGGGTACGCTCCCTCTGTGACACCTAGGAGAACTCGTACGGCTGCGAATCCGGCGAAGTTCGTTGGAGCTGCTAGACACATGCATACTGCGCCCCATAGAACGCTATTGTCGTTAGTAATAAGCTGTTGAGTTATTCATCGATACCCACATAGTAACCGCAATGAACCGTGTCAATGGAAGTCTGCCCATAAGATAGATAAAAGGGCCCTCCGCGACCAGTTGCCCTATTCAGTCAGAACCGAGTCATTGACCGACGGATCTGTACATACCGAAGTAAAAAATCGAAGTACACCAGGAATACTGCGATCCTTGCAGGCCAAGATCTTCGATCAGTCCAAAGACAGCTGCATATCCCAAGCTCAATTTGTCCAGATCTGTTGAGCCATTAGAAGCGTCCAAGAGAGTACTAGGCGATCTTACATTGCAGGAAATAAACCATGCACATCTATGCAGTCAGTTAACACTCGCAGAACGAATAATTCCCATGAGTCCAGCTCACCATCGGCAAAATAACACAGTCAATCTTCCTCCGCACCCTCTTCTCATCATCCACCGAGCTGTCCTCTCCCGGAAGTACCTGGACATCGGGATCATCATTAACACGGTGCATCTTCTTCTCATCCCCCTCCATTTTGTTAGTTATGTCTGCCGTTGATGAAAACTATCAAAAAACACAAGTTGAAATAAGCTTGAATCCTTATTAGCTAAAACCGATTCCTTTTGACAACGCAAGGGATAGTCTGAATCGCGGCTGATCTCACCGACACAATTCAGCTGACATGCTTGCTTTTGATAGTGCCGAAGTCTAAGCGGCTAGTGGTGATATTTTTCTGGTACCATTGCTGAACACACCAATAGAATTGGGTAGCACAAGTGAACAGAGTTAGTACTCCGGAGTAGAGAGAGCTTCAGCTACTCCACGAGCGGATCGAGTTACGGAGTCTTCAGCCCTAGCCATTTATGTAGCAGACGCTTCCATTCACGCGGGCCTGAAACCCTATAGTCGGAGAATGAATTGTCTCTAGGAGTGAATAGAAAAAGCATTTCCCGGCATCATGGAACCTGGAATTCGCATGTCCGGTTGACAACGATCATTATTATTTATCTTGATCGGGTTTTTGATGGGAAGACCGTATTGCAGACACGTGGCGCCGAGAGTATAATTCAAACACTCAAATTCCGTGCATCGATTGCAGCTTTCTGAACATTGTATCTGCTTAGACCTGTTCGGCGAGTTTCTACTGTCTCCCAAACTGACGGTGTCGGGGAGGATCCGGAATTAACCGAGGTGCGGGACATCCCGGAAACTACCCATTCATCCATATATCCCGATCGGGACATCCAACTCCCATACAACTTCTCTCTCCAATTCCTTCCCAACTCAAATTCAATGTCTCCATCATGACAACCAACGAACCCACAACCACCTCCACCCCATCATTTCTCTCCTCCCTCTTCATCCGCCAACAACAACCACAACCACCAACACCAGCCTACCACAACCCCACCGAAATCCCGGCTATCAAAAAAGCCCAAAAACACGCCAGCGGCACGCGCACAAAACAACTCATCCGCGCCGCAGAAAGAGACTACAATGATCCACCGGTTCCGGGAGAGTGCTGCGGGAGTTCGTGTGATCCGTGCGTGATGGATTTGTGGAGGGAGGAGATGGGGGTTTGGAGAGAGAGGTGGGGTGGGAATGTTGTTGAGAAGAAGGATGGGTTGGATTGGTAAATGCGATGTTTTGTATTGTGTTGTTTGTATATATGTATATTAGATAGACTCCCAGGAGGAGCATTGTATATTGATTTGGAGAGATTCCGAAGTTTTGTGCAGGGTGCTGATGAGTCGCTCGATGTCTTCCTCCTTATCCAGTTCGTATATAACCAACTCCATTGGCACAGGAATCTCCGGAGTATCAACACCAGTTATCGCAGTCGGCGCTCGATGAATCCTATACCGCCCATACTCTCCATCTTCCCCATTCAACAGTCCCTCCACACCTTCCTCTCCCCCATCAACCTCCATAGTAACAACCCATTTCTTCCCTCCCTTCAAACCTTTCCCATCACCAACATTGACCGCAACATAATCCCTCCCCTCCAACACAACCAACTCCCAAATCGACTTCCCCTCCGGAAGTACAGGATGATGCGACGAGATGCGTTCCCGAATGGCCGGATCCCGCGTAAACGCGATATCATTCAGCGGGTATAGCGTTAGGAAGTGCCATTTTTGATTCTCGTGGTTTGTGGATTTGTAGCGATAAGCTGCGTTGGGACCGCCTGGGATTGAGAGCAGTTCAGGGATGTGGACGGTGTCGTACCAGGTGTTGTAGGTTTTTGGTGTTAGGGTGGGGGAGGTTATGGTTGTGAGGATGTAGAGGAGGGTGGACATCTTGGTGTGTGTGTAAGGTGATGAGAGGAGAGGGGGGTGAGAAGATGCATATAAAGGGTGAGATGTGGAATGTGGCATAATATTTCCGTTTTCGGATACTGAAGTCGTACAAAACATTGCTTTTCCAAAATCATGAATAATCCCTCTTCAACTGTTCAACCGGAGGAAGAACACCTCCTTCCTCCAACATGCGGAACGCATTTTCAAACGAGTCCCAGGTATCTTCATACCCCGTCCATCCCAACTTCCGCGCCTTGTTCACATTCCCAACACATCCCCATTCTCGTCCCAGGACGAACGTCAAAAAGTCCCAGGTAGCCTTGTCCCATGCATCCTTGTCCAAGTCATACTTTGACTGGACCTTCTTCCACGCTTCTTTAACATCGTCCCGCTGCGACCATTTCGCAGGGTCGATTGGGAGACACAGCGCAGGTGGTGTCGTGAGGATATGGCTCTTTGCGATGCCCATTTTCTGAGCATGCACGACAATCGGGTGCTTAGTTCTCATGTCCATATTCGTTGACTGGTTGGCATACGCCTCCGTAGTCGCGGGGCTGAACATATCTTCTGGGATCTTGCAGCCGAAACGCTCCGCCAGGCGTGGCCACAGTTCCTGGAAAGACTGCGTGTCGCCATTAACGACGTTGAAGATGTTATTCCCAGCCCCCGGTGCTGTCGAAGCCCAGAGACAGAAACGCGCATGCAGCTCAGCAGATGTCCAGCAGTTGTACACAAAGTAGTTTTTCTTGTTACCCGGGAATATCAACTTCGACCCAGGCCGCGTCTTGCAGACCGTCGCATAAAGTCCCAACGACGCAGCCTCATTCATAAAATTCCCCTTCGCATACCCAATCACATCATTAGGAAGCGTACAAACCCACTCCCACCCACCCCTCGCCGCAGCATCCTCCACAACCCTTTGCTGCACATAATAAAAGTTCGACGGCCACTTCACACCCCCAACGCCCCCCTCCAGCCTCGGATCTGACTCAACAAGCGGCTGCTTCGTCACCCCCAAATGAACACCATAATGCTTAAACCCACACGTCAGAATAAACCGCTTCAGCTGCTTAATCGCCCCCGTAATCTCGAGGGCATTGATGAAGTTCTCCAATAACGCGCCGTTTACACGCGCCGCTTCTTCTTCGTCGGATTTGGCTAGATACGCGCAGAAGTAGATGTAGTCTGCTGAGACGCCGGACAGGCTGTTGGCCATTGATGAGGCAGAGTCTTGGAGGTCGAGGTGGGCATGTTGGGTTTTGGGGTGCTGGGTGCCTGGTTGGCTGCGGGAGAGGGTGTAGATCTTTGTGTAGGTTGGGTCGTTGATTAGGTGGCGGACGATGGCGGCGCCCATGAGGCCTGTATGGTTAGCGCTGGGGGTTACCAATTGGGGGGACACGAGGTGAGCGGGGCTTACCTGTTGCGCCGGTTACGATGGCTGTTGGCATTTCGTGCTTGCAATACTTCGTTTGATGAATATGTTACTGATGAAAAATTAAAGTAGACTCGACATATTGCAGTTCTATATATCAATAGCATCGATGTTGATACTATCGTGACGTCACGTTCACAACCAGTTATTACTACGCCGAAAAAGGAAATTTGATAATATTGACTATTATGGATTACAAGTCAATTAATAAAGCCGAATAAACAGTCTTCTGGCGCTGTGGTGGTACGATAGGTTCGTATTCATGTCCTTTGGGGCGCCTACCGAATCTCTCCGTATACTCGGGCTGTCATGTCATTCGGAACTATAGTATACTTTCTGCTAATGTTCCAGCAGAATTAGAACAAGCTCTACCGGACCAGTCTACCACTTCTAGATCCTCCCACGAACAAGGAACTCATCCCAAAACCGAACCCCAGCGCCTCGCCCCTACCCACACATCATGCTGATCATGTCCTTCTCTGCTTCCATCCTTCCTCCCATGAGCATCTCTCACAGCACTTCCCATCCTTTTGAAATCCGTTCTTGTGCACAAAACCGCTGTTATCCTTGCCTTCTTTACCTCCTACTCCAGGCTTTCCTTTGTTTGTCAGTTCCCCGTGGGTTGTGTCAACCATGGCGCCTCACTCCTGACTGGTTGAATCTGACAACAAAGAGAATTAGAGTGATGCCAGCTCTGACCTGACTGAGATCTTTTCAGACAACAGATCTGACAGTGACTCCACCAGCAACCCTGAACTTGATAGTGAGGATTCAGATAATGAAGATGAACCCAGTCATGATACCTCTGATGATTAGGGCTAGCTTCCTCCAAAACACTATTTGGCCCAAGCGGAGAGCTTGAATGTCTCAGCTTCTGTTACGGGCTCGGAAACTAGCAGATAAAACGAATAATATTCATATCTAGACTAGGTAGCCTAACGACGAGAATATCGAATCTGGGGAAGAAGAAGAAAAGAAAATCTATCTAGGCGATGAACGGTCTTTATAGACATTTGTGTGGTGCGGCTTAAACCCTTGTTTGCCCATATTGCTTGTATGGCATCGTTTGATATGTTGGCGCTATTTTTCTGGCGTTGAGCCGTTGAGCCGTCACAGAAATAGAGTATCAGCGCCGGATCAATGTGATTAATGCGATGACTGCATTCTGCCCTGTGGAAGAGGGGCGGCCCATGCCTCAACCCAGCCAATCTCACTGCCGGCCTGTACTTGACAATGACGAACCTTGTACTCCTGCCAAACGGCAACAGCATTTCTCAGAGGACAAGACTGAGATCACCCTGCGCCAAGCGATGGAATCTGTACAGATCAAGTCTCCAGAAGAGCAACCCGAGATCTGCTTTCTTTGTCTGGGGAATGCTAATCTCCCACTGAAGAAGCAGATTGTGGATCACACAACACCCGGTTCACTCACCAGGCATTTTCTACGAAAACATGTCAATCCTCCCTGGCCAACCAAAGGGGTTAAGTGTAATGTCTGTGGGATGTGGCTGCTCAAACAGATGGTTCATCTTTTAAATCATGGACAGTTGAAGTCCTACCAACCCGTAGCACTCCTTAACACCCTGGGTAAAGTGATGGAGTCAGTCATAGCAAGGCGGCTCAGCTATGCAGTTGAAAACTATGGCCTACTACCAGCACAGCACCTGGGGGGGACGGAGGGGAGTTTTAACAGAGCAAGCAATCCATTTCTTGCTAGAAAGAATACATAAAACCTGGAAAATGACCCCACCCCATGTAGCCAGCGTCCTGTTTCTTGATGTATCAGTTGCGTTCGACCATGTTTCACACACACAACTGCTCCACAACCTGCGGAAGAGGCGGATAGACCATGACACAATAGGGTGGATAGTGAGCTTCCTTAGCAACAGAACAACCATCATACGGATGGGCGACATAGAATCCGACTCATACCATGTGGATGTGGGAATCCCACAAGGCTCACCACTCTCACCGATCTTGTACCTTTTCTACAATGTGGACCTCTTGGAGACCGCTGGTGACAAGGATATACAGACAACAGGATAGATTGATGATGTTTACTTCTTCACGAGGAGTACATCAGTGGAACGGAATTGCCGGAACCTCGAGCGGGCACACCAAAGGACTGAAGCATGGGCAAGGGCACATGGGTCAAGAATCTCTCCTGCGAAATACCAGCTTATACACTTCACTCGCTCCAGGGCGAAATTTGACGTAGCGCAAACGGTGAAAATTGGAGACACAGAGGTCAAACCCACCAAGTCAGCCACATACCTGGGCATCATACTGGACCCAGCACTCCGATGGGAGGACCAAATCAGACACGTCCAGAAGAAAGCAATTCCCCTCCTGAGGCCACTGGCAACGCTGGCAGGAAGCACGTGAGGGGCAGGTCTGATACAGTTGCGCCGGATCTACCAATCTGTAGTGACCCCAGCACTCCTCTATGGATGCTCAGCGTGGCACACCCTCAAAACAGACAATGATCATCATCAGACACGCCTACGGATTCTAAACCAAATCCATACTAGAGCCATGGCGGCCACTGCAGGTGCATTCAGAACCACAGCGACAGCAGCATTGAACATAGAAACGCATCAGCTACCTAATGCGATATCCAGGAAACACGGTCGGCCTACATGGGAGAACAGTCGGAGGCCACAGTATACGTCGCGGAACTGCAAGGGATCCTATTAGCTCTGGTCATCATTTTACGCCGCCAAATACAGCACGCAGTGGTCTTTACTGACAAACAGGCAGCACTGCGGGCAATGCAAAACCCAGGCAGGTAGTCAGGACAATACGTCCTGGAGACAATCCTAGCGGCCATGGATAAAGCACGCTCAAGCAAGCTCACAGTCTGCTTCCAATGGATACCCTCACACAGTGGTGTCGAGGGGAACGAAAGGGCGGACGAGGCAGCAAAAGAAGCAACAGGATGAGAGAAGTCATGACCGCAGCAACAGCCCCCCCCCCCACCAATTCAGCAGAGGCTTCTCCGATCAGCAGTAGAATCCAGAATTCGGGAGGCAATATACGCACAGTAGGAACATGACTGGCAGACAAGCCCACATGGACGGGCGGTGTATGAGCTAACGCCGGCCCCAAGCAAACAGGTCCTGAAGATGCATCGGAGTCTCTACCGGGCTCTCAGTACAGTCATCATACAGATGCGCACGGGGAAGATAGGGCTCCGACACTATATTTATCAGCGCGGGGTACCAGACGTGCCAGATGGGGACTGCCGATGTGGGAAGACCACCCAGACAGTGCGGCATGTACTCCTGGCCTGCCCCCTCTTCAAGCATCTTCGAGAGCAGTTCTTGGGAAGAACGGGTGGAGGACTAGAAGGAGGCGGGGACCTGAGGATGATCCTGAACACGCCTAAGCTCGCAATCCGTGCAGCCAGATTCATGCTGCGAACCAAGCTCCTTGGGCAATTTGGGGCCGTGGATGAAGACCAAATAATTTAGACAGAGCACTGAGGTCATTGGGTACATAGCAACCAAAGAGGGCCCGGGGAGCCCCGGATTCCCACGAATCTGAGCGGAGCCGAGCTTTCAGGTCAAGCACACACCATAGATGTAAATAGGTTTTAACAACTGCCCCGGCGGCGTACAGCCGGAGGGGCGGTTCCCGCATAGCCATGGATAAGATTGGCTGGGACGGGTATGAGTAAATTTGAATCCGAATCCGAAACATGGCGTCACTCTCACATGTTACTCCTTCCTATGTGGCCCTTTTTTACCCAGAAACCCATACATCATGGCTACTTGGCTAAGGTGGCTTTTCGGCGCGTCAACAACAGTGAAGGAAGACGATGAAAGGAGGGTGATTACGATGTTCGGTCCATGCCGCGTTACAATTCAAGAAGGGCGTTTTCACTGCTTTTGCAAAGCAGGCCTCCATGTACATCCATCCACCTCCATTAACTTGAGTGAGCCGTGCTCAACATGCGACCATCCCTTGGCAGAGCATGAAAATGTCCTAGGTACTCTCTATTTCCATTGTGTTTCATTCATTATACAAAGTACGCGTGCTCATCTGTACTCTGCTTTTAGATCACTCGTTTGCTTCGGTCCATAAGCTTTCCACACTTGAACCAAAACCGTCCGGCTCCTCTTCGTCTGTTCCTGCTGTACAACTTGCAGATACAGGGTTTTCCAATACCATATCCCCGCGAACTAGGTCTATCGAGACGCTCGCCCATCTAATCGATGAGCATGCCATAATCCATGTTCGCGGAACGCCGGCATCGGGTAAGAGCATAATGGCAAAGCTTCTTTTCCGGCATTATTCTCGTCGTTATTTGACTCAGCGACAGCCAATGATTGTTTTTGTTGCCGACTGGAAAGACTGGGTGGAAAACAATATGGACACTGTTGATTTTCTGGTTCGACAGTGTCACCAACTAGGACACAAGATTCAGAGAACAGAGTTTTTGAATGAGGCAAACGACGACCTCATTTTCATTTTAGACGAAGCGCAGGTAACTTATGCCGATTCCTTTTTTTGGTATTCAGTAATCAAAGAGCGCCTCGCCGCCACCAAAGGTCCGCGATTCTGCCTATTTACATCGTATGGCAGCCCAAGTACCGGCTCCCCTGATTACCCAAAAACAACCATCCCACCAATTCTGAAAAGGGAACAAAGGATCTCGTTAATCGTCCCTCACGATCACGTTGGGCATAATCTCTGTTTATTCTACAAACAAGAGGAATTCAAAGACGCCGTGAAGAAATGGGCTGACACCACCGACCACACAATCGGTGAAGATGTCGCGAGCTACATTTTCGAACATACAAACGGACATCCCGGAGTTGCCGGAGCGATGCTCCGATATGTGGCGCTGGTATTTTTGCAGTGTTCTCGAATTCCGATATAAAATACTGTGCTAATGTTATGTCTAGTTTCACCGAGATCACCTCAAGCGGTCTGGCGTTTCGCACATAACATACCAGCATGTTGGCGATGCGTTAGAAAACGATTACGAGTTATTCAAATTCCTTAATTATGATGTCGCGGGAAGGAGCCTTCCATCGAAAGCAAGACTGCAGGGTGTTGACCCCCTCATCGTCGGTGTGTTGTTGCGCATCTTAACCCATGGGAGCCTCGAATTCGATAGGAATGATGATGCGTTGGAAAAGTGTTTCAGACTGGGCTTTATTCATGTCGACGAGCCCGAAGAAGGTCGTATGATCTGTGTTTTGCCCTCTTTTTTGCACGCCCGGTAAGTTGCTGTCTCCTAGCCGCATCCCTTTAACCACTTCAACGCTTATAAAATGCAGTTTTGTTGAATATACGTATGGCCTGTCTATGATGAAACCTTTCCCGGTCACAAGCTATCCCGATATTGAGGCTTTAGCATTGAAAGTGTTGCAGAGGTTCTCGAGGACGGTGCTTTGCATGGCAGAACGGGGCCAGCGATATGGCCCTTCTGGGAAGCCACGCCCTCTTGAGGCGGCCTATCAGGATGAATTCTACAGATGTTTTGGTGAAGAAGTCGGCCCAGGTGTCGGTATCATTTCTGAACGGTCATGCATCGGTCAGGGACACATTGATTTCCACATAATCACCCCTGGCTGGGGATTCGAACTTTTACATGACGGCGACCGGCTTTTGGAACATTGCAAAAGATTTGAACCACGTGGAACATACCACCAATCCATCCAACAAGGCCTACTCACCGATTGGTTGATATTGGACTGTAGGCGCTCAATTCCTCGCAAACGTTGTAAGAACCTTTATTTTCTCTTTTGGGGTTTTCGGGACTGACGTCTAAAGACCCGGAACCCAAACTATGGCGAATTATTTTTTCCCAAGATTATTCACGCGTTCGAATCCTAAATGGCGACAACGAAGAAATTCACCCCGAGTTTTTCTTAACCAACTATTGATAGAATGCAAATCCCTGTTTTTCTATCCCTTTGATTGCTTCTGCCTTTAGTGCGGTGCTGATGACTTTATGACCTCTTGATGACTACTTGATTTTCGTCTGCCAGGATTATTCCCACATTGTATATCTTAGTATGGGCTAGGCTAGGTTGTTTGATCTGTGTGTATCTCTTGCTTGCTATTACTGTTGTGAAGCAAGCTAAGTAAATTTATTTTTGCTGCTGACCTGGTGGTAAGGAGCCAGCTATTACAATACTATGACCAGGTGATTAGTCTCGTGCCGCCTCATCCTTCCCATACAACCACCGCCAAGATTGAAGCGGTAGCTGAGGTTCTCAGCATGCCCGACAATTCCACTAAATTCGTCCGGGTGAAGGAGTGATTCGCGGTCAAATCCGGCAATGGTGTTCCACTGTCTGAAGTAGAAAACATGAAAATTCTTGCAGTCAACAGTAAAGTCACAGTTCTAAATGTCTATCTACACAGTCGGCACGAGCTTCTTCCAATCTCTAGACCCAGTTCCGACACTTTTGGTTTACCCTCGCCTTATTTATAGGACACGAAAAGAGGAGGTATCTGTGACGGTCTGGTCACGTGTATATTCTTCTTCTTCTTTCCTCATGTTGATTATTCTCGTCGATAGCTACCTAGGTAGAGCACATGAGTTGATCTTCCATTATCCTGGCTGAGCTCCGTGACACCAATGAAAGATGCATGTACATCAAGGATTGCTTAGGGAAGACCAGAAACGCGCGGTTGACCATGGCGCTAGCACAAAACCCCCATGGCTCGTAGAAAGGGGAGGGACCCCATATATCGACGAATCTGTAGACGCTGAGAAGTAGTGGGATGATTGAAGACATGAGTCTCTACCTTCGGATGCAGCAATCCGTTGGTGTTTGTAGCCAATTAAAACAGTACGCGCCAAGGCACAAACAATGCTCCGCCTTTGTGCTGATCGTCGGAGTAGCCTTCTATGTAAATCTCGCAGTCTCCCAAATTGACTGCGGCGCATGGCTTCCACACACACAGCGCTTAGGGCAGGGCGGTGATTCGCTGAGCCACTATGCTGGGAACACGCCGGAACCCCCGGAAGATAGAGACACTGGAAGTCCGGACGCTCAATTCCTTTCTGGATGTAGCATGGCGTTGACCAGTTCAGATAAGGATGGGGGATGGCCCGACCCACAGGAATAAGTAGTTAAGCCAATCCCTACTAATTGCAGACAAGGGAAACACCGACAACGTAAAGGATCGTGGGCGTGGCAGTGTAAACATACAGATAGCTAGAACCATGCCGCAGTGGACTTTAGCGCCAAAGTGTAAGACATTATCCTACGTCCATTCATGCTGTTTCTGTAATGTCGGAAGTGTGTCGGGCTGATCCTTGCCTGAACTGGTCGACATCTATATCTGAAAAAGGTTTGGCATTACCATCCATCATCTAAATACAGGTAGCCCCCCGCGCGGAGGGCTGCTTAGGTTTTTGCGGCTGTCAGACAGCAAATTGAGCTTTGGGTATGAAAGTAAAATCCTTCGAGCTGTCCAGAAAAACAAGTACGTATGTGTATCGTGCGAGGTAGATAGCCCGGTAACCCCTCCGATCATCTCCCTAACATAGCGCTTATGCGATAGGCGTAGCCTGTGATACGAAGTGCTGTCCGGTGGAATTTTTAATTAGAAGACTGGCGAAATTCTAACAATATTTTGTATATTAATTAAACAAGGATAATAATAGCTTATCTTTAGTAGTATTAGTATTCATCGTCTTTGTATGTCGTTATAAATGTGGATGTGGTTTTGATTGTATGTACCGTCGTGAAAATATATTTTGAGTATCAGCGGCAATTAAAACAATTCATTTTATTGAAACAATTTATATTTCTCATTTATTTATTTATATTTCTTTAATTCTCAGTTCTGCCCCCCAAAATTGCATTGTATACTGGATCACCAAGATGGTCGGAATCAGCAACAAGGAAGCACCTCTCCGTCTGCTCTCTCTCGGTATGTCCGGCCACCACCCTTGCCAACATCAGCACTAACAATCCCAGACGGCGGAGGCGTAACTGCCCTCAGCGAGCTATTTATCCTCAAAGAGACCATGCTCCAGATCCAACGCCAGAACAACCTCCGAGTCACTCCCAAACCATGCGAATTCTTCGACATGATCGGAGGTTCTGGCACTGGAGGTCTCTTCGCTATCATGCTCGGCCGTCTGCACATGTCTATCGATGATACCGTGGAGGAGTATCGACAGCTCGCCATCGCTGTCTTCTCTAACAAAAAGTCTATAACTAGTGAGGGTGCTTATAAGGCAAGCACCTTTGAGAAGATGATTCAGTCCATGGTGCAGAAGTACGGGAGGGATTCCAACAAGACACTTTTTGACCCACATAATGAGTCGCCCTGCAAAGTGTAAGTCTTATTGTGTAATAGAAAAATGTAGGAAGGGACAATCTTACACGTCTTCAGATTCGTCTGCTGCCGCAGCACAATGGCAATGAACACTGCCAAGCTCCTCCGTTCTTATTCCAGCTACACCATAGAAGACGCCCCAAACGCAACAGTGTGGGAAGCTGCTCGCGCAACAACCGCAACCCCCGGCATCTTCAAGCGCATCCGTGTGAAGACTCTCGCCGGACACGACGAGCTCATCGACGGCAGCATGGGCTCCAAGAACCCAGCCATGATTTTGATAACCGAAGCAGCCGCCGCTTTCGGTCTTGACCGTGCAGTTTCATGCATTATGAGTATGGGATCAGGCCCCCAACATATCATCAACCTCAGATCTAAGGGCTTCCTTCAGCGATTGATTCCGACGCAGCTCGTTTCGGCCGTGAAGAACATGGCGTATGATGCGGAGCAGACCGCACGGGACTTGGATTACAAGTTCAAGAGGTTCGGTGATCTTTACTTCCGGTTTAATACCCAGACTGGACTTGACAAGATTGACTCCGATGATTGGAAGAGGATGGGAGACGTTAAGTCCTTGACATTGGGGTATCTGGATAGCCCGAGTGTTGCAAAGGATGTGGTGCGGGTTGCGTCTGTTTTGAAGACAGACTCGGTTGGAAAGGCTCCGATTTCGAGACTGGTTTGAGTGATTGGGTTTAGGTGTTCTCCTTGATATGTCCTGGTTTTTGTTATTTCTCTGGGCAATTGGGTATATAGCGAAGATCGAGCTGGCCTCGCTCTCAATTGGACTACGAATATTCTTTTTAGGGATCGGGGTTCTGGATGATCGGTTTAGTTTGTTATTTGGTTGTTATTGATTGGTGTACGGAGTATACGGAAGCCATTTCTTATCTCATGTTAGCTAGATATTCACCAACGTCTAAACTTTGAGTGTTGGCTGTCTTGTCATGCAATACAACTGGTTCCGTTAGCATCAATTATCACAATCATAAGTCTAGAATACTCACCTTGCACGCATCCCGCTCATCAACACACTCAATCTCCTTGACCAAGTCAAACCCAAGCTTCTCGTATATCCTCAAGTTAGGCATCCCCTTTGAACTCTCCAAATAACACGGAATCCCCTCCCGATCCGCCCTCTCCGTAACAACATCCACCAACATCCGTCCAACACCCATCCCCCTCATCTCCGAATCGACTGCAATCACATTACAAAAGTAATACCCCCGCGGATCAACCCACACCTCATCATGCGTCTCCCTCTGCACATCCTTCCAAATATAATACCGACGCAGATTCAAACCCCCGCGACCAAAGTAGCGGACGTTAAACAGGAACTGGCGGAAAGAGAGTATCCATTCCTGCGTCCATTCGGTCCAGCTCTCGGGTTTGGTAGGTGGGTGGGGCGGGAACCACCAGCAGACGCCTACGATTTTGGGCGTGAGGATGGGGATTGGGATCTTTTGGTCTGGGTCGGGGGTGTATTTGGCGACGTAGATGGGGGCTTTGCAGTTGATGCCGTAGCGGAGGTGGGCGGAGAGAGAGGCTGCGTTGCGGTGGATGTTTAACTGTTCTTTTTCTTTAATACCCTAACCACTACTTTTGATAAGCTTGTGTGAGGTGCTGTACCTTGGACATATTGAAAATCCATTGGAAATACGGATCGTCAGCAAAGGCCCTCTGGATGCACGCTACGGCGGCGGGGATTTCAGCAGTGGTGATCGGAAGCAATTCGATAGCCATGTTGAAACGGATGTCTTCAATAATAATTATAATTTGATTTAGAATTATTACTAGGTCTGTGGATGGGCTGCGATAAAGCAATCGTGTAAACGTGCGAGTGGTTTCGGAGGGGGTTGGACGACATCGATATCGCCATCTATACTTCGGGGGGAGACTGGGGTCCAATAATCCCGGTATCGAGAGACGATCGCGTGTTGACGGACTGCGAGTAAACAATACCGTATTTCGAGTTGTTGGGAGAAAGAAACAAAAAAGTCCGAGAGAAAGCGAAGCATAGCTTTATACCATGAACCGGTGCCATCCCTTCCAGGCAGGCCCATGCGGGCAGGTTACACTGCGAAACGCAGCATGACCTTTTGCAGCGAGTGGTCTATAAGACAGCGCATCCTGGATGGGGAGGTTGAATATTATTGGTAGGAATAGTTCGAGGCGAGTTCGGATCGTCGCGGAGGTGTCGAATCAGGAAGGTCGTCGCGGTCTTATCGATACGAGCTACATCGTGATGATTATTGGTCATTTTTATCGATAGACGTATCAGTGGTTTTGTTCTATTCAAAGGTATGGCGAAATTGTTTACGCGATGCGGAGTAAGGTAGTTATTTTGTTCGGAGTATGCATGCTTGAGTACACATACTTCCCAATTTGGAATCCCCCACGCCCGCTAACCTTAACGGGTTGGTCCATGCGCAGCCCTAATCTGATAATCGTAGCAGATCTATGGTTTTGAGTAACTTGACGAGAAGATCATTAGTCTATTGAAATTTACAACATTTGTATGGAGTAGCGAAGTATCAATAGTCCAGGCCAAGTCACATCAAGTTGTAGAGTAGTTCACCGCTACTTGGATCGCATGCTGCAGTGGCTGGAATGTTGCTGTTATATGCTTATTAGCATCCTCCAATCTAACTATTTCATGAAATGGATAAAGCTTTAACCAATGGAATAGAAAGCGGAGGGCAGCTGTGGTACGCGTAATCCAGCTCTGTTGAAGGGGCACCGGCCTCAATCGCCTACTTCGGAGCCATATATTGCAGACTTCTGCTCTCCTGATGACTGACTACCGAGTTGCATTCCGATCATGTCCGTATCTGCAGGCCTCGCTTATAGTAGTAGTAGTAGATGCTTAATCTCCGTGTCGATCGGCCACTTCCGAAAGGTAGATGTTCCTGTGCGTGGAAAAGCGAAGCAGATCTTACTGGTACCGATAATTGGTGAGCATCATGCAAACTTCACCGTTGGGCTATAAGGGTAGCGCATAGCTCCTGCGAAAGTAGAAGATCAATCACCCCCGTTTTCTTGTGCTTTCATCTATCCCGATCAGTTGCTTCCACTTCGGCAACCCGTCATATAGATGCTTAAAGAGCAGCATGACGGAACATGGAGAACGCCCAGAAATGGCTGATAAGACCCATTTATGAGCGAGTCCTTCCTTATCAACCACATGGCCATATCATGTGACATAATAGGGCAATTCTTTTCAAACTCTTTGTTTGAATCGGCATTTTCTCAACCTTTTTCAGTTACCGTCATTGGAATCAACTCTCCCAATAGCAACCGACCGATAAAACAACCATGGCTCAGACATACTACCGCCGACCATACACTCCCTACTTTGGTTTTTCGCCATCCAATTGACCCTCACCGTCACTTATATAATCCTACTCACCTTGGGCACCCACCATCACCTTGCGTTTCTGACTATCACTACCGTCAGTATAAACAGTATCCTCGGAGCACTATTTGACCCAGAGACCTGCTACAAAACCAAGATGACGCTGGATGATGGAACGGTGGTTCGCGTGAAGAGGCCGTTTATCGGGCTCAAGTCGCATGAAGACCTGGTTGGGTTGACTGGAGGGTATGAGGTGAGAGTTGATGGATGGCGGTATGAAAAGGCTTTGATACGGATTTAATGTTGTTCAAAAACACTGGTTCTATCCATGGTTCTGCAACTGGTGATGCGGGGATGCGGATATTGCGGAATTTTCGGGCCGCAATCATTGTGACATATGCAACCATCTGGGGCCGAGCTGAGCTGCCGTTGATCTTTCGACTTTATGCGTTACTTTCGATCGCGACACCTTATCAATTACTTGTTCTATTTCAGGAAATACCGTTACTATCTCGGAACCAGTGCTGTGGTGCCGGGTCCCGAATCTGTCACCCCGCTGCGGCATACTCGATTAAATGCCGCCAGAAATGCAACGCCTCCGCTCCAAAATCGCCTGTCAATCATGTCGTGAACGCAAACGAAAGTGCGACGGCAACTTCCCCTGCAGTTACTGCCATCGCCTCGATCACGAATGCTTCTACGGGCCAACCCGCCGCAGCAAAAAGACCGCGCACAGGTTGGGCCAGCACTCCACTGATATCAATTCTCCCGAATCCCCAGATTATGACGGCAAAGACCCACAACTACAGCTTCTCGAGGCCAATTCGCCGGCTGTTTTTGTGCGGCAGTTGGCGCTGAAAATGAATGCTACTAATGCGCCGATACTGAACTGCTATGCTTGGAATCTCGGGTTTGATCGGGAGATTGCGTGTTTACCGCAGGTCTCGTGTATAACGGAGATTTTGTCGTTGTCCGAGATGCATGAGTTGGCGGCTATTTACTTTGCGCATGTTGCGCCTGTGTATGACTTTGTTGATCGGGCGGAGGTGGATGAGGCGATTATCAAGAGGTGGTCGAATGGGTTTCCGTATGATCAAGCCGATTCGATGCTTCTGGGGATAGCAGCCCTCGGATGTCTCTTTGGACATCGATCCGCAGGAGTCGAGATGCAGCTAGTGCACAGTGCGCGTATCGTACTCGAGTACTCCAGCCAGCTGGCGACGCCGGAATTCGACCATGTAGTTGGCTGGTTACTACGAGTCATATACCTGCGCGTGACCAGTTCCCCACACGCAACATGGATGGCCAGCTGTACACTAATGCATCTGATCGAAACAACAAAACTGCATTTCGACTCCACGACCGACTCCATCCTCGCGCAATCGACCGGGCCACGCATACACCCCGAACGCCGACGCAAAGTATACTCTGTCGCACAGCTCTTCAACACCTGGGTCTCTCTCGACTGCGGCAAGTCCCAGGTCGAACTCCGTGGCGCATCATCTGCATTACCCGAAACAGGCTGGACAGTCGAGCAGCGCGAAATATGTCGAATATCGGCGCTCCTAGGTCCAGAGATCTATCGGGACATAGTCGAACTCGAAAGCGAACTTGTTGAACTCTGTAAACTAAGCCCGACGCAGCCTATGCTCCGACTAATCCAATGTAACGTCGGACTGTGTATCTACCGCCGCTTCCGCGCCCTAGGACGCGTTATGTCTGAGGAGTCCCTCGACTCAATCGTGAACCTAGCACGGCGCAGCCTGAAAGCAGCCGAAGAGCTAGTTGGAATATCCTCGCCGTGGTGGCACAGTTTGAACATTCCCTTTCAGATCGTCTGTGTGTTGTTAGTGATCGACCATCCACAGGCATTGGTTATGCTTCCGGATGCGCTGCAGACGCTGCGGTCGGTGGCGGATCACTATCAAACGGGGATGACGAGGGAGGCATATGAGATTGCGGTATTCCTGGTAAATCAGCAGCGAGAGAGACGCTTCCAGGCGCTGAATAGTCTGGATAGTGCGCTCCGGGGACATGAGAGTAGTGACGGGACGTTGAATATGGGGAAGTGTGTTGAGGAGCAGTTATTTCTAGAGGATCTGTTGTAATCTTATTTTTATAATATTAAAGCCGTATATCACCAGTATGTACGATTGATATTCAGTCAATATTAATAACCCATTGAATACCACTTTTTATCATGGATGATCCGCATCAAGCAAAATCAAGCCCACTTCCCCAACACCGACATCAAAATCAACCCAGCAATCAACGATATCCCACCAACAGCAACCCTCCCCAGTCTAGCATCAACCAACTCCCCACCCTCAATCACCCAGTCTCTCGCCCACATATCGACAACACCAACCCAGACAAGTATTCCCGCCGACAACGCATCCAGCGTTCCCAGCGCAATCAATGTACTCTTTTCATTCCCGTTGAACGAATCCAATACACCGATTCCGATCGCCATACCGATGGGCGTGATCAATGCAAAGGCGCCTGCCATGATAGCTTTGCCGGGGAAGATTCGGCCGGGGAGTAAAGCGATGCGGGCACCTAGGGCTAGACCTTCGAAGAATTGGTGGAAGACGATTACGACGAGGAGGGTGCGGTAGAAGGAGTCGCCAGCAACAACCAGAGTAATACCGATGAGGATACTGTGGAACAGGACGCCAGCTTCCATAACCAGCACGGAGAACTTGGTGGTAGGTTTTGCGGGGTCGTGGGGTGAGCCGTGGCTATGGCCTAGTCCAGCTAGGGCGTTGCTTTGTTGGCATTGATGGGTGTTGGGCTGTTCTTTTGACTCTGTGAGGTTCTGGTCGGGGTTCTCGGGAGTTGTCGTGGGTGTCTTGGAACCGCGCGCGAGGATGATCCGGTGGCCGATGTATTCGACGAGGAAGGCTAGGAAGATTCCTGCCATGACGACGGCGGAGGTGGTGGCCTCGTATTCGAGTTCGCCTAGGCAGTCGTTTGTGAACATGAGGTTGGCGTGCGTATAGAGCTGTATTGCGTTAGATATTAGCTAGACTTCTTTGCATTTCACCATGGAAAAGGACATACGTGAACAAAAGCCGTAGCAATAATGATACCGGTTCCGAACTGCTTAATTCCCGTCGAAATCATCGTGTTCAAAGTCTTGAACGGCAACTTGACCAGCAACATCGGAGCAAACACGCCAATTGCACTGGTAACAAGAATGACGAACAGCGTTCCAATCCGCAGAGGTACATCGTAATCCCGGTTTTGGACACCGCATGAAGGTGTGCTGCTGCTTTCGGATTCTCCTGCTCCAACACAGTGTCTGGCTTGTTAGTACAGGGCCGTAAAGAGGGTAGGGCTTGACATACTCGACACCAGCGTGGAAGTGGCAGTTCTCTCCTCCTTCGGAACTCTCACTTGACTCACTCTCGTGGTTGTGACCTTCCTCTCCGGTCGTTTCTTCTGAAATAACCTGAACCTCGTTTCCTTGTGTGTCCATGCAGAATCTTCAACTGTCAGTGCACAGCCCTCATGACGTTCGTCAAAGATACTTACTGTTCACTCCCATGCGCATGACAACCTGTATACTGCGCTGGCAGCTCACCCGTCGGAGTAGCAGTCATGGACACCTGCACCTCCTCCCCACTCCCATTGATACAAAACACCTCGTCCCCATGATTATGGCATCCCGTAATAGCAGATGACTGAGCCGAAGAAGTCGTACTCGCCGTCTGGGCCTTGGCCACAGCCGATAATAGCAGCAATGCAGTGATCTTGATCATTTTGCCTGCCCGAGCTCAACGATTGAAAAGACGCAATCTCTTCAATCGCCTCGTGCCCCTCTGCGCTTTTATCCGCTAAGCAAGCATCCCCAAGGTACTCGCCCAGCCCGCAGCTTTCGGCCAAGAGCTTGGCCCGGAACCGGGGTCCGCGAAGGTCTTCCATGGTTGGTTGCTGCGGCCAGGATACCCGCTCCGGATGCTTGGCCGGGGGCTTGGCTCTCCGCTCTTGGCATGGCTATCGTGTATTGCATCGGATATGTACTTCATTTTTATCGCGGGAGAATGGGAAGTTGTCGAATGCTTTGGCAATGCTAAGGGCGCGGTATAGAATCCGATATTCGTCGAAACCTCTTGATGAGAAGCCGCAAACATCAAGCAGTCATAATGACCTTCTCAACCATCATCGAGTTCGTGTCCACAAGGTCCTTTCGTGACGGCGATTTCCGTCAAACGACATTACGAGAGACCTTTTTGTGTCTGTTCGCCAGTTAATAACTGAGCAAAGTGTCATTCGTTAATGGCAAGAATACTGGAGAATGAGGTATTTGAAGTCGCCTCTCTCGAGGTCCAGACGGACCTCCAGGGTTCCCTAGACTTATCTTCGTCCTCTAGCTATTATTTTACCGAGATGAAATTCAGGGTTGAAGCTCTCACGTGGACACTTGCTGGACGCAGCAAACTCAGCGTGCAGATCTCCTAGAAGTGCATATGATATTCCTGGAAGGCTGCTTGCACAGACTGAAGCCGTGGCTATCGCGCGTCTCTGGATCTGTTCCTGTATTAATACCCGACGACATAGCCGAGGGCAAGCCATTTTGTGATCAGGATACGACATACTTCGAATTGATCAATGCGTACAAGAGTAATCAAACAACCTGGTCCCTGTGGAGGTAGTAATCGTAATACATATTGTTGGGTGTAATATTCTTCAATGCTATGCTTGAATCGGGTGATGGGGTAAGCGCAGAATTTGTCGTAATCGTAGGTATCATATCATATCACATCAGCCATCTACAACATCGCTCCTCTCTTATCCCTCAAAATCTCCCTCGCATCTCGATAATCCTCTCCTCCTCCAGCCGGTCGAGAATATCCAGCACGTACTCCTGACAGTCCCATTCAAACGTCTTGTTACCAACGACCACCGTCTCCGAAATCTGTTTGACCATATCGATATCGTTTTTGCCGATGACACCAATGTACAGATTGTGCAGAAAGCCGTCTAGCAGATCTGGTGGGCATTCTTGGATGTTTCGTTCAAATTTGGGGTGCTCGCCGGTGACTTCAAATGGGAGTTGCTCCTCGTCACTGTCTAAATAGTTATAGAGCCCAGTGTTGATAGTTGCCGAAAAGGGCTCAGAAGAACGCGGCGTAGAGTTTGGGGTAGCCCATCTTTGCTTGTACAGGGTAAGCTTGGATTCCTCAGAAGAATATGAATTGCGTACACTGGCTTGATCTTCTATCACTTCACGACATTTAACAACTGTAGACAGTCCACTGCGCAGCCCAGCCACATGTGTTTTGTTCCGAACGAAAAAGGCAAAGACAAGTATATACAAACCGTGTAAACCAAGCAAACATGCAAACAAAGGCCAATTCTAACCACGGATCTATACAGGAGTAATTGAGACACCATCGATTAACCAATGGACAGCTGCATTGTTTCATTTTACAAAGTTGAGCGATTTCAGACGAAAACTGGATAGGCGAAGATAGTCAGTATATCGATCAACAGAGCCGTACCAACAAACAACCCACATATCGCTAATTCGACCCCAAGCCCCTCCACCAAGCCGTAATCCCAAGTAGTACCCCACGATAACAATCGCAATGGGTGCAATTAAAATGAAGTCGTAAAGTAGCAAAAAGAGCTCTCATGGTCAGCACACGAATCAACAACACCTAACAACCACACTCACCTATTTCCCAATCCTAACCTCCACACCACCCGCAGCAGCCGCAATACCAAGCGCAATAGCAAGCATAGCCCCCAGAATAACGATAGCAATAACAATTTTGATAGCCAACCGTGCCTTCTTGCTCAATCGCCGCCAACAAGCACAACGCCTCTCCTTCTCATCACACAGCCCAGAACGACCGCGACGCTTGAGGCTGTGGCCGCGCAGGATACCTTTCTCGGGATCGTGGAGGTCCTGTCCTAGCTCAGCTTGAGCTGAAACGGCAGCGGTCGAGGTCTCGTGGTTGCGAAGCGGGGAGGATGAGTATGCGTCGGCTGAGGGGTTGTAGCCGAGTTGCTCGTGATCGAGGCCTGGGAAGGGCTCTATTGATAATCGGTTTGCTGGCTTGACGTGCGTCGGTTCTGGGAAGATTGGAGAGGCTGTGCAGCTTTGACCCGTGGGGGTTCTGGAGGGGTATGGGGTGTTGGGAGGAGCAACCGTTCCGGGGCCTGGCGCCATGCCGCTCTGGGAATCGATGGAGAAAGGACGGCGCATGACATTTTGAGACTTACTGGGAAAGAAACGACGCATGGTGCTTTGAGAATCGTAGAAAAGAGGATGGCGATGCGCGAATCAAACAATAAACCAAATAAATACGCTGTTAACATATAAAGGTACACAGATGATATGCAAGTGGTAAGAAGGAGAAGAAGGACGGAACTTGTGTTTACTTGTTTTTGTTACGGCGGCTGAAAGGTGCTGGGTGCGGCTTCCTCAGAATGCAACACCCGGTTTCCTAATTTGGAAGGCAGCCACTTTGGCATAATATGACACTGCATTGGACCTAAAATAATGCAGTTTATGCAACGTTCTTTGGCCCTTACACGAACTCAGCAAACTACATCCAGTCAGCAAGTCCCTCGACCCCAACGACTCAAAACAAAGAGAAAAGAAATACCCACTCCCAATAACCCCATTAACCGGAATATCAATCGAAGTCGTATAACTCGCCGCATCACTCAACAAATACACATACGCACCCCCCGATTCCTGTACCTCCGCCAACCTCGGAAACCCACCATAATACTTCAACTGCTGCTCCCAGTCCTCCTGCTGTGGCACCCAGTAGGTCATGGCTGTATTGACGAGGCCGGGGGAGACACTGTTGACGCGGATGTCGTGGGGCGCCCATTCCATCGCTAGGGTGTGTGTCATGTTGCAGATGCCGGCTTTGGAGGCGCTATATGGGGCGGAGGGGACGCGCTTGTTTTTAAGTATCATTTGTGTTTCGGATGGGATGGGGGAGGGATACCTTGTTCGGACGATATGATGCCATTGAGGCTGTGAAGATAGTGGATCCCTTGATTCCAAGCCGGATGAAGGCACGCGCAGCTATTCTGGCTGTGTAAAATTATCCGAACAACTACCAAATCAGCACTTGCACTCTTCATTCAAGGGAGACGAGGGACCAACATTAATAGAGAACAACGCCTCAATATCCTCGTCCGTGAACTCCAAAGCAGGCTAATGCTTCGTTCGTCCCGCATTAGCCACCATACCGTGTAGCGCACCGGCTTCATCGATAATCTTGTCAACTGCTGCAGAGATGCTCGACTCCTGGGTCACATCAGTATGGACGGCGAAGAGTTTGTCGGGGAAGCGCTGGGAAAGAGCGTGGAATTCGTCGGTTGTGTCGCCGATGTCGAGGGAGTAGACTCGAGCTGCATCATTGACGAGACAGAATTCGGCTATTCCGAGGCCGATGCCACGGTTTGCGCCGGTGACTATGTAGACGGATTAGAGAGCATCGGGATATAGGAATGAGGACATACTGGCGATGACTTTAGAGGACAGTGTGATATTTGTTTGGGCCATTGTGCCATGTCGGTTTGTTTCAATGGGCTCAGACAACACCACCCCAGCTACACTCCTCTTTGTATAACTTGTAGAACAGGTTCTTAGGACCTGGTGCTGCAGTAATCTACATTGTGGGGTTCCCTCGTCTCGAGGGTGCGGGGAGCCATTATATACACTCACACCACACGAAAATCACCTAAATACCCAGCAAAGCACCCTGGGACTTCAATTGCGCTCTCCACAACCGATGCTCGTTGAGAATAAACATCTCTCCTTCCCTTCCAAAGCAGAAATTCGCCACTCCTCCTTCCACCAGGATCCGGCCGAGGAGAACACCACCCGGCGACCAGACGGTCACTCCATCACCACAGCCACTGTACACATTTCCTTCAATATCGCATTTAATACCGTCTGGAATACCGACGGGAGCCATAGCGAAAAGACGGCGGTTGGTTAGGAACGGCTCGCCGTGGTAGTATACCACGTCGAATGCGTAACTGCATCACCCTCACCGTTAGCATCATCCCCAATCCATCACAAAGTAAAGAAAACTGAAAAACATACATGCTAGAAGGCAACGTCTCATCCACAACCCCAATGGCCCTAAACCGTGCCGTATCCGTAACATAAACCGTCCTCTCATCCGGCGAGAAGCAAATCCCATTCGGCTTAATAAACCCATCCGCCAAACACCTAACCGCCCCGCTCACAGGATCAAACCGATAAACCTGCCCCGGCAGCGAAGGCACAGGCCGATACCCATGTTCATGCCCGTAAATCGGATCCGTGAACCAAATCGTCCCATCCGTATGAACGACAACATCGTTCACGGAATTGAATTCGCGTCCGTAGAAATTTGTGATCACGGGCTCGACGTCGTGCGGGTGTTTCGAGGACATGTAGTATAGCCCTGAGGGGACTTTCAGTGACCCCTGCGCGCAGAATAGGATTCCATCTTTGTAGTTGACGCCGCCGTTGCCCATGGGGATTGCGAGGGAGGGGAGTTCTTCGTGGGACGCGCGGACGACGCCATGGTGGTCTTTTGTGAGGAGGATTTTGGAGATTTGAACGGTGCGGTCACCGGTTGTTGTGTGGATGTGGTTGCTGGTTATGAAGAGGGTGTTGTCCGGGGGGATGTAGACCCCGGCTTCGTGGGCGAAGGCGTATTCTTTGTTTTCAAGGAGGAGTTCGAGGGTGGGATTGGGGCCGAGGATAGCCTTGAAGCGGTCGTCGTGGACGAGGAAGGATTCCATTTTGTCTTTCTACTGGTGTATTGGGAGTTGTGGGAGGGAATTGAGAAAATTGGAGAATGCGGAAGAAAATATGAGGGGCAATCCGAGCTCGTCTCGAGGCGCGGAGATCCCCCGATCTATACATTCCGACTATCTATTACGAACTTCGGAACGCATGTCAATCATCATCGCCCCAAAATTCTTTCAAATCCTCCACGCGCCATGCAGTTGCCCAGCCTGTTTCTCGCTCGATTCGCGTTAATGTCTCCACAATAGCTTCGTGTTCAGAGCAATGCGACATGGCCTTCCCAGCCAGCCAAAGGGGTTGTAAGGCGTTTGTCCAGCAGCCACTGCATGAATCAGCATAAGAACTTATATTACAGGGATATACTACAGAGGATACATACTGATGTGTATTAGAAGCCGAAATGGCGCAAATTTGCCGGGCGTGCCATAGTACGGATTTCTGTAGGGTACCATGAGCTTCATTCTTTTTTAAGTAGATGGTGTATACTCACTGGCTTCCGTGATAACGAAACTGTTTTCGGTTTCCGCTGTAGCAGTAATAATGCGCAGGCGTGGTATAATTGGTTCCCAGAGACTATGCATCGCATCAGCAAAGAGTATCAACAAACAGACACGAGGGAAAACGTACTAGCTGCTCCATTCCCGTAGATCACTGTCGGAAACGGCGTCTCCTTACCCCCGGGAGTATAACCACTGAATATCGGCTTCATCTGGCTCGGCCGTTGCTCATACCACTGCTCAACCCGATCCAACAACCCCTTCCAGCGATCAACATACGTGTCCCCGTCAAGATAATGGCACGGAAAACAAGGCGGATGATGATGTTTCGATGCGCCGCAGAGAACACCCAATGTCTGCGCGCAGAGGTACACGGTGTAATTAGCATAGGTATCGAAGTTTGCTTTCGAAGCGAGGAATAGCTGAGAAGCCTGGTGAGGACTCATTGTCCGGGGCGTCCAGTTATGAATCGGGATAATGGTTTCTTCTTCGGAGATGAGGCCACCACAGACGTCCATTCGGGCAAAGCACCAGAAGAGTGCTTGTTCTTCTTTCCCAGAGAAGCCGTTGATCTCAGCGGCTTGGATTAGGAATGCGCAACCGTCGAGGTGGCGCCGCCATTCTTTGGGGTTGCAGCTTAGCATTTCCAGCACGCAAAGAATTACGCAGGATGCGATTACTGGTGTTGTTTTACTTTCCAGTTCTGGTAATAGGAGGTGGATGGCTTCTTGGTATAAAGATAGACTCTCCGATTGCGATTTTTCGTTTTGTTTCCGTTCCATTTGTCGTGCAGATAGCGCAAGGATCGAGAATCGCAGATGCGGCGATGACTTGGCCATCTGTGGAAATGTTGATGCGAAGTGGCGATGGTTATCAAACATGTCGAGCTATTCGATAGGATGTTAGCATCCATGGCATGTACTCCATAGCGCGAGATACCCACCCATGTACAAATCTCATTCAGATAATTCTGCCAGAGAATAATTTCCCTCTCCGATGATAACGTAAACTCCCTTCCAGATCTGGCCCCCGTGTCGTTCGGTGCAACACCAGGTACAATATCCGGCGTACTCCCCCGGCTGGGGATATCCGGCCGTGCCGTCCAGAGCTGTCGATTCCGTAGTGCCGTATGCAGCGCTTCGTACGCCGACCCGGGCACGAAGACGTCGATGTTCGCTACATTAGCCGGATCGGAGAAGACGCCGTGGTTGAATAGTGGCGAGGCCATGGCTGCCGGGTAGCCCTCTGAGAAGGAGCTGTGGGAGATGAGACCCATAAAATCTGGGCTAGAAAGGTAAGGGACGTGGGAGTCATGGTTAGATGATGGCGAGTGGTTCGTGAAGTTGAGGTGGTGTGAGGGACTGTGGTCGAGAGGTGGTGCTGGTGTTGGTGCTGTAGCTGTAGCTGTAGCTGTAGGAGGTGCGGGAGTAGGAGCTGGTAAAGCGTCATTGCCATTCACGGGACTATTATGTCCACGGTCATGCTCAGGTTGCTGGCCATTATTGTCGTTGTTTTCGTTAAGGTCGTCAATGTCATTATTTGCATCGGGCAAATTGATATCATCCACCGTTTTTGGAGATACCCGTGGAGATTCTTGATCTTGAGTTTTTCGTGGTTGAACATTCAGAATCTTCTCCGTCAGCACTCAATCCTGCATCAACAAAAATAGCTCGTACCTTAAACTTATTATTTTGCTTCCGGCTTGCCGACTGCTTCATCGACGGGTGCTCCGGCTCCAGCGCCTTAAGATTAGCATCGCGAAAAGACCCTAGCATACGCCATTGACATTTTTCCCCGCGTCGCTTGCATCCAACACACGTCGGCTTTGTCTCGTCGCCTGTTTACTCACTTTAGTTAGCTATGTTAAGAGCTGCATTACCGGGGGTGTTGGTAGCGGACATTTCCGGCGCCGCCGACTGCAATTAAGACAGCCGGTGCGGGTGCGCTTTCTTGTTTCTGTCGGGTTCATGGTCATAGTATGTATGGTCTTTGCTTCTGTCAGATCTGAAAGGTGACATATGTGTCAGTTGGGATGCTCAGAAGAGAGATGCGAAAGAGATAGCTATTTGCGGCAAGCGACGCTACGGGATACTCAAAAGAGTAATTTTAAGCGCTGTGGGGAAGGTCCCCGAAAGTGGCATTTCTGGAGAAATCTGGAGAAGACGGTAATTTCCGATATCCACCGAGGGGGGCCGGAGTAGGGCCGTGACCAGCGTATTGTTGCTACATACTATAATAAGACATTCTTATTTCTTATACAATACAAAGAGAGAAGCATTATTCCACGTGCTGGACCTCCTCGTCCTTCTCCGTCCTTTCCCTAACATCGCCTGCTTGGCCCATAGATGCATTCCAGTGCAACTGTACTTTCGGGCCGGTGAATAGCCGGTCGACCTGTTCCAGGGTGAGGTTGCGCGGCTCGGGGTAGAAAAAGTAAATGACGGGCAGGAAGCAGAAATTGAAGACTGTATAATCAGCAAAAAATACCAGGATCCATGAAGGGGGTGATATACTGGCAAAGTAAATGTATGTCCGGTAACCGACTTCCGCGATACTAACAGGGGTGATTTCCACGACAAGGAATGTGAAGATCCCTATATTGTCAGCATATATATATATATGTATATTTAAAATACAAGGGGAATTTACAGTTCGTCGCCGTCGCCAACGCAGCGGATCGCGTACGGACAGCCAGCGGTGCATATTCAGCAGGCACTGCATCGTCAGTAAAGGGACAGGGTAAATGCACTTGGGGGTAAACTTACACAACCAAGCAACTCCTAGTAGACCAATGCCAAAGAAGAAGTTGAACAAGAATAGCATCACGGTGGCAACTATACCAGCACCGTGGCCACCATCGTACACCGTTCCGGCCAGGATGGCCATACACGCACATTGGCCGGCGGCAGCGAAGAGCATCAGCTTGCGACGACCAACACTGACATTTGTCAGTATTGCCTTTCATGACTTAGTTTGAGTGGGCAGTAACATACCGATCAATCGTCCAGATCGGAATCAAGGCCGAGACAAAGTATGCCACACCGTTGAACCCAGCCACCAACAAGGCAGTGTTATGGTCCATTCCGACGGAGCTCTCAAAAATAACCGTATTATACTAACCATCTATTAGTATTTATCGTCGAGCATGGGGAAAGACCACTCACATAAGTAATCAGGTTGATACCCGACAACTGCTGCATCATCTGCCCACCCATACCCAACAGCGTCCGATGCAAAAATCGCTGGGGTCCATTGGTAAAGACCATCTTGAACGAGCTCTCCGAAGTCGCTTGCTGCTCTTCAACAATAGTCTGCGTGATTTCGTCGATTTCAATGTTGATGACTCGGTCATCGTAGGCGATGGAACGGGCATTCGGCTGGAGAGCCCAGATGATGTGTCGGCCTTCGTCGGGTTTACCGTGTGCAATCAACTGTCCTTGTTAGCCGAGCTATTTATAAATCGAGAGGAGAGGTCGCACCCATCGAGGGGATTCCGGGAGGAAAAGGATACCGAGGAAGGTGGTAATGGCGAAAAGGATCTGGAGGGCGATGGGGAAACGGAACTGGGCATCGTTGACTACGTAGCTCGTGCCGTAGTCTAATCCGTCAGTGTCGTTCAAGTAATGAAATATGAGGATAGAGATACTAACCAACCCAGTACGCCATCATGACGCCGAAAATGTTGATGCACAGTTCGATGGCAATCTATTTGGTCAGAGCCAGTCCACACACAGGGAAACAGGAGACTAACCGCCTTTCCTCTACTGGCCGCTTTGCTAAGTTCCGAATGCCAGACCGCTAGGTCAAAACCATTAGTATCGACTTCTGGCAAAGGCGAGGGCAGACTAACGAATGGTACTCGTGTTCATCCCATTTCCAACACCAGCCACGATCCGTCCAACAATCATATGTGGGATGCTGAAGGCACTGCACTGCAACGCAGCCCCGGCGGTGAGAATAACACAGCCGATCATAATGCAATATCGTCGTCCGAGTCTCTCACCAAAAAAGAGGGCCAGTAGAGCACCAAAGAAGCAGCCCTAAACCGTTAGAATCGTCCGTTGAGGGGCCGGATCAACGTACAATCTCATAGATGGCAACCCTAGTTTCGTCAGCTTTGCTTTAAATGTCGAAGAGAATAGAATAAGTACACTGTTCCTTGTAGTGATGAGCTGCCATGGCCTGTAGGCGTCGTGTCGATTTCAGGAAACGTCCGAACGAACGCGTCCCCGGTCAGGAGACCAGCCATAACACCTTGGTCATATCCAAAGCTATTCCAGTCAGACAACCAATCAACCTCAACAGTTAAGTGGTACACTCACAGCAAGAAACCACTTCCTGCCGTGGCCGTAATGGCCCACGACAAGTGCTGGCCCACGAGAAGCGACATGATAACGGTTTGTGACAGATCTAATATGGCAAATGAAGCTTTCCCCATGGGAATGCGGTACTTATAACCACCTGTTCGTCGGTTGTGTCATTACCGAGTCGGCAGACCGTGCGTCAATAATACTGGTCTTGTATAGTACCCTTGTCCGTCGTTTCGTGCCGTTGTTGATGTCCGGAGTCAAGCCGATAGGTTACCGAATCGGGTAGATATACGCGCCTCCACGATGCGGGATCCATCACTGCATGTATTCCGTATTGGGAAATTGGAAGCACTGATGAACTGTCTGGATTAAAGATATGTTCGAGATTGCAGCTTTTTGAGAGCGAGTTGGGTGGAATTGGAACAGGTATAAAGGTGCGTCCTCTCCCTCGGTCCACAACTAGCTCATCCAGCCCGCAATAACTCACGACCTCTTCAATCAATTCCTCGCAATCAACCAAAATGTCTCCCTCTCTTGGCCTCGACCACACCACCCCCGGCCCCGTCCCCGAGACGAGCCAAACACCCGCCGGCTTCGCCCGCACCTCCGACCTCTTCTCCCTTGGCAACAGGACAACCGTGATCACCGGCGGTGGTCGCGGTGTCGGAATCACCCTTGCCAGCGCTGTCGTCGAAGCCGGCGGTGACGTCGTCTGTCTCGATCTCCTCCCGAACCCCAGCGAAGACGAGTGGAACGCTTTACAGAAGCTTGCTACGGCTCGGGGGCTTCAGGCAACTTATGTCAAGTGTGACATTACGAACGAAGAGAACACAAAAACAATTCTGGAAAGGATTGCGGTGGAGAGTGCACAGCGTAAAATGCCCATGCGGGGGTTGATCACTTGTGCTGGTATTCAACAGATGGTTCCGGCTTTGGAGTACCCGATTGACGGATTCCGGAAGATGATGGAGGTTAAGTGAGTGTTTATCTTCCATGAGTCGTCGGAGGCGAATGCTAATTTAGTAGTGTCATTGGCACATTTGTCCCCGCGAAGCACTTCGCGAACATCTTGAAAGAGCAGAACACCCCTGGAAGCATTGTTATGATCGCATCTATGTCCGGCGACATTGCCAACCGCGTACGTTACTATCCTCTCCTTATCCTTCGTCCAGCTATCTAACAATAACAGGGCCTCACATGCACCGCCTACAACTCCTCCAAATCCGCCGTCCACCAAATGTGCCGCTCCGTCGCCCAAGAATGGGGCCAATACGGAATCCGCATCAACACCCTCTCTGCGGGAGTAAGCTCCACCCCCACAATTCCCCATATAGACATGCAAAAGCTAACTCAAGCAGTACATCCGTACCGCCATGACCGACCAGTTGCTCCAGGAGAAGCCCGAGGTCGAAGAGATCTGGATGCGGGGTGCTCTGCTCGGCCGTCTGGGAGCTCCAGAGGACTTCAAGGCGCCGACAGTGTATATGTTGGCTGATGGGAGCTCATTTATGACGGGCGCAGATCTGCGGGTTGATGGTGGTCACTGTGCTTCTGCTTAAGTTATTGTATAATATAGAATAGACGGGATAAAATAGAATGATTTCATGTCCAATTGTATCATTACTGTCATTATTCTACAGAGTATAGTCATAGCCAACGATATTATCCATTATTTGGAGCACTTTCTGCATATACTTCCTTCTACTCCAAAATAACCAAAACAGACAGATCGCGCTAGCCCAAATCAGCCTAGCTCCACTGTGGAGATCCCGGGGCCGTATTACCGCATTAGGAAGGTATAGGCACAGTTACTTTGTATGGTAACAGAGAACTCTCACCACGCGACATGACGGTAGAAAGCTTCAGTGCTGTTTCATGATCGTAGGGCGGAGTTATATGCGAGGTATCCACCCCGGTACTCCATGTGTCTACAACGTCATTCGAAAGGTGCAGGTGCTATGTCCATGTGAGCGGACAACGGGTCGGTCCTCAGATACTTCTGCAGGAACGGACGGACTAAGAGACAAGGGGTAGTTGGATATAGGGATCGTGTAGCTGTACAGAAAGTCTTTCTAGAATCGTAATCTCCATGAGATCTACACCAATGACCAAGGTTTCTAGGGCTTGGACACTGGACGTGCTAGGACGTGCGAATGTCCACGTAATAGTATTGGCCCTAGACACTTTCCTGGTAGAGAAGATTTTACGAAAGACGGTGAGGCTCCAGTAGCATTGCTTTCGGGTCTCTGGGACAAGCATTCTTTAATTTATAACTTCGTGTCAAAAGCAACATATGAGCCCATCGTCTAGAGATTATCAGTTCTCCTATCCTATGTCCAGGTGAATCACTCAACCAAGCACATCTTCTCTACAGAGGTTCACGGAATAACTCAACATGAGTCGTATACGCGAGATGAGACTGAGCAGTTGAAAAATCCCTTTCAACGTCCATGTATCCGTAATCTATATGCCCAAGGTTCCTAACGTACTAAGGGTTAGCACAACGTACAGTAGTCTCTCCAAGGAACCTTACAATACCATCATCAATCCTATGTGTAAAATAGGGTATTCACAGGTGGCCCTGGGTCAGAGACTCCATCGCTGAAAATTTAGTGCGCCGCGTGGGCTCCTCAGGAAATTTCCATTCCACGAAGAGCCCAAAACATGAGACATAAACTCGGACCTGGTATGCGTCGGCGGTCGTGTTGAGAGGAATTCGCCCATCCGTAGAGCCTTTAGAGTCTCCATGGGCGGTTTTCCACTTGTCCAGCTGCCGGACAAGAGAAACAGTCGTGGGGTTGATCTTGGGAATGTACTTTCGGACTAAATCATTCGCCTTTTCCTTATTGAGACGCATATGCGGTGCCTTGTAGAACCAATATAATCAGTGAGCAATTCATCTAGAGACATGGGGCTGGAGACTAACCATGATGGAATAGGAGAGGAGGGCAATATTTCTTCCCGATCTGAGAGCCAACAGCCATTAGGCATGCTCCTTGCTGCTTATTGTTTGAGGTATCTTGCTGCTAGCAAGCTTCACTGCTTATGTAGTTTTTAGGAACTTCTGAAGACGAAGAGGAGAGGAGATCACAAGTTGTGAGAGGTCACGCACTCTGAAGTTTGGCCATTTTCCATGATGCAAGGAGATAAACTGTGCTGGTTTTTTTTTTTTTTTTTTTTTTTTTTTTTTTTTTTTTTTTTGCGGTTCTCGGACATATAGGACTACCTGTTCCTTTAGGGGGAGACATAAAATGTCGCGTAACACCAACATATCCAGTATTCTAGGTCCCTTGTCGCATTCTTCAAACGGAGGGTAGTTACTCTACGCTCTACGGCGAGTAATTCTCAAGGAGAGCCACGAGTACGTCAAATTCACTGATTTCCAAAGACACGGCAAGCTCCAGGCTTCAACGATAGTAGTTTGGCCATTCATCGGAATATTGATACTTCCAATTCACTATTATATCGGTACTTGAATATACGAAGCTCCAACTTTTCATGCCCTTCTCCTGTCTGCTCAAAGGTGAACTTTCCGTAACAGCTCTAGTGTTCTCTACAATTCAACATGCCCGACAATCAAGAGTGAGTAACCGACTCTCCGGGCCTAGAGTATGAGAACTTTGAATGATTCTCCGGGTTTTCCGATGAGACTTTTGGCATTGAGTGAAAATACTTGTGCGGGATTGCGAGACCCCGCGTTGAAAGCCACAATGCCGTCGAATGAGGATACTGCGGAGTGCTGTGGATTTTAGTATATGGCTACTGTATAAGATAATATGGCAACCAAAAGAGGGATGATAGCTCCCCCGGGGAAAGGTGACGAAGCTTGTCAAATGGGAATTGTTAGCATATTTTGATTGCTTGGACTCCATTTGCGGCACTTTCCTTGGCCTGATGGGTTAAAAATGGGAGTGAAATTAACATCTATTTGTACATTAATTCGACTTTTGTCAATAGGAAGTGACACGTTCCAATATTATTCGCGGAGAGGTTTGTTTATTGAAGTCTAACCTATGTATCAGCACTATACTATGGTTGGCTCCTGAGTACTACAGTCCATATCTGCAGACTTTGCCCGAAAACGGGTATAATATGTTCATTCAATGTGGGTGGTGATCAGCACCGACAAGGACTACTTTGCCCAGATATATTCTGCGTGAGGGGTTCTTGTTGGCCCTCACAATTCGGAAAGGACATGCCGAATGTGCAGATGGTCATCAGAAAGCTCAAGGAGTTGGGTGGAAAATAATACAAACCCTTATCGTGATCGATAACATGGTTGCGATGTTTGTTTTGTTCGTATTGTTTGCTTTATTTGCATCTCGCTTAGTCTGATCGGAACAATATTCCCCGTCATTCCGAAAGTGCACTATAAAAGGAGAAAATTCTCGGGCACATCTGGAATTCTTTTCTTTTCTTCTCCATACATCGAAAAAGCTAACAGAACCTGCCACGACCATCGTCCAGTTTTTAATCCACGGCGATGAGTTGCCTTCGATCTTCGGATCGTTCGGTTCTGGAGAACAATTTCCTTGATAGGAAGTTCGCCTCTCGTTGGGTCCTCTTCAGTGAGGGCGATGAGGGGGGAATGTCGATGACGGGATACATCTTTTCACCATATTTCTTATGATGTTGTGTAGTTAATTATATATCGTAGGATGGCGGCTGTATTGGCGACGATAGTTACATTCCGTGATCTATCAGTCCTCGTAATCTGGCTGTCCATCGCTGCTGGGAATGTTCTATTTGTAGCTATTTCGGCCATGGAATGGCATGCCATGGCGATGGTCGATGAACATCTCGCGTGTCCAGGAGAAGCTCTCCGATACAATTATGCCCGATGGTGCCCCCGATCCAGAATGAAGGGGTCGATCAAGGCACGTCGCAGGGATGCTGTACGGAGATACACTACGCAGGAACAACATTCCAATTTCTCTTTAAACGAAGAATGCCGCGCCATCGCGCTTGTTGATCTCAAGTTCAGTGTTCCGCTGTCCGACGCTCCATTCTTGGAGACGAATCTTTCGGCAGGACAACGCTTGTTTACCACGCCAATGCGACATTCCACACGTCAATGGCATGAAAACACAGAAGCACTGAGGCTCATAAAAGGCACTATGATGTCCGAGATAATGCAACCCAGCTTCCCATCAAACTGCTATCCTTTGATTGCCTTGTGCACTGCTCTGTCATTCGTTTTGCAGCTGCCCTTCCTTTCCCAAACACTTGTCACTCATTATCACCGTTCCTTTACAATCTCTTAATCAGTTACCATCAAAATGAAGGGCTTCAGCGCAGGTATCCCCATTGCCATCCTCGCCGCCTTGGGGCAGGCGCAGGCGCAGGCGCAAGTTCACTCCGGTTCAGCTTTCGAACACCACATTGAAGCCGGTCTTGAAGATGTTTTTGACCGTCCCCCTCACCCGCACGGTGGCCCTCATGGCGGCCCTCATGGCGGGCCCCACGGCGGCCCCGGTCCCGCGAGCCACCCTCCCATGGCTCACGCTGCGCGTGCTTTCCGTCCTGGTGAGGATGCGCCCAGCATTGAGAGCGACCCATTCTTCAGCGGGGGTTCGAATGAGAAGCCTGCAGACCACGGCCCTTCTGCTGTCCCGACTTGCTCGACCCGGACTGAGCACGTCGTGCACACCATCACCAAGACTGTGACTCCCGAGCACGAGCACAAGCACACTCCTACGTCGCACCCCATCGGCCTTGACCCGGCCGCTCACGCGCCGCAGTCGTCGTCTTCCCACGCTCCGGCTACCACGCCGGCTGTGGCCCACATCGCACAAGCCTCTTCTACGGCCCACGCTGCCCACACGTCCTCTACGGTGCACGTCGCCAACGCGCCTCACACGTCCTCTGCGGCTCACATTGCCAACGCGCCTTACACATCCTCTGCGGCTCACATTGCCAACGTGCCTCACACATCGTCTGCGGCTCACATTTCCAATGCGCCTCACACCTCGTCCGCTCACTCAGCCCTCATCCCGGCGTCTACCCAGGCCCCGACTAGCACCTCTGCCGCCCACGTGCCTGTGACCACCTCGACTTCGACCGTCCACGGACCCATGACCTACAACGTCATCCCCGTCCACGTTCCTTCGTCGCACAGCTCCATCAAGCTGCACGCCTCCTCGTCCTCGTCTGCCTACCCCAGCGGTGCTGACGGTACTCGCTTCCACGGCACCTACGGCACTCCTGGCGCTGGTGTTTCGTTCACTGGTGCTGGTGCTCAGCTCGCTCCCAACACTGGCATTGTTACTGTTGTCTGCGGATTGCTTGTTGTGTTGGCTTACGCTCTTTAAATGTGGTGATCGAGCTTGATCGGATGTGTTTTGTATCGTAGAAGCTTGGTTTTGTACCTTATAACATCTTTGTTTTTTTCTATTCGTTTGTTATCACTCCTTTGGAAGGGTTAAAATAATTTGATACAACGTTACTATATCGACTTAATATGAGATTTATGCACTTTGCAATATTTGTGCTGTAGTATAGCTTCGAACCTGGATTGCAGTTTTATGCGCATTAGTAATACGTACATAACTCACCAGCATCACCCCATTAGCAAAACAGGGTCATAAAAACCCACGGCGAATAACATCACCCTAACCACTACAGACCCATTTTTTACTACCCCTTCCCCAGTATAATCGTGATCACAAACCAGTATGATACCTCCATGGTACTTGTCCTCTCCTAATGCTGCCCGGTTGCGGCGTGGCCAATCTGATATCATCATCCCATCATGTTCCAAGCGAGGATCAAGGGAAAGCAGCAACTACACTGTGACATCACAGGATGGATTGGGATATATATACAGAGGCGTTGCGGTGTTGTTTTGGTCGATTCAGAATAAATCATTTACTATTTTGCATTCTTGATCTGAGATATATATCTGCGGTTATATATACATATATCTCCGCATACTATATCTTACCACCAAACAACCACAACCACAATACCTACTATACTCTATTCTATTCTATTTACAACGCTACAAAAACAACCATAATGTCCAACCCCAACGCCGGCGGCACCCTCTCCGAAATGGCCCCTTCGGGAACCACAATCCCCAACAACGCCGGCATCCAAAATCTCATCCCCTCCGTCCCCCGCCCCGACCAACGCTCCGAAAACCCCCAATTCGACAACGAAGGCCTCGCCGAGCCAACCTCCGCCTTTGCAGCCGACAACGCCACCGACCTGCCCCGATCCACCCGTGATGTCGGTGCTACGGGTGAGGTGATCACGGGCACGGGGAACAGTATTGGGGCGGGGGTGGAAGGGAAGAGGACGCAGGGGGCGAATGATCCGGGGGCGAGGGGGGATGGGAGGAATTGGAAGCATGCGAGTCACAATCGAAGTGCGTTTGAGAGGTTTGCGAAGGAGGATGAGGATTCGGGGGAGAAGATTGGGGAGCATGAGGGGAGGAACTAGGGGGATAGATTCGGTATTTTTAATTTCTGATTGATGTTTTGTATTATTTTATGGAAATGAACTTAACTTGAAATGATTATGGATTATTGCTTTTGAATGGTTTGTAGGCATTTCCTGGCTTTGAACTTGGTACTACAGCACCAGACAACGCAGAATAGCGAGTCGGAATATTGCTGCATAGATACATCGACGATTCCTCGTGAGAATCTCTTTGTCCATGCCACTCCGAATCCCAATCCTTCCTTCCAACCCTTACCACTGGATACCCAATCCTCCCGCAGGGCTCTTTGGCGCGGCGCACGCAAGGAGGTACTTTAATTCGTCCTCAGGGATATTGAGAAACCCAAGCATGAACAGCGACAAAAGCACAAAGTTGCCGCCGAGAAGGAGCGCCTAAAGAATCACAACCAAGAGAGCAACGACTGAACGCAAGGAAGGGGGATTTCTAGAATTGCTTTAACCGCTCAGGCGCCATTGTTTCCCGCTGGCTTCCTCCAACGATGCCAACACTTGACTCTGCGGAACAACTAGCCCATGAGAGGTTTGATCCTCATTCACCACAGAGACGAGATTTCCCAATCCACATCCAACCATCGCGGAGCTTCTAGCCCAAACCTCAGCCTACCGATTTTGTCTCCCCGAACCTAACTTCGAAGACAAAAATGACGCATTGGAGGAACAAACAAAGAAAAACTGCGTTCCGGAAATGAAGCAGGATGACTTCAATGTGAGAAGGTATATCAGAGGTCAGGGTCGTTGTTTGAGATCGGAGAGCTTGCGCCATCGCTCTTGAAGTCCTCTGTATTTGCATGTTAGTATTACTCATTAACCATAGACCCAGTCGGAAACTTACGCTCCATGAACTTGAACACGACACCTTCGTATTACATGCTGTATCCAATGCCCTGCGCCGCCAACCTCTCAAAGAATCGTCGAAGGCCTGGGAGTCTCATGGCGATGTACCTGTCCCCAGACCTTGAGTGGGCCCAAAGAGCGACAAGGTCGTCTTGCAGAATTGCACCGGGGACTGCCGTCACCTCGCAATACTGCTCATTGACGGGGTATTCGATCTCGAGGAGACCCAGGGGGTTCTGGCACTTGTCGATGTTGCCCATTGGGGGTGATGATTTGGATATTCAGGAATGCTGTATGAGGCCGAATATGGCGGTATTGAGATAGAGTAGAAGGGAACGATGCTAAATTGAGCATGACTAGTGTATAGGTCTACGGAGAGGGTGATCATTCACTTTACTTCGCAAGTAAATACGGACAAAATATAAAATTATCACGGCCACCTAAGTGGGTACACTCACTCGAGAACGAGAAAAGCTGCCCAGGACGAAAATACCTGGAATATCAAGCCACTTGATTTGATACTATGCTCCTCCATAAGACAGGCTGCTGTCGAGTGCCGTTACAGGATGGATCTACTGTGCATGTACGTAGCTGCTATGGGGAAACGGAAAAGAGATGCTCGGTGTGTAGTGAATTGAGATGATAGCATATAGAGCAGTGCCAGCTTCTGGTAGCCCCGTCTTGTAGCCTAGTGATAGTGAATGCTATTACCCAAGATCTCCTGCAGCATATGACCGAGGCTTGCGACTTCATCAAACGGATGCGCTCATCATTTTTTGAGCGGCCAGCATCGTCCCTGTTCACAGATGCAGAGGGGCGAACTTCGGAGACTGTTGCATTTGGGAATTTCTTGAAAAGCATCGATTTTGAGGAGCAGATACGTTTGGCATTGGTTGAGCGGCCAGAGCTGCCCATGTATGCAGGGGAGCAGGCCTTGGAGACGCTTGCAAACGCGGAGGCAGATACTTCGAAAACGCCAACCATATTGAACACTTACCATCCTCTGAACAGGAGGCCAAGCGCATCCCAGAGACAATTGCAGCCCGGGAGACGATGGCAGCGCCAAGTACTTCAGCAGTCCCGGAAGCAACTACCTCGAGAAATGACAACCACATTGAACACTCATCATTAACTGAGAAGGAGGTCGAGCAGACTCCAGAGACGATTACAACCAGGGAGACGATGGCCTTGGAGGCAGATACTTCACCAAACGCTAACCGCATTGAGCACTTACCATTAGGTGAGTAGGAGGCACAACTGTTCTCGATCCCTACATATACAGACGAGCAGACCCCGGAGACTACAGCAACGCCCGAGATGACAACATCAGAGACGGCAACCCTTGAGACGCACACTTCGAACAACGTCATTCTAGTACATTGCGATGTAGGCGTCTCGCGCTCTGCAACTATCATGATCGGTTATCTCATGCGGAAGCATTGCATACCTCTCTTTGACGCTCTGGCAATGGTGAAGGAAAAGCGGAGGATCAAGCCCAGTTCAAACTTTATAGAGCAACTGAAGGTCTGGGAAGATACGGGATATGAGGTCTATGAGAATGTTGAGACTAAGGCGCCAAAACTGCAGTATCAGGAATACTTGGACAGACGGGCGGAGAGGTTGAAGGAGAAGGGATTAATGGGCAATGAACCTATTGTGCCATTGGCTTGGGAAGATTTGGATATGATGTCGAAGAGTGCAAGAAAAAAGCGTTCCCCAGAATCAGATGTTGATACCCCCTGTTCGGATTTAGCTAGTGCTGGCGACCAGGTGTGATTGATTTCTATTTCAGATGTTCTATGACGAAGATATGGAATAGACAACTATTGTTGCAGAATAAGACTATGGATTATCATTTACGAATCCCTGATAAAGCTCTTCTAGAACATCTCGTTTACGTTTCCGATCAGCCTGCTCGGCCTCCTCGGCCTCATCTGGCTCTCCTTCTGGTTCTCTAGATACCCATGATCGAATAGTTCCATCCCCATGCGCTGAGAACATTTCCAGACCTTCACCAGATGCTCCATTACCTCGCCAAGCGAGATCGTTGATCCGCGCGGCACTCAGCGCAGTGGACTGGCCCTGGAACTGCTGCCGCCCGGCCATTAACCCTGGTACCTTGAGGCGCTTGATAAACGATCCCTCACGTAGCTCAAACATGAAGATCTCCCCGCGATCGTCCTTCTCGCTGAAGTTGGGCCAGAGCAGTGTTTCATGCCCTGGTGCCATGAGACCCCGTGGTATGAGCAGGGGTACTCGCTCCGCTAAATGCGAGGAAGCGCTATTGCGCACGCGCGGACCAAAGTGGACTAGGGTGTTTGCGCCTGTTGTCACATCCCAGACTCGTATCCGTGCGTCCTGACCTGTAGTTACCAGATGCGAACCGTTGGATGTCCACCGCACGCCCGTGACAGCACCATTATGTGCGCGCGCATGTCGCGAAAACATCGGTCGGCTTTGATTTGATGATGGAGCTAGTTGTGGATGGACCATACCCACTGCATCATCCATGTCCAGCGTCGCGATCGCAGAGTTATGCCCTCCTCGACGGACATCAAAGATAATCACCCGATTATCAGCAGAGGCAGAGGCGAGAATGTGCGGCTGATGAGGAGCCCACGTGACAGATAATACTGACGAGCTATGTCCTGGAAGACCGTGTGTCGATAGACCCGTGCGTAGATCTAGTAGTCGGACCGATTTCTCGGATGTGCCGACTGCGATGAGCAGTGTCGATCCAGAATGTGACGAGAGAGAATGCGAGTATGGCGTGCAGCCTAGGTTGAAGGTATGCACTGGCGTAATCACCTCCGGTTCCAGGGCCGAGAGCTTGAGCGTGCCGTCGTGCGAGGTTGTCAACACAGTAGACGGGACTGGATCGAAGGGGTAGATTGAGATGGACGTGATGGCATGGGTATGCGCTCCCTCATGTGAGGCCCTGGTAACAGATGATCTAGCCGTGTGGATGTGGTTCGTTTCTGATCCGCGACTTTCCAAGTCCCATAGTCGAATTGATGCGTCTGCACCTCCGGATACCATGCTGTCTGGCTTAGCCAAAGCACTTCAAGAGGTGATGCGGACTTGTCGCTTACCATCGTCCCTCGAACTGGTCAATCGCCAGCACATTCACACCAGACTTGTGCGCCAGTAACTCGTTTTCTGGGTCCCCTTCATTCTCTTCGATGGTGTTTCCTACCTGCCGAGGTTTGCGACTGGAGAATCGAATGCTGGGAGCGGGCTCAAGATGGTGAACCAGGCGGGTAGTTTGAGCGACGTGAAAGGTAGTTGGTGAAATAGACCCGAGGGCCCTGTTCAGAATATACGAATTCATTCATCTGTCCTTATTCATAAATAACCAAAGAATCTTGAGGATTATATCCCTAAGAGGCCCCAGGCGCCTCGACGTCAGCGGGGACGGACAAATGTTGCACCGGGATATCTCAACCACATGAAAGAATTGACGAACTGAATTATTCCTGCTTCGGATAAACAATGGATTGAAAACTCCCAATGTTCTGGTACGGGCAAATTAAACGCATACCAGGCCATGTCCTACGGCAAATCTCTGGCATTGAGCCAGAACAACTTCGTCCAGCCTCCAGAGGAAGATGAAGTGGACGAGACCTTCGATACCGGAATATCGCGACAAAAGAGACAAGCCACGGTCTATGATGCTGTTGCTGGTGAATTTATTCTCTCCCGTTAATTGCGATATTAATGCGCTAACCGTTCAATGCAGGTCGCCTCAACTCCCACGGCTTCCTCTCCGCAGTCCCTTACTCCTCCATATACCGAGATACAACATCCGCCAGCGCGAACCCAGTTCGGCCCGAAGAAGTGCTCTTCCGCCGACTAAATGCGCCAACCCGCTACGAGGAAACAGACTTCTACTTCGCGCACGAGAACCTCCCGCCTACCTGCCCGCTCCCTAGCTCCGATCTGCTGGAGTCGATCCATGCCTATTCAGCCGACTTCTACGACCATGCCACGATTGATCGCGGACAAGAGGATTACCAGAGCATGGATGAGACGGCTTTGATTGCAATGGGGATCCTTCTTGAGGAGATAGCGAAGGAGTCATTGGGTGAAACCGGTGACTTGGTATTGGTTGAAGGAGAGGAGATCTCGGATAGTGAGCGGCTGCCCTCCATGAGACATAAGAGGCGGATGAGTCGCAAACGGGAAAGTAGTACGATGGTCAGCTCGGGAGATGATTTGGAAAGCGTAGTTAAGAGGAGGCGGTCGAAGAGGCCGCGTCTCATGTCTCGCACGTCTGACATGGATACGGAGCCGGATGAGAAACTGCGGGTAGAGGTTGATGAATGATTCGATGAGTGGATGAGTTCTGCTCTGTTGCTTTCCGTGTGCTACAATATGATACCCATAATGCGATATAACTATGATCTTTTACTTGCGTTGATTGGCCTGCAACCCATTTGGTTCCAAGGATCATGCCTGGAATATGTCTTCCTACCAGCGCTCTTCCATACCAGTCATACTCTTAGACTTCTGCATCTTTCCGACAGGCAATTACGAGCAGCAAACTTTTCCATCGCCTTCTCTCCTTCTCTCCTCCCGGACTTTTCACATATAAGGCCCTTCGTATCCTCCCCTATGTCTGATAGACAGGCTTTCTAATCGTTATGTGATAACTAAACGAGGGCAACATCTCCTTTCTTTCTCTCTACCCTCAATCGTTCTAGTATATATATGTCCTCAAGCCCAAGCTATCACCACCTTTTTGTCTCTGGTGCTATCGTCTACATCTCCTTGCTAAAGACCACGACATTCCATCAGTGAACTGGCCTTTGGCGTTTGAACAGTAAGGAGTGCTAAGAACCCATGGAGACCGGACAATAAAGCTAATGCTCTTACTAGAAAAAGGCTATCTTCGACTAATAGCTATGGCAATTCTTCTTCGCAACGCGGAACAAACCCTCTCCAAGAGGCAGTCCGCGGTTTATACAGAGCCCTGAGGCGGTGAATGGGTTGCGCTTCGTGTATATATTTCATCGGCGGTGTCTGGAATGGCGACATGTTCTTAGACTTCATGGGATACTGCATGGAACCGATCGAGAGCGAGACGCTGCATGGGATTTTTCGAACTTTCTCGCCACTCAAGTTTTAACTTCTGATCTCTTTATATCTCTTCATATCTCACAATCCACCATCTCTAAAATGGTAAGCCTGTCTTCGGTCCTGATTCTCCGTCCACTATCAGCTAATAGCCTATAGGACGCACCCCTTGACGAAGTCAAATGGCTCGAGGAGGCGCGATCAACGGTCGACACGGATACGTGCTTTGAGACGAAAAGTGAACGAATTGGAAACATGAACTCATTGGCTAGACGTGCTCGCCAATATATAACTATCCGGATCCATACCGACATATCGACGCTTTATCAAAGCTTATCGAAAATTATACACGGTATCCGGTTCTTTACAGGGAGAGCGTCAAGGCTAGTGCTGTATTTCCCTACCGTTGTCTGAATGCGATCTCCTTTGCGACAGTCCAAGGAACGACAAAGACGGCAAAGAAAGCTCTGGCCGTGGGCGCAGCTATATAATTTATTGCTCTACAAACAAAACGTGCAGGCTGGTCTAGATCATTCCTACCCTAGCCCGAACACAATTTCATCTGCAATACTGCAAGGCACCAGATGTTGTTCCTTTACTCACATCACCTTCTTCCATACTATCGAGGTATGTATATAATGCGCCAGTGACCCTGTCTGGAGATCGTTTTTCACTCTCCGTATTAGATGGCTGACACCCTGCCTCTCTTTCTAGTCACCAACGGCGAATATTCAGAATCGAAACTACTCTCCCTCACCAATGAGGTCCTGCTAATCGTTGCAGATTTCCTCCAAGGTTTGAATGGATATAACCTGAAGGATCTAAATTCGCTTGCCCAAACGTGCAAGCGGCTTTATACACTCCCGCAGTATAACCCTATCATTATTCAGACAATATAACTTGCTTGAAAGAAAGAGCTTGACATTTTGATCTCCTGCTTGATGCGGGAGATTGGACAGAAGAGGAACTTTTGTAAATACTACTAGATGCTGCTGGAGAGGGCGTTTCGTTGTTGTTTCTTACTTCCATATCAATGGAAGAATCAAGGTATGTATACAATACTCCAGTAACCCTGTTTGAGGCCCATTTTCTACTATTAAAATTAGATAGCTGATATCCCGTTCTTCCTCTCAGGTCCAACAAGGTTGGTCACTGCTCGTACTGCTGATATCGAAAATGTCTTTTTCTACGCTGCCACTCGAGATAATCTTTTCTTGATGCGTCCCCATGCACGCTTCTGAATCCAGTTCCCGGTAAAGAGAAAATCCAGCAACCCTACCATTGTCCAAATGTCATTTCATTCGCAAGCCACCAATAAACGCCAGGGGCTTTCTCCGTCCCTGATATCACGTTACTGCTTACCATGAGACACCGGGCAGTTGAGACGATCTCGAGGACTGCTCGTACCAAACATCGAAAATGTCTTTCTCTGCGCTACCGAGAGAGATCGTTCTTCTCATATTCACTATCCTTGTTAAGTCGGAGGATGACTATCGATTTGGGAACATGAGCTGGCAATCCTCCGCCTGCCGCTCCGTGCAGCGCGGGATAGTGGCCTGACATGGAGCTTGGTTAGAGTTACTGCTGAGGGAGAGGAAGAGGATATCATAGGATATCTTTTGCATTGCGCCGATCCGTCAATAATCCTTCCTCTGCTCTATCTTGTCATTACCTTGTCGTGCGCAGATACACAGTACAGGGATAGCTTCATTTCTGCTCCATGGGCTATTTCGAATTTTATTATTGCCGATAATATTGGATGATTATACACTAGATCTGTTGAATTATCTTAGAATCAAGAAAACTAAAAAGCTTTGTTTATGGTAGTAAAATTCCGGAGTAATTGTTGAGCCTCTTCAATTTCCTAAACGGGCAGACAGTCACTCGTCGACAACGTCTCTTTCGTCTCAACAACTGAATCATCGTCAGAATCACCACAGATATTTATTATATCTCTACTTGTATTTCTGTTATTTTTTATGATCACTGGCAACTATACAAGAAAGCTACAAGTCTTAGACGGTTCCCACAGCCGTTAACCAACAAGCACCATGGTCTGCCTACCCACCACGAGTCAGCATCAAACAGAAGCAATACAAAAAGACAGAAACTAATTACTCGATACAATGCAGCCCCCCAAACTCTCCAAAAGCGCCAAACAAGACCTCATCGTCTCCCACCTTCGCTCCACCCGCACCTGTCACACGCTCAAAGACCTCGAGAAAATGCTCCCCTCCGTGGCTTCGATCAACGGCATGCAAGTCAAAGAATATATCCAGAACCTGACGGACGAAAACCTCATCCGGGTGGAAAAAATCGGAAGCGGGAATTGGTACTGGTGTTTCGGAAGCGACGAGAAAAAAGCGCGGGAGACTCGTCTCGGTCAACTACAGAAGGAAGTGGAGAAGGCCCAAGCGAGCTACGACGAAATGGGATCGTATTTGGCCGAGCAGTTGGCGAAACGGGAGGCCGAAGCGAACGGGAGCGGGGACGAGGCCGACAGCGACGGAAATGAGAATGAGAGAGAAAGGCTATTGGGTGAGAAAGGGGAATTAGAGAAGGTTGTTCAGGGATTACAGGCGCAGTGGAAGGGTGTCATGTCGTCTACGGGGGATGGAGAGGGGAAGAGCGTGCAGGAGAAAAAGGCCGAATTGGAGATGCTGCGACAGACGGTGCAGGAGTGGACGGACAACATCTACATTCTGGAGGAGTACTTGGGTAGGCTGGCCGGCGGGGATCGGGAAATTATCGCGGCGGTGCAGCAGGAGTGTTATGGGGAGGAATACGTGGAGGGCGAGGGATTGCGGGAGATATAATCCTCTGTGTACAAGTGCAGAGCATGTACATAATCCTAACCGTGTACGGATTTTACCCCCACGACATACGGGCCAACTGCTACATTAATATTAGTGGAGAGCCCAAGAGAAAGCAAAAGCTTGACCTGTGCCAAACGCGCGAATCCTTTTCTCCGCCTCCGCTGCTTATCGCGAACTGTTTCCCTTCACCACCACCACCAGAATCGACACCTCCTTCTATCTCCTCTCTATCTTCCTTGCATTTGCTATTAACCGGGATATATTGCTGAGAGAGTGCTTTTTACCCGCATCCTCCTCTCCTCTCGATTGTTCTCTTTTCGACCGCGTCTCCGTCCCCTTCCGGTATTCGACCGCCGACAATCGATCCCGATTCCGACTCAATAGATCCGTCACTTCCTGCACCTTTGATACGTCGCTTTTTTTAAACCCTCGACTCTACCAGCGCCTATCTCATTCTTTCCGGGGCGGGGAAGAAATTGTTTTGCCTTCCTTCATCGACACGTCCGAAACGATGCGGCCGACCAGTCCACGCTCTGCATCGTAATCCTTCCTCCCCCCTCTCCCTCGAATCCCTGGAGCGAGTCGACCGAAAAAAAGAAAGAAATCACACCCCCTCCCCGTTATCCGAGTCTATCTGGTTGGAAATACAAATTACAAAGAGAAAAGAAGGAGAAAAGTCTTGCGATCTCGGCCCCTTATCGCTGCGTGTCTCTTTGACGTTTTGCGCCCGACGACGCCGGACAGAATATACCTCGACAGCTGGTTGGTTTATACTGGACTGATCACCCGGTCTCGAATCTTGAAACGCCTCGAGAACGCACTGCTGGGATTGAACTCGTACCTGTCGGGGAATTGACTTCTCCCTGCCATACCGGTCCCCTTCTTTCATCACGACTCTTTGATATCGTTCAACTTGGCATTCATTCTCCTTGGTCTCGGCATACATTTGACTTTATACCGGTGCTTGAAAAAGTTACCGTGCGTCTGGGTTGAGTGTGCGAGGAAACAACAAAACATACTCCCCCGCTTACGCTTACTCCTTACATTCCATCCGTCGTCCCTCTCTTTCTTCCCCCTCCTCGCCCCCCGTTTTGCACGGACTTGGCGGAGGAGTGACTGCAGGTCATGTCAGTCGACTCCTTTGGCGCTCGACCTTCTTCGTCATCGCGCACTCGCAACTCCATTCTATCCCGCTTTCGCTCGCAGCTGGGTCACCGCAATCGCAGCATTAGCGATATCTACATCGAACCCGACGATCCTTGGCGTTCCTACTTCCCCGGCGATGCGATCAAAGGTACCGTTGTTCTGACCGTTGTACGACCCGTCCGCATCACACATCTGGTTGTTTGTCTGCATGGGGTGGTCAAGGTACACAGAAATGCGGTGCCGGCTAGCGAGGCGGGCCCGGATGTGGGATCTCTCGGGCCAGGGCGCGGTCGTCGAGGTTCGGAATATCTGGGCAATGGCTTGGCTACGTTGTTCGAAGATGAGGTTGTCCTCTGCGGAGAGGGTCGTCTCAAGGAGGGCATCTACAAGTTCCGGTTCGAGATGGGCTTTCCGCCGTATCCTCTGCCCAGCAGTATCAACGTACGTTCTATTCGTGGCACCCCCTCCCCGGCATATGCTAACGATGTGACTGCAGTTTGAACGAGGGACCATTGCTTATATGCTTACGTCCACCCTAACAAAACCAACGACAATCAACCCGACCATATCCTGCAAAAGACGCGTTAATTTCCTCGAAAACATCGACATAGCTCCATTTCCAGCCCCGAAAGCTCGCATCGTCACCCTGGAACCTGTTTCCAGACGTTCGAAATCCAGAGTCAAAGGGAAATCGCCAGCGACAGATTCGACAGTAACCGCAACAACAACAACAACAACAACAACGCCGCCACCAGCAGCAGCTTCTTCAACAGCAGATACGCTCTCACGAGAGCCTTCGATGAACGGTGGGGGATCGGCTTCGGATCATCGCGCTCCACTCAGTCCGGCTCCCAGTAACGTCAGTTCCTCCAGTCGGCTCAGCAATAGCAGTCAGAGTTTCCAAATCGGTAGCGACCCGAGTTCCTCCGCGAGTACACGAATGCGGAACAGCGAAACACGGAGCATCACGCCCTCTACCCCGGATAAAACTATCACCGCCAAAACCGAAGTGCTGCGCGCTGGCGTGCTGCCAGGAGATTCCTTACCTGTACATGTCACTATTAACCATTGTAGGCAGGTGCGCAGTGCGCACGGCATTATTATTACTCTATACCGCCAGGGTCGGGTAGACATGCACCCGTCTATCCCGGTTGGATACTCGGACGATGGCAAGAGACCGATCTACGAGGACTGTTATCCAAAATCGCGTACAGGTCTTGGGGGGTTGACAATAGGCACCAGCCGCAGCAGTAGTGTTTTCCGAAAAGACCTGTCCCAATCGTTCGCGCCTCTAATCGTCGACCCGACCAACATGACCGCAGTCGTCCGGACATCGATCCGGATTCCCGAGGATGCCTTTCCCACCATCACACGCACACCAGGCGGCATGATCCATTTTCGATACTACGTAGAGGTAGTTGCAGATCTTCGAGGCAAGCTCACGTCCCCAGAACGCTTTTTACCACGGCTCAATATGGTCTCGAGCGGAAGCACATTTTCGCCCAGTGGGCAAATTCTCAACCCGGCTGATACTAGTGGGACGAACGCCGTCACTTCCAATTGGGCTGGCAACATCCTCGATACTGACCAGATCCGGCGGGCAAAAGGTGTGGTTGCAGTGGCATTTGAGGTTGTGGTTGGAACCCGCGACTCGCAGCGGGTGAATGGTGTCAGGGCTGCTACTACTGTCAGCAGTAATACGCCTGCTGCGACTCCAGGATCAGAGTTTCCACCATCGGTTGGGAACGCGCCTGTCGCCGAAGGAAGTGAGTGGCCGGAGGATCCGAACTCTGTACCCAGCGCCCCGGAGGAGTATCAGTATCCGGCCCAAGAGGACTATGGGTACGAGTACTCCCATGAGGCCCCGTGGGGAGAGCATGCGGAGAATTATGGGCAGCCGTCACAACATTACTACCATCATCAACCCTTTGCTCCGATGGTTGCAACCCCAGAAGCTGAGGAACCAATGGATGAAAAGGCACGTCTCCGACAAGCGGAAGAAACACTTCTCCCCAGTCGCCCGCCCGAGTCATCAGAAGCTGGGCCCTCAACAGCAGAAATGGCCGCCCCAACAGCCCCTGTCCTCCCCGAAGACGACCATATCAACGGCTACCACCACGTCTCCTCCGCTCCCGTCCGTGAGAATGGGATATCTCCAGCCGTCATGTCCGCGGAGTCTGTGCACACAATTGTGCCAGGACAACACTGGCATCATCCTATGGACGGGCCCAGCGCGCCTCCTGTTTCTACACCGATACATGGAGACGACAAACTGGAACTGGAACGCCAGCGGTTGATGATGGAGACTAGTGCACCTGAGGACCCGGAGTCGTCCCACCATGTTAATGGGGCGCCTGTTGAAGAAGGACCTAGCGCGCCGGTTCTGGATGAGGATGAAGAGTTGGTTGGGGGGAGGGCGAATGGGGATGAATCGTTGCCGCGGTATCAGCGGTAGCCTGTTGCATCTGGATTTGGGATTTCTTTACATTTACAGTATAAGCATTGCATGTGTGCATTTAGTTGTTGTTATTATTATTGTTTAAGATACCACTATGTTATGGGATGAAGCATCTTGAATGTCTATTCTAATCTAATCGAGTGCGACCACAGTAAATCACTTCCAGCATATAATGGTTCTGCCAGTATCTCTAGTCACACGAGCACATCTATCTCTAACAAACTCCGTAACTATTCATTCAACCCAACTAGCCATAAACGCCGCGTCAACACAACCTGCAGCCAGACATCGGTTGACTTCCTTAATCTCGCAGCAACTTCCCCATTGAGCACCGCATAATAGCACAAACAAATACCAATATTCACCACAATATCAAACCCAAACCCCTGTCCCGTTGCAGAACTCAAATGATCAAGATAGCGCCCGGCGAATATATCACACCCCAGTCAATATCCAATATCATGTGTCGATATTGACGAAACTAGCCGACTCTGCAACACATCCGCTTCACCATCTTTCCCTTTGAAGAACACCAGCCAACGAAGCGTTCATATCGAAATCGATATATGCGATAAATAAACTGTCGTCCTGACGACCGAAACGCGCTGGCTGCGGAGGCGCTGATGCGATGCAATGCAAGATGCGATGCTGGAGTCTCGCATAGCGCGAGGACGAAACGGAGAAGTCGTTTGGTTAGTGTTGGAGGAGAATTGCACCGTAACTGATTCACCTGGCGCGCGACTATTATCATTAGACTCTAGACCCTTTTCTTTGAACATATTTAAAGTCTGAAAATGTCCGTCGAAGTGTCATGTTTACTTTGTATGCAGTGGCCTAGGGCTTACAATACGGTACCGATATAATACACGTTATTACGTGACGGTACGATACGTTAGCCGCCGCATTAGCAGAGAGATAAATCCTTCATCCTCTCATCGTTTTTCTTCGCTTTTTTTTTTTTTTTTTTACATTTTTCTTTTTCTTTTCTTGCTGTTGGCAAGGATTGGTGTTTGGGCTGCCCCTTATTCGGTGTCTCCGTTCGTTGTTGAAGGCTATATACTGCGCTTTCCCTCTGCTCTGACAACCACGCCTACATTTACATCTACCTACCTATACTATACTATTCTATTATATTATTACTATACCTACCACGGTCCAAGTGCTCACGCCAAAATGCCAGCAAAACCCTTCCTCCACCCCCTCAAAACACCCAAAACAGCCACCTTCCCCTCCGAACTCCACGACGACTCTACTACCGCCAAAACACCCTCTATCACCCCAGACACCCTCAAGCATGAACCGGGCACTGCAACACCCATCACCCCTCCAACGGCCTACACCGAGTTCCTCAAGGCCATGACACCGGTGTTCACGAGTCCCGTCAGCGCGGGGACTAGCTTTCCTCGGTTCCAGTTTGATAAACCATCGGGGCCTGCGGGACAGAGTCAAGGACCTACTTCTGCGCCGACGCCTACGTCCACGACGACTTCGCAGCCGGCGAGTGCGGTTAGTGGGACCTTTGGGTTCCATGAGCGTGAACCGCCTATTAAGTCTGCTACGCTGCCGCCACCACCTGCTACGGCCACGGGTACTGGTCCAACATCCTCAGGACCAGGCGCAATAAGAAAGCACCAAAGTCTCCGACAACTACGCATTCCGCCATCCATGCATCTTTCACCCATCACGACTTCGGCAACTGATGCCCCGCGGAGTGCGACGACTCTACGCTCTCCGTTTTCGCCATCGGATTGGAAACTACGATACATGGAGCCGCGGAGTGCGACGACTGCCACACACAGCGGGGGTGGACGATCGGTTAGTGTGCGGCAGGTTGTTACGCGGACGGTGACGTATAAGAGGATGCAGTTGGAGGCGCCGCCGAAGGGGAAGGGGAAGAGGAGGAGGTATCATGAGGGGAAGGATGTTTAGTTTGGTTTTTTTCTTTATGTTTGGGTTAGTGGGTTGGGCTGGGATTAGCATGTGGAGTTTGGGGTTTTGTGTTCAATTGATATTTTTGTTTCTGTGTCTATGTGGTACAAGTTCAAGTACGCATCGGTAACGTAGGGTTAATGACATGACATGCAATGCAATGCCTGAAATGATCCTGCTCTACGGTGTACAAATCCCCGATCACTTTAAAGCCTGTACTCTGTACTGTTGGCCCATCCTTTCCTTCCGACTGGCCACACTCACCTCCTGCGCCATCTCTTCCCTGCCCTGTTGCGTACGTAAACACACTGACCTCGACACATCCCATAATCACCTCTCAAACCTATTAAGATCCACGGGATCCGCGCCGTCCACGTGTACAAGTGGTCCCTTTCAACCCAAAGAAAGCTCATCGGGTGTTTGGATACGCGGTGATAGTGCGCTGTGGCAGACCCGGGGGTTTGGTACTCCCGGCGATTGGACGGGGAAGGGTCCGGTTTTCTTTGTTCTGGCTTTTTCGGGTGTGTTGCGTGAGAAGCGGTTGGGTTGTGCTACGGATGTACGGAGTACGCGATGAGTGTGTCATTGTATTTTGTGTTAGTTGGAGATAGGATCGGTAGTTGTTTGTATACTGACTCGATAACCCCACTATACAAACAACTTGTACTCCATACACACAAGTGCATAGATAGGTCTGTAAACCCAATACATTGTACCGTACCATACCGTCCCATACCGTACAGACAGTCAATCAACACATGGACTTTCAGCTCGGACACCCCGTCAGCAAATAAGTGCTCTGAGTGGTCGACAACGCGCTTGTTCTCAGTTGGGTGCTATAAAAAGCTCTTCAAGAATGACCCCTCACTGCATCACATTTGTTGTCAAATGATGGTGTCCGGCGCATCGAGAAGTGCTCGTTAAGCGCCGGCGCTAGTACAGATGCGGTAGGATCGGACGGGGGTTATTGGTTTTTGATTTGGGTGTTTTGTACGGAGTACTCGTATTTTTTTGTGCTTGTATGGAAGATTTAGGGGATGGATTTTAGATAAGGGTGGTTATTTTCTCTATAAAGTCTGTTCAGGTATAGGAAAACTGACAATACAATCAGATATCCCGAACCAGACTACGGAGTAAGGTGTACAGCATAAACACCCGGAGGGGTAAACAAGAAGAGGGGCTAAAGCAGTATCATCACAGATCCTGCAAGGTGAGAATCTCATCACAGTTTGCCCCGGTACATGCTTGTTCTGCAGAATTGACCGTTTGAGTAGTCACCACGACATTCATCTACAAGTAAACTGGACCGGAGCACCCATATACAAGTACTTGTATACTTGTAAAATACAACACAACACCGAGTATCCGTGGAGCACAAGTGCAATCAATCACCGGCGACATTCGGATTCTCTGACTACATCTGACAGCAGCTAAAGATTGAGATCTAGACAGATAGACAGACAGACAGACAGGCAGCAGACGCTGTGACGATGCATCCGGGCAGCCACCAATGAGACTGCAGTTCTGCGATGCTCTCATCACTCGTCACTGTCACTTCACTGAGGTCAGTCAGTCGGCATTAGGCTTTGTTTCCGGGGTTCTGCAGATTGTAAGTGGTCGGTTTGGTCGCTTGATTGGTTTCCTTTGTGGGATGGTCTGGCTGTCCCGGGGTTTTTATTTGGCTGTCCGTGTATGGTAATAGCTTGGACTGTGCGGCTGTTATCCGTGTAGTGTACCCGTACAGACATGTAAGATAGAACTTGGATAGCTAGAAGCCATAGCAAGCCGAATCCATCTACAGAGTACAGTAATATGTATTCGGCTTATTGTAATGACAGCATCGGTCTGAATAATGGTCAGATGCCAAGCCTCTATATTTAGAACACCCCTCAATCTCCAATATTCATTCCTCTTTCTCTCCCAACTTTTTCCCTACTCCATACTTATGTGCATTTCTGGATAGCTTCTACAGATCATCACTAACCGCCAACCTCTTCATGCACAACCCCCCTCACCTACCCAATCCGGCTGTCCCCCAGTCCCCCAACACCATCGATCCTACAGCTTAACCGCCCAACCCACGCTACTACAGCAAGCTCCAACCAACTAAACCACCGCGATAATGACCGCCCCATTCACCCCCGACAGCGCAGCCCCCGAGCCCTCCACCCCAAGCAACATCTCCATCACAGCGCTGGCCCGCTTCGAATTCGAAGCCGGAAAGGCGAACGACGGGACTAAGATCCTCATGATCGAATGGGAAGATAGCAGGGCGGGGTCATGGCATGTGTTCTGGGAAGGGAAGAAGGCTGTTTTGCCGGCTGATGAGCAGACGAGTGAGAGTACGAGGAGGTTTTACTTTTTGTTGCCGCCGGATGTGACGATTCCGCCGGCTGTTACGTTGGAGTATCATTCGACATCGACAGCGACATCGACAAGTGAAAAGACAGAGACGGGGGAGGAAAGGAATACGATCCAACTGAACCCGCTCCCTGCGATATTCCCGCCCGAACTAGGTGTTACCGGTCGGTCAGCTGGGAAAAAGGGCGTGTTGCATACGATATGGGCGAAGAAGAGGCTGCAGGTTCTTGAGAAGGAGATCCGGGAGGAATGTTTGAGTAATGCGGAGGGCATTGCGCTGCATATGGCTGTGCAGGAGAAGGAGTGGATTGAGACGCATTTTGGACTGGGACCTAATGCGGATGCTGGTAATGATGAGAACGGAAGCCATGGTCATGGGAGGAATTACCCTATGGGTCCGACGACGCCGGTGTCGCCTGGTGGGAGTGGGAAGTTGGGAGAGAAGCTTAAGGGGTTGAAGTTGCAGACTAGTGAGCAGGGGTTGTCGCCTAGGGAGGGTATGTTGTTCTTTCTTATTGGGATGAATGCAGGGCTAACGGTAATAGGATCTGCTGCTCGTCTTCTCTCGCCTCAATCGCCAGACGTCGCCGTTTCGTCGTTTAATTCCTTCCATAACGTCCACAATCCCAACCCGCCTGCGGTGAAAGCTGTGGCGCCGCCCGAGTCGATTCAAGCGCAACAACACGCCAACAACAGCAGCAGTGGATTCGCGTCTATGAACTCGTTGGCAGGGCCGTCCAACACAGACTCTGGCGAGGAGTTATTCGCAAAGGCGCTGAGTCCGAGATCCCCTGATCTACCCCGGAGTCCATTCTCTTTTGCGCCGGAGACTCTGCATATGTGATTCTGCACCTCATTTTGTCTGATTTTGGCTGTATATAACGTGTTATGATTCCCCCCCGTTGCATATGATACCAGCATGGCCGTACCATGAATGGAGTTGAATCCTGTATATAGAATGGAGTGTATTGGTACAAAACCACATAACAAATTCCCTCAACATCACCTCGCCGCCGACTAATTCTTCTTCTTCAACCCCTGCTTCCTACCCCTAACCTTAACACCCGACGAAGTCCCCTCCCCATCTCCATCCGTCCCAGTCCCCTCCTCACCCTCCTTACCAGACACCTCATCCAACGACTCAAACTCCAACGCATCCTTCCTCTCCGCATACCACTGCCCTGCCTGCAACACAAGCACACCAACAAGCACCAGCGCCAAGATCGTATTACTCGCCGAAAGTACCTTCAACGAATCCTCCCTCCCCAATATCTGTCCCCCGGCACCAGTCGCGCCCGCTCCCCCAGCAGCACCCATCTGCTGCGCCTCATCCAGCACCCCCTCACCAACCTTCTCATCAATAAAATCCCCATACCGCCCGTCCGAAACAAGCCGCAGACCCTTGACGATATTCGCGATATACACCGTAACACCGCACATATACAGCACCAGCGACGCGCCGTCAAAGAGCATGTTCGATTCAGAGGGTCTGTACAGTTTGGTCAGGAGACCGGCTAGACCCAGGAAGATGACGATGTGGAGGATGCGCGGGATTAGCGGCGGGGAGGCGTGGAGGAAGCGCAGGTGGGATTCGAGATAGTCGTAGTGCGAGGCTGGAGTTGGGGAGGTGGACCAGAGGATTGGGTAGTCGTAGGGGAAGAGAGAGAAGATTATGCCGAGGAAGAAGCATGTTGCTGTCGCTGTCAGTTAATATGGGGATCGAGATGAATGGGGGAAATGGGGGATGGGGACGTACGGCAGACGATTAGGAAGGTCGCAAAGGACCCGATGCTCATTATTGCCATGGTGGGCGTTGTTGCACGGGGTTGGTGAGGTGTGGTTGTGACGAGGTGGCTTGAGGGGGAAAAGTGAGAGATAAGACGTGAGGTTGGTGTGGTGGTTTGGTGCCTGGGGTTTCAGGCAGATAGAACCACCGCATCCACATGTCAACGCTAACTATATAAAATATCTGTATTTTTAACAGCGTTGTAAAAGGAGAATAAGGTCTTCTGTATATAGAGACATGAAATATAGGTCAGTTTATATTATGGACAATGTATATTTTCATCACTCTGAGTGAGTTTGTGCTGTATGTGCAAGACAAAGCGCTAAAGATCATTTCCAGCATGTAGGTGTGACAATTGAATGAGGTACATATAGCTTAGTTTCTTTCGGCTTGATATCGCAGCTTAGTCGTAATAAGGCTACTGCATCCTGGGACGACTGGAATCGAGCCAGGACATCTATAACTCCCAGCAACATTATAAACGCGCGTTCAATACACTCTGAGGATGTAGATTGTCTTTAACTATTGACTGTTCCAACCCCTAAATTAACACTATAACAGGTATTATATGACACCAACGACCAAGCATATGGCAGCTCTGGGCACCATTGACCACCACAGCAAATGGAAGTGCCCATCAGGAAAAAAAGAGAAAAGAAAAAGAAAAGAAAAGCCAAGATCATGCCGCTGGTTTTGGCTCAGCACAAAGATCTTCCTCTGAAGTGTGCTTTGACAGATTTGAATAGTCTCCGGGACGAGTGGAACCATTTGGGATAAAGAAACGCTTGTCAATGCGAGTAAAGGTCAACAGACAGAGGATGATGATTTCAGCAGTGAAGTTGAAGACGTAAAAACAGGCTTTGGAATGGTACCACGCGGGGTGAGTTATTGGTCGGGGTGGACTCCAGGTAACTCCAGCCTTGAAGCCTGCAATGAGCATGCACAGGCAGGTGGATAATGTGATGATAATCATCTTGGTGACCATTTTTCCCTCTCCAAAATTCTCTTCTTGTTTGGATCGAGGTAGGAGGAATGCAAGGGCGATGTGGAAAAGAGGAAGACAAGTGAAGACAAGAAGGTAGGTTATGGCCGTAAGCTGGACGTCACGGCAGGATTCGAGCGTGCCGGGATTTAAGGTATACACTGATATGACCGTGGACGTAATCACCATGACCAGAGCACCACCGATCATGACATAGAGGACTTTCGCACCATGGCGAACAACCGGATGCCAGCCCAGTTGTGGCTGTTTGGCACGGAGTAAGCGCTGGGCCAGAATCAGATTGATGATGTAGACGAGCAAGATACCGGCATTGACCAAGATCTGGGCTGCGATAGCGAGTTGGACATTTGTTTGTCGGGTCGCCCAGACAATGCGGAGGACTAGCGTGGTGATACGCGCCATACAGAAACCGAACAACATACCGGAAAGGACGAATTTATGGTTTCTGCGACGGTTCTTCTGGAAGATAGTCATGTTGGTGGCTGCAAATCCGATATAGAGGGCCATGAAAACAGCGCACACAGGAATATCGGGTGTGACGCTGGGAGCACCACCCATGCCGGCCGTGGTGGACGGGTAGGGGCCTCCACGCTTTTCGAGAGCGTCGAACATCGTGCCAGAGTGATAAGAGTCGGGAGTCGTGAAGTTGTTGAGGTGAAGACTGAAGAGGGCATGAAGTCTGGGAAGAAACTAGCCTCCTCGACCGAGAAGGCACAGCGCATGTCTTATAAAAGTTGGAAGCTTTGCCGTCGGCGATTTAGGAAGCGAGTTACCGACCATAAGAAAAGGTAAACGGAGTTTGGTGAGGGCTCATCAACCCTGAATTGTTGTATTCGGAAGAATTCGCTTTCCGCGGATCCGATTTTCGTCCGTTGTTCCGTACCAAACCCCTCGATATCGCTCTGCTTCCTTCCCTTTTCCCCAACTATCATTATCAATTCTGCATCCTTGAACTGTCATTCTACCGAATCGTTGCCTGTAAGCCGGACTTTCGGACGCTTTTTCTCGGAGGTTGTCCCGCCCACGTAACTAGTCATGTTGTCTCAGGCGCAAAGCCACGCTGCCATACGCAAAGGGGCTAAGAGTTGCACCGAGTGTATGTACTGTATCTATGATCGTGTACCTGTTAAACTGCATTTGATCCCTCATCGTTATTTTCTTTGGTATAGGTAGACGACGGAAAGTTCGTTGTGTCCGGATCCCCGATGATGCGCAGACCTGTCGGCAGTGCCAGGAACGGGGAACCGCGTGTCTGGCCCAGATGGCTAGTCCCCGTCCGCGCCAGACCCAGCGACTCCCGTCCCGATTGCGGATCGCCCAACTAGAGGCTCAGGTCTCCCATTTGACTAAGATCGTCGATGTTATTGAAGTAAAACTAGGCGGAAAGCCGTCTGCTCGCATCGATTCAGCCCTAGCCCACGACCTCGAAGCGGAGGACTCTGAAGGCGAATGCAGTGACTCCGATATCGTGGCTGCAGAAGAGCCATCACATTTGCGTTCACTTTTTCAGAACGATTGGCTAAGTGTCGATACAGATCGACATGATGAACAGCAGCGAGGACGTAGGGCAAAAGCCTCTGCGCATTTGCTCGACGCCGCAAGACCTGAGTTGCAAAAATTGATCCCGACCAAGGAGGAAACGAGGGAAATCGTCATGAGTACCTACGATTGGCTTTCGATGCTGCAATTGATGCTACCACAGCCGTTTGCAGCAAAATCGCAACAGGAGATGATGGAGAACTACGACGAGATAAGCCAACCAAATGTGGATATCATTCGCATGACCACATGGCTTCTGGAGCTGGCTATTACAGCTCTGCAGGTTTCTCAAGGGTCCGACATTCCTGAATCCAATTTTCGAGTAATACAAAGGAGACTAGGGCTCTCACGCGCCGTGTCAGAGACAGTTGAGAAAACAATTTTAGCTCACGATAGACTGCTGGGCACCATTGAGGGGCTTGGAATAGCCCTCCACTTTATTCGACTGTGAGAACCATACTACCCATCCTCATCTTTCTCCTCCAAATCTCCATCGTTCACTTTATAAACACATATTCCTCTTTTAATCCGCAGAAACGCTGATTATTTTCTAGCCAAATCGGCCACGGTAACGTCCAAAAGGCTTGGGTTCGGTTGCGGCATATTATTGCGATTACTGAGCTCATGGGGCTTCCTAAAACATTGCAACTGTTTCGTCTGAAGAAACTTGGTGCTTCAATCAGTGACGAGACCCTGGCTCTAAAAGCTCAACTCTGGGAATCAATTTGCAGTGTCGATCGGCTGTTGGGAATGATGATCAATCTACCTCCAGATACTCGCCGGTATCCTCACACCACCTCCCTTGATCTCGTTGTTGACGGGGTTGTTCAGCCGCGGGTCTATCTCAGTCAATTGACCGAAATAGCTGCGAGGGTTCACGACTTGGAATATATGAACACGACACACGAGCCCTGCACAAAACTGTACGCTTTGGCCTTGGATATTGCTCGGGAGGTAAGAGATCTTGGATCGCGCACGCCGGCATCTTGGTGGGTGTACGATGCGATGGATGACCTCAGAGCCGATCACGTTGTACAGATGTTGCATTATTGCGTTATTATGAGGGCATACCTTCCGCTCGCCTTACGGCGCGATCACGGGGAAGAGTATTTGCATGGTCGGCTGGCCTGCATGGATGCGTGTACATCCGTCGCACAGCGGTACCAATTCGTGCGCCGAAAGTTGACTCCTGGAATGTTCGCTTCTCGGATGCTAGATCTGCAGGCCTTCACGGCGAGTGTTGTACTCCTTCTCACGTCACATAGCTGGCCATCAATGGATCAGAATAGCATTCTAATCGATAAATCTCGGCTCGAAGGTATAGTATCTCAAGTTATCGAGCTCATGCGAGAAAGGTCGAAGGGCCGGGTTGGATCTGACTTTGCAGAGCATGGGATGCGCACCCTGTGTGCTCTCAACAAACTTTTAAAGCAAGAGGATGATGTATCTCATGTCCAAGAGCTGACATTGAATGTTCCACTCCTCGGTAAAATGCACATTCGCAGTAATATCGTGACCGCTCAAGCTCCTAGGCCGACAACCCAGTTACATAGCGGGGTTCCTGTGGATTCTCAGTCCTGGAAGCCTCAAGAGCAGACGGCCCTTCCGGCGCAAGGCCAGAGCTCTATAAACACGAACCCGTACATGAACGACACCATGCAGACGGGATCCGATTGGCAGTGGAACAACCTCTCTTGGATTATTGAAGAAGACGCCAACTCGAACTTTTTTGAGGACCCTTTGGCATTTGAGAACTTTGATCAACCAACCGTGTGGCAGAACCCATATTACAGTATCCCCTTAGCGGCTGAAATGCCCAATTCCCGGATATTCTAGTAATCCAGGTCGACGGCGTGATCTCTTTCTGTATTTTTAACCTTGGGGCAGTGCAGCGATCAACTAGCACGAAGATAAGATGAGGGAAGATGCTTGAACACCAAAACCAACATTACGATCTCTTTATTTGACTCAATATTTTTTTTTTTTTTTTTTTTTTTTTTTTTTTTTTTTTGCATGCATAACCTCCCACAATATGAGTCTATGACACAATTCTCTCTTATTCCTGTGGAGATTTTCTACTTCATATTCAGTGTCCTAAGCAAATCCAACCTGTCTTGCCTATCTCAGATATGTAAACAAATCCACCAACCACCCTGTGTCTCTGGGGAGGCAACCACCACTACAGCCAGCAACCTTACAACTCATTTCTGCAGGCAGTAGTCAACAACCCAGACCTTGTCAAGCACATTAAAGAGCTTCATACATTGGGTGTATCCCAAGATGACCTCTGTGAAATCTCAAAGACATCCAATTCTTCCAATCAGCAGCCTCAAACCTCCCACTCCCTGCTGAATTCAAAGATCACCTGAAAGATGGCATCAAAGAAGGGTACAGCTGTCAGAGAGCGCGGACGCTCACCAGCGGCATGATATGTTCGACTACTTTGGCCTGTTTGGATATAGGGCAGGAACCCCTTCGCACACACTAGATAGCTCAGCGCTGGCAGGCCCAGCCTCTTTCCTTTCTTTCTTCATATTAGTATTTCTTCAGATATTCTACCAATAGATTTCTATTGCTCGAGACTGTCACAACAGCAATCCAATGGTTAAAGCCATTGCCATCTTGCACTACTCGTATGTTGAAGTCCCAGCCAACTTGCATACACGCGCGCTACTATATATATCATGATGAGCATCTGCTCATAATAGTGGTCGTTTGGCCCAACTGTTCGAGATGGAAGATCTAATTCGAACTCTGTGTATTATTGGCTTTATATCGGTAGCAACGTTAACTTAGTACATCTGACCAACACTCCAATTCAATATTTCACTCCTACAATACTTTCAACTACTAGTTGTAACACTTAGAGCTCGGTGTTGCTGGATTTTTCTTCGACGTACCCTTTGGTTTCTACCCTCTTGAACACTCTACTGCTCTACTACGGGGTTGAAAAGAAGCCATCTTCATCTGCATTACGTTATCCCCTATCCCGTGAACGATCATAATTAAACAAAAAGGTCTGAATATCATAGTAACTAAACTGAAAACTTGGCATCCTTTCCATATTGCACCACATGCACGCTTCCGCGTTAATTTTATGAAAAAGGGTTCCATCTCTTCCTAGTTGGGAAGCTCAATCCCACCTTCCAAACAGGTCCTCCTGGACCGACTTATTACCAAGTATTATCTCAACTCTCTCCCTGATCTGTGCACTGCCTTTGATCTTCATATATATATCTAAAGCCTTTATGTTCTATGTGACTTGCTGAGGTCTACTTGCCTCAGTGATAACTGTCGATATCTTCTCATTGGTAAGACACCATGCCAGGGCCAACTGGGCTATTTTACAGTTCAACTCTTCAGCCAACGCCATGAGGCGGCGGAATCGGTTGGTTTTGGACTTTCCCTCCGATGAAGATAGCGCTTTTGCTCTGTGTTGCAGTACCAGCAGCAGATTCCCAAGATGTCATTCCGCACAATTAGACCGCCTTGCCCTCAGCAGACATTGGAATTAGGCCGGCTTCTTGTCCCATCAAGTACCCCGGAGTTGAATGCAAGGGATGAGCATGATGAAGTAGGTCAATTTCTTGGAGAAGATATGAACATCTGGCCAGCTTAGTTCGCATTGACCGCTGACACGCTGTAGGAATCGTCCATCTCTCACTGCGAGCCTACTAGAAAAGTACATGAGCAAGATTATACAGTGCTCTCGCGACTGGCTCGCGACTTACTTTCTGTTCCGGCTATGGATGCCGGCGTCGAGTGACTTTTCAACAGTGCGTGAGATATTTGCCACTACGGCTGAGGTCTCTTAAGGAGTCAATTGTCCAAGACTTCATGTACTCAGACAAGTTCAGCTTAGACAGCCAGCAGTTGAGAAATCTGGAGAAACCGTCGACGGAAAGCACTAGTCCAGAGATGCGCGAAGAGGAGGTTCCCAAAGCAAACGCAGGAGACTTTGGCCCAATGGGAGATGATGAAGAGAGCATCATGGCTGGTCGATCAGACACCATGGTGACAGAAGCATCTCCTGCGAATGATCATGATCAAGAGCAGAATATGCGTGACGGTCTCGGGCAATATAAATCTTTTGGTAGACTATCTGACGAAATACTAACGTGAGGAGAGTAAGGACGAGCAAACGGAGAGCCCTAGCCCCTCGACACGTGATCACACGATGGATAGATAGTTCTCCTTTGTCTGGCAGATGGCTTCTTTTCTTCTCCTTTTCTTTCCTCTCCAGATTCGATATTCTCGTCGATAGGCTACCTAGTCTAAACATGAATATTATTCGTTTTATCTACTAGTTTCTGAGCCCGTGATACAACAAGGAAAAATGTTTCAGTCTTCATCAAATTCGCTGACATAAATACCATCCAGGCTCTTTAGTTTCTCAATAGCCTCGTCGCTCATGGGCCTGGTGCACATTTGAAGAATATCAGCTGCTGATCTAGCATCTTATGCAAAGGGAATTTATCTAACACTTTCGGCGTCAGGCATGAAGAGATATTGATGAAAGTCAGGATAGATTAATAGTTGGCCCAATAGGCGAGGCCGATGGATTCTTCATCATAACTACGCTTTAGACGGCCAAGCACTCATTCGATTATGGTGTCAGATAGTCAATATATCGCCCTCTTCCGTATGATTTAAGTTCTCATCCATATAGCCTCGTGCAGTCCGGATTATCGACTCCCCAATACCCGGCCTTATGATCGATAGTTTTCTCAAGGAGAGTTCTTCCTCTATTCACTCCAAATAGTGCCTAAGACATCCTACCGAGCATAGTAGTTGACACTTTCCTTGATCACCTGGATTTCATTGGATATGTCTTTGGCCTGTAATGCAGATTTCTATTTCAAGGACTGGTAGATAGGACCAGCTGGGATGGCACTCGAAATTTCTATGTAATTGGATGGGTGTAGCCCCAGCGTCGTTAGATTCCTTCTGCAAGTTAACGTCATGGTATTACCTATGGTGGCTCTGTGCATACTGTGGGGGAGGGAAACAAGACGTTTATTATTTGGGTTCGAGTCAATTATTCTACTATTTGGGGGGCTAGCATTGATTGACATACTCTGTACAGCTGAAGTCCATGAGTTTTGCTTTTATGATAATCCTGCGTCGTCTTCTTGTCGCATGATCGCATCTCCCAAGCCACCTAAACAAAAATCAATAACTAATACTTGAATATTTATTTATTAAAAAAAAAAAAAAAAAAAAAAAGAAAAGAAAAGAAAAAAGGTTACAGCTGTAATTTATGTTACATTTTAGAACTATATATCTAGAAACAATAAAAACTTAACATATTATTTAATACTATGTAGCTAGGCTTACTTTGTAATATTAAACGACTTAAGACATGTCGTTGAGATATTAAGGTTATAAAAAGGGCTATTTAGTATGCGATAGAGAGGTGGCCGGCTGGCTTGGGTGGCCGGTTCGCTTGTGGAATACGTTATACAAAGTAGTTTGTCAGACATATATTTCCAAATAATTAGTGGCGATAAAGCAAATTATACCGGGATTCAAGTCATCAATGTATAAGATTTCCTAATTTTGCGCGACGACCACCTGAAAACGGTGGCTGGCTGGAAGCGTAGCTTTAGGCACCACAGGCGGAACCATTTGCTATATCGACTCGAAGCGCTCGATCTGCTCCATTCTCACCCCTCTCAGTGGATGATTTGGTCAGAAACAATTTCTCGTCGGGCATCCAAAATCATATTAGTCAATGTTTGGAAGTTTACTTCCACTTTAAGGCTCAGTGACCAGTGTCAACAACGTAATAACCGTCGACTGGCGTTCAAATGTGTGCCGATCTCATGACCAGCTCTAGTGAATAAATGCACCGCCAGGGTTGTATACTCAATGGTGGCCTCAGCTCGCTGGTCTTCAGGTCAGCTCTTGTCTCATTAGATCGACAAACTTCCAACTCCTGATCAGACAAATATTACAGACCCTGTGTTTGATGTGGGGTTCATCTTGTGTGTCCCCGTTTATGGTCTATCTCAAGTAACGCCATAACATATAGATATAACCTCGTGATTATAATGATTCCCTAAATGTGAGATTGAAATCTGCATTCTTTACATAGAGTAATGGCCACTAGCACTTGACGTTGATGTAGTTCAGCTTGATCTCAGCCATTGATCATCAACATATTCAGCAACATCATTCCTTCTGCCGAAGCAATGTTGCGTTTACATTGATGGAAGCCTGACCTAAAATCTCTCCACTGGAGGGGAGTAGGGAAGTGCGTTAGTTTGGCAATCCCCCAGCCCCATAATACAGAGAACAACCATCCGCCAACATAACTAAACTATCCTATAACGTAATTTGCAGCCGAACTGGACACGCAACCACTAGACACTGGCGTTATTCAAGAGTGAAGACCCATCGTCGCCCCACATAAATCCAGAGCGAACACACAGGCTCACACTCTGCACCCAGGAGCGAGTGGACAAGAGCGCTCCAAGGATCCTCACATGTTATATACATGCAGAGCCCTGGATTTCCCCTCAATATAGCAGTACTCCGTTTGATTGTGAAACCAATTCCCACTTCACCATCTGCGACCACGACAATACAACAGAGCCAATTTTCGCGGAAGTAGAATCTCAATCACACTGCAAACCATATTATCCAGAGGTATATCATAGGTGGCATTCCGTTGTTGCCCTAGCAATATGATAGACTTTGATGAAGCCGTTCAAAACCTCGGCATAGACCAGAGGATCCTGGGCCGGTTGGCAAACAAATGGGGCGACGATCTTCTCAATGATCTATACAACCTGTCCCAGGTGGAATGCGACGACAGAGGAGTGCTGAAAGCCATATGGAAGAATGGAAACAACCAGAGGGCCAGTGATACATGATGGTGGCTGCGCTGAAGGGTGCAGTGTGATAGCCATTCTTACTACCCATGCAGGTATGGGAATCCATACCCGCACCTTACCCACATGG